GCCTCTTCCATACTCGGCGGTATGAGGATTGCCATTGGAAAGATGTCAGGGATGGGGAATCCACAAAGAGAGATGTCATGGGTGGATAGAGGCTTGCTTATCCAACACCAGCCTGTTGCTGTGTCCAAAGGCGATACTCTATCTATGCCTCAGAGAAAGAAATGATAACTCAAAGATAATCATACCGTCTTTATTCCATTCATCCACTATGTAGACCTCATCCAGCCCGAAGGTACTTTTCTGGCACCCCCCCCCCCCCATACACCATGTCGTAGTCCCGTCCACACACATACGACACACACACACACACAAGCATGCTCATCACAAACACCATACTCTCAATGCCCTCGCCAACACTCTTCTCTCCACCCCCGCCAACATTCAACACGAGAAGCAGAACAGATGCAAACACAACAGCCGCAACACACAGATACAGGCTCCACTCCCCGTCTCCGCCAACACACAGAGCCCCGAGAACCAGGTTCCCACACACAACCACACACACCTGCATCAGCGACATCCCACACAGCACACCGCCCTGCACAGCCATCATAACGGCCCCAATGCCTGCCACCGTCATGCTGTACACACTGCTCCTGACCACGCCCCCGTGGAGAAGCCCGGCTGCCATCGGCACAATGCACCCAACTGCAGTCCACTCCTCCCTCAGCATCCCAATCACCCCGTCGTCACGGTACCTCGTTGCCAGCCTCCACACCTGGTATACAATGGTCCCTGCCACGGCCAGCGAGTACACCCCCGTGTTCCACGCCCTCCGAGTTGCACTGTCCTCCTCCTCAAGATACCAGAGGATGCACTGGACCACCAGAATGGCTGCAAACACAAGGCCCAGGCGCCTGTGGAGTCGCAAAGGAGGAGGGAGGGCCTTCTCAAGCTCATCGATCTTCTGCCTTAGGTCATCCAGGTTTGCATCGGCTTCACTAAGGTTCTTTCTCATAGTCTCATCTCGGATTTCACGTAGGGTTTCCAGCATTTTATCCAGTTCATTGAATGTTGCGGCAAATGACACTCTATTTTCCTTAAGATTGGCAATGGCTTGGCCGTATGCTGTTCTGAAAGTCTGGTCGGCCTCAAGGATCTGGACCTTGGAAGACAGGGTCTTAGAGGACCGGATCTTCCCAGCAAGAGAGTCGAGAGACTCTCTGACACCACGAAGAATACATTGTAGCAATGTTCTCTGGGATTTAGGAGGCCTGCACCTATTGATCACTTTTTCTAAGACATTCAGTTCTTGTTTAACTCTCTCTAAGTTCTCAAGAGATTTGTCATTAACAGCATAGTCGAAATAGTGGTTTAAAACGGTAATGCCTAGGGTGTTCAGACATTCGGGAAAGGTACGCAATTTCTCGTTGACCATAGCACTGCGGCCTCCTTCCATCCCTAGGAGATCAAGGAAGATTGATTTCAGAGATACTTCCTCAGACGGTGTTATTCCCCGAACCTTCAAGTCTTCACTAACATATGGCAGTAATCCCCTGAGTACATCTCTAAATTCCTGAAATAGTCTTGGAAAGTCTTCTTTCATGTCATCAATTCTTTGGAAGTAGTTATGAAAGGTTGTGAAGGAACGCTCAAAGCGATAGTCCTGAGCTTCAAGGAGCTCTTCATCGAGATAAGGAATCTGATCTCCGAAATAATTTGCCAAACTTTCTAATGCTTTTTCAACTGCATCAACGGCAGTAGTGCCTTCGGAATCTCCCTTTCTCTCCAGGTCATCGCGAATATCATCGAGTGCTTTGGTGTAGAAAGGGCAAAAAGAGCCGCATAGCATTGTATTGTTATAATAAGTTACTGCCAGCATCCGTATGCACATTAGACTCAGCTCATCTGTACGAACTACAGAATCATGGCTGACATCAATTCCGGAAAGTATAGATCTAATGCGCTCGATTTGATTCATCAGTAGGGTTATCCAATCCATATATTAATCATTCTTCCGTACAGAGCTAATTGTAAATAGGAGGCACGGAAGTAAACCAATGGATTATGAACACTACGAACATCTTCCAAAGCATTCAGTTCTCGTCCAGCTTCTAAGCATCCAAGAGTAGTGCCATTAACAGCATTACGAAAAGTCGTTCGAAAATATGAAGGCTTAGGCTATTTAGGCTTTCAGGGAGGGGTACACAGCTCATTACTGATTTTATCTGCATGACCCTCGAGTCAGGATTGAAATCAAGTTCAGCAAGGTGGTTTTGATAGCTCAATTTGCTCCATCAATAGGGTTGTTGCTATAATTAATTGCTTTTCCATACGAAACTAGTTGGGAATAGGAGTCGTAGTGGCATACTGATAGACCGCAGCTATTACAAATGTCCGGAGCATGAGGATTACCTTCAACCGATGGGGTGTAGGAAGATGGAAATGACCATGATACTAGGCTGGGAGCCAGGACTTTTGGACAACAGCAAAGAGCGTGTGGATATGTCAATGTGGATTTGCTGTGCTAACACCCGTGACAATGGCTCCTGCCATGCAACGGCACATCCCATCGGAACAAGAAAGATGATGCGGGGACACCCATGGATGAATATGATGCCTTGCAATACATCTTTGGAGACAGTCTGAGGCACCGCACAGAGGACACAGGGTCTGTCTATGAGATATCTGTTGGAGAGAAGCGCTTCGAATTCCTCTGCAGAGAGGACTATCCAAACAGCATGCCGGAAGTGCTCTCCAATGCGGGGGATGACGTTCTGGCCGAGGCGGCTAGAGATGCAAGAAAGTACATTTCAACGCCGATGATATTTGACATAATCAGACTGGTTGTTAGAAAGCTTGAGAAGAGCGGCATAAAAGGAAACGAGAAAAGAACATCAACCAGCTGGAGTGCAGACAACGGGCACAAGATTACAGAGGAAGACTTCAGGAACTGGAAGATGAAGGCTCCAAGGACAGAAAAGCCAAGAGCAGGAAAAACAGGAAAGGAGATCTTCTTGGAGAGAAGGAGAAATAAAGAAGACGTCCAGGACGACATGTAGTAATATGTTTAGTGGCAAGCTTCTTCATTAAAATGCCCAGTCTCTACAGAAATCTTATGATGAAGTACATCACGATGAAGGCAGTCACCACGGAAGCAAGAATCCTCAGGGTGGGAATGCCACATCCATCTGTCTTCATAAACCTCAATGCCGAGGATGTCCCCATCAGATTCCGGGACATCTTGTCTGTCACCTCTCCCAGCACCCTGCTGTCGAGATCAACACTCTCCATGAACCTCTTGACCTTTCCGTGGAGCCTCTTGGTGTATCTTAGAATGTCTCTTTCTATCCTGTCAGAACATTCGCTGCTCTTGCTGATTCCAGAGGCTCTGTTCCGAACCTCGTTCATCTCAAACTCTTCGGGCTCAAGACATAGCATGTCTATTCTCTTTAGTGTTCTGCTGCGCAGGTCCTCGTCTGTTATTTCTCTTGCAAGATACTTCAGGGTGGCGACATTGCTCTCGATGCGTACCTCCATCTCATCGCTGTTGTTTCCCTCTTCAGCCCTGTTGGCTATTAGTGCTGTTGTTTCGTTCAGGAGGTTCTTGAAGTATTCAGAATCAAACATTTGGGGCTATGTCTGCTGCGCTATGTCTAGAATACGTCTTCTGTCCGGGACCCCTCTGCCTTCTGCTTCATTCTTTTTATCTTCCTAACCAGCTCGTTGATGATCTTCTTAAGCCCCTCGATTCTTTTCGACAGCATTCTCGACTTCTCCACCTCCTCGCCGATCCTTTCCAGAAATGCTGCCCTTTCCTTCTTTATTTCCTCCTCCAGCATCTTCACCGCAGCCTCTCCTCTCAGAACACATTCTGCAACATACTCTTTCCCAGATATTTCCATCCGTGACTCAAGCATCGACATCTTCTCTTTGAGCAGAAGAATTTCCTGGTCCTTGGCCCAAAGATCCCCCTCCTGAGCCCTGAGGACCTTCCTCATGTTCTCTTCCTTCTGTATTTGTGTTACTTGCACATCCTCGAGATTCCCTTTCGATACTTCGCATCTAGGCTTGTCTTCAGCATCTGCATACTCTGATCTTCTCATGTGCTCTTCATATCTCTGCTTTGAGACGTTTTGCTGGATCCCTGGGCATACCGAGGATCCGTTCCCTTCAATCCATTCTAACCTCGGTTCTTCCCCTTTCCTTCGACCGGTCGCCTTGGAATTCCCAGAAACACTCTTCCTCAGCCCTGAAACCAGCGGCCTGCCGTTCTCCTTGCCATTCTCCTCTTCGTCTCTCTGCTTCTTTGCGGAGGGGGCCTCTTCACTCAGGAAAGTCTTCACGCCATCCTGTGATCCTGTATCAGAATTACATTCTTCGTTTCTGTACGACCTCCATTCAAGCGAACTCCCCTTATCCGTGCCTCTCTCCTTGCAGATGCTGTCGTTGAGGATGCTGTACTCATCCCACTTACCTTTGCCTCCTCTTCCTTCATCAAAGGGGATCTTTTCTTCTCTTTCCATCGGGGGACCTTACCACTAACACAAAAAGCTACAAAATCACACTCTTTAATAGAACACACTACGCTTCCCTGAATGGAAGGAGCTCCAAGGCGCTGTTCTGCACAAAGAAGTCTTCAAAGACAAAGTCTTTCCTCTCATCAAAGACAAGCTCAGACCCAAGAGGTTCCTTGTTGAGCTCTGCAAGTAGATCCATAAGCCTAACCTTCCTGCCGATCCCCTTTCCAAACCTTTTGAAAAAGAAGTACGGGAAGTTGTCGATGACATTTGCGCAAATGAGCGACGAGCTGAACGAGGAGATCGCCGGCTGCCCTATCTTGCTTGTCGCCACCACAAGGACATTCCTGGGCAGCGCACTCCTGTCAACCAGGGCGTCTGCCTGGCACGTGTCAATCACAAGCAGGATCTTGTTGACCCGGGCAGCTAGTTTGGATATCCTTGGCATCAGGTCGTCTCTAGTCATGAAGTGAATGTTCCCGAACTTCAGGAACGCTTCGTTCCCATGCCCATTGAGATAAATAAAGATGTTCGAGGACTCGTCTGCATCCTTCAGCTTAGCGTTGTTCCCTGAAATGGCATTTAGGAGTTCCTCAAGGACATTGCTGGTCGGGCTGAAGGCAGAGTACGGGATCTTACTATCCTCGTCTATGTACACGCCTCCCCGGTCACTGTTTCTTATGTCTTGTATCTGGTTCTCGTACGAAACAATAAGAATCTGGTCGTCTTCAAATCCATTCTGCCTCAGGACATTGTAGAAAACATATACATTTGCCATGTGCCTGTAGTTGTAGAAGCCTCTGGACGAGTTTAGCAGGATGGCATAGTTTCTTGCTGCCATTCCCAAGACATGAAGAAGAATGAGAGACATTTCTTGTATATGGGTAAATGCAGGATCCATGTAATATCGGGCTCGGGCAGGTTGAGCCCTTGGTATTGGAGTGGATGCTGCACGGTTGGAAAGGGCTGGATTGGATTGGCCATGGCTCGGGACACTTCTCCTTTATTACCAGGTGCAGATTGAAGCCTTAGCCCCTTAAAGCATGGGGCTCCAATTGGAAGAGCCTGGTCTTAAAAGGCGGCCAGGTCCAGCACACAATGACAACTACAGCATTCAGGAACATAAGGTCTCTGTGCCAGCTCGCATCTGTCCTACTGATTGTCATCAACATCCCCCTGCCGTTTTTTCTTATTCCGCACCTGATGTTTGTGCGCATGGAGTCGGAGCACCTCAACATGGGAATCAGAGGAATAACCACGATATTCAGGACCACCTCGATGACAAACATAACTTTGGGCCTGTTTGCAAGTTGCGGAATCAACAGTAAGACGAGGCTGTACATGAGGCTGTACTTTGTAACCGGCATGCTCACCCTGCTCATGCTGATAACTATGTTTCTGTACGTCAAAATAGGATACCAGTCCGACGTGTCCAGGCAGCTCGGAAGGCTCTACAACAACGCATCGATCAGAAACATCATCCTGTACTTCATGGAGTGCAGCAACCAGATGACATGCACCAGAATAATCATGAAGAACATCGAGATGATAAAGTACTACTACATCACGATATCCATCCCATCGCTGTGCTTGAACTTGCTCAACCTCGTACTCATCAGAGTGGCCACCTCTGTCAACATCGAGACGCCACCCCCGAAGCTGCCCAACTTCGTCGAGAAGACAAAGGTGGGGATGAATACGGCATCCCTGAGAAACAAGCGTGTGGTGCCCAATGTCTCTGCCTAGGAAGGTTAGGCTCTGTACCCCAGCCTGTCCAGAAGGAAGGTATTTATATTAAACTTTATTCCTGTCTTTCACAAGGTTGGCTCTGGCCCCGGGGCGCCTCCGAATCGTTCTCGTGAAGAAGCCTTAGCATTGCTTTTAAGGACGAGATCTCGATATCCGAGGGGGATTCGTGGAAGAAGCAGACTCTTCTTTTTAGGTACCCCCAAATATATGAATCAACGGGCTTTGTCCTGACACGGGACAGCATCCTGAATATCCTTGTGGTTGCCTCCTTCCCAACATTGATTCTGCCAACTGGTCTCGCTCCGATTCGTTCGTAATACTCGATTTCGCTGAGAAGGTCCTTGACTCTATTGATCTTGGCTTCCTCAAACTCATTTTCCATAGAAAGCCTCAGGTGATGGAGCTGGGTTGTTGCAAATTCTCTTCTGCTGCACATCTCTCCGGCATCCAGGGCAGTATGCTTTTCCTGTGCAGACTTGATGTCGCACACAATTCTTTCGAGGAGAGGGAGCGTGCTTTCCAGCGCTCTTCTCCTTAAGCATCCAGCCATCTCCTTTGGAACAAACGAGTCGTAGCATCTCACGGCTGTTGGCTGGGGCGGTAAGGTCTTCAGAAGATCATTGATTGAGTCGACCGCACTCAAGATTTTCTGGCTGGCCATTTGATGGGTTGGCAGGTTTGCTTGTTGTGTCATCCGCGCCAGGCAAAACATTGTTACAGGAAGAGCTTGAAGGCCTGACCTGTGGCTGTGGGTCATGGAAGGAGAGAGATATGTGAGTTGCGATGTCCAGGAGATACTGGATTCTATCCAAGCCCATCGGATCGGAAAGGAAGAAATCGGCATAGTGCACAGGATCGGGGTGGACAAGGCGGTCTATATCTACAAGCAGATGATGAGAATGCGGTGTATGGACGAGGCAATGGACAGAGAGTACAAGAGAAAGAACATCAGAGGGTTCTGCCACCTTTCGATCGGACAGGAGGGGATATATGCCGCTCTAGAGTATGCGATGGATGGAGATGTGGCGGTGTCTTCGTACAGATGCCATGGAATTGCATATGTGACTGGATGCAGCATTCTGGAGATCATGGGAGAGGTTCTTGGAAGACAGGCCGGGGTGTGCAAGGGCAAAGGAGGGTCGATGCACCTGTACAACAAGAGCTTCTTTGGAGGCCATGGGATTGTTGGTGCACAGATACCTCTTGGGCTAGGCATGGCATATGCACTGGAGTACAACAGAAGAATGGGCTGGAGCCAGGGCGGGAAGGTCTGCTATGCCTTCTATGGAGACGGGGCAGCAAACCAGGGCCAAGTGTGGGAGAGCTTCAACATGGCAATGGTCTGGAGACTGCCCATAGTTTTTGTATGCGAAAACAACGGATATGGAATGTGGACCCCTGCAAGCAGTGTCAGTGCAGACACAGACTTCTATCTCAGGGGAGGGGCAATACCGGGGATTCGGATTGGGCACGGCAACATCTTTGGGCTGATGTCTGTCTTGAAGTATGCAAGGAAATACTCTGTCGAGAACGGGCCGATCATTGTGCAGATTGACACGTACAGGTTCTGCACACACTCTGCCGCCGATGAGAGAGAGTCCTACAGGAGCAGGGAGGAGGTGGATGCCGAGAAGAAAAGAGACTGCATGGAGGACGTGGGAAGACGACTCCTTGCATTCTACTCTGAAGAGGAGCTCGATGCCTTGAGGAGCAGCATTCTTGCCGAGGTTGAACGAGATGTGGATGCTGCAAGGAAGAGCAGGCCCACGGAGGAAGACGAGCTGTGCAGAGACATCCTTCTATAAGGATAATCTTGTTCTACAAGACCTACATAAATATGCTTTTAATCTTTCTGTTGTTCTCTAGATAGAACCTAAGGCCTGTATCTATCTCGCATCCAGAGAGCACCTTTTCGGCTTCCTTGACGCCTTCCAGGTATATCCAGTACATGCTGCTCCCACAGATGTTCTTTTCAATCACATATGAGAATGCACAGAAGAATATCTCCTGTCTCTGCTTCATGGTGTACTTGTCGGATGCCTTCTCAAGATACCTCTCCTGGAGAAAGGAGTGGGGAAGCCGGAGCATCATGTTGAAGTCAAACACCTCCAGCATCTCAATCTCCTTGTCCAGGATCTCCTTCCCGGAGCATGCGCCGTCTGTAACATGCACATAGTCATCTACCGCCTTGCACCACTTCTCTTCTATCTTTGCGCTGAGGAAAAGAGCTGAAATCCCCACAAGCTGGTACTTCTCAAGGTCAAGACCCCGAGCTTCTGTGTACCTGTCCAGAATAAAGACTGCTGTCGAGAATGTCACCTGAGAATACCCGAAGTCATCTGTCACCTCGTACAGCCATTGCACCAGCTTTCTTCTATGGGACGACTTGTGGATCGTCAGTTTGATATTCTTCCTGTTGACGTTTGTAATGTCCTGGAATACTCTTTTCATCAGCATTTCAGGCCTCTTCTTCTCCATAAAAACATTTCCAATCTTGGCGGGAGAACTTGGCAAACGGCTCTCTGCCAGACTACATTGGCAAAGCCATCCACACAAACCGTTGCCACCGAAAGAAATATTTCTGCACACATTCCCTAGATGTATACTGCCACCAAGCCGGAAAATGCAGAGGAGTACCAGGAGTTGTGCGTCGACGGAAGGATGTTCTACAAGCTTGGAGAAAGCAAGAAAAAGACTGTGAGAAGAAGATACTCAGATCAGTTCAAGAATCCGCTCTTCATCCAAAAGGATGTCAACAGAAAGCTAAGGATGATGAGGCAGTTCCGAGAGAAGCATGGGGATCTCGAGGAAGAGATAGAAAGATGGAAGGACTGCATTTCAGAGTGCATATCGATATTACACAGCCAGCACAGCGTGCATCCAGCAGAAATCTTCAAGGCATTTCCTCTTGGTAAGTGGGGATTTGACATTGAAGAGTATGGCGGCTGTGAGGAAGATCTCCTCCACACAGCGAAGATTGGTTAGCAGAAATAAAGCATTTATTTGGAATGGCCTTCCTCATCCTCCGACTCCGAATAGCATCTCTCTGTGTAGTCTAGCTCTCCAGCCTCCTCATCGTCTTTGAATAGATCTCTTCTTGTCTCAAACAGCTCCACCCCCTTTGTTCCCGTTGCGAGTGCCTTGACCTTCCTGGCATGTTCCTTCTCCTCCTTCTGCTTCCTGAGCTTCCACTCCTTGAACGTCTCTTCAGTCAGAGGTGTAAGCTTCTCTGGCAGAGACTGCCTGGACAGCTCGATGTACTCCTCAATACTTAGCTCGACCTGAGTGCTGTCCTTGATGTCCACCAGCTTGTGGATGTCGCTGCATCTCGGGAACGGGCATGTCCAGCCGTCGTTGTACTCCCCAGAGTTCATGGCATCAATGAGGAACTGGCATATGCGCTTGGGCCCCAAGGGCACATCCTCTTCCTTTGGCTTCTCTGTCTTCCTGGCCTCTCCATGTGCAAACTTACATGCATCTCCATCTGCACACGTCTTGTTCAGAAAGTTGATGCATTGGACTGTCTTGGGATCTACCCCCACGGGAATCACCTGCTTGACAGGCACATTCCTTTTCTCCTCCATCCTCATCTTTTCCTTCTTCTCAAGCTGCTCCTTGAGATTAAGGGTTTCAATCTGCTTCAGAATGGCTGCCTTCTGCTTCTTGTTCTTCAGCCCAAACGCCTTTTCCTCCAGCTCCTTTCTCATGTCTCTGGTCGACTTCGGTTTGCTCTCCTGCTGCTTCTTCGCCATCTTTGGGCCTGAACATCCATGGGTTTAAGTCTGGGGATTGTGCAAAAGACAGAGATAGAAGATTCTTTCTTTCCCAGCCTTTTGGGCCGTATTTCTGCACATCAGAGATACTTCTCGAGGTCTTCTGCCTCGTAAACCGTGCAGACAATCAGAGAGCACGAAGGACACCTTGCAACAACCTCTCCATTCCTTAGATCTTCCAAGGATATCTCAAATCTATCGCCACAAGGACATGGATAGTAGAATGTCTTTTCCTCTCTGCTGTACTCGAACTCCTTTATGTCCACCTCATCGTAGAATCCTGCATCCTCAAATGCACCATTGTATATTCTTGCTGTTGCTCCCTGTTTAAAGTATTCCTTGTATTCGGGGCGGAAGCTCATCTGCGGGGTAGAAAATTCCGTGCATCAAGTGCATGGTGGTGCGTCTTGGAGACAGTGGGACGCCCGGCACTTAGCACTTGCTCGGGCATTCTCTGGAGGAGATCTGCTTAACGGGAAAAATTTGTGCCCTTATCAAATGAGCTGCAGGAAGTTTAATGCGCCGAGACATGGATCCTTGCAGTTCTGCCCGCGAAAGAGGTCGAAGACAATCAGGCCTGCTGCGGGGGCGTTTCCTGCAGACGACAGGTCGCAGCCCGTGCACCTGACTGGGTTCATGGCATACAAGGCCGGGATGACACATGTGGTCAGGACAAAGACGCAGGTTGCGAAGAACAAGCAGCTTTCCCGGGAGATCATGGATGCAGTGACTGTGCTTGAGGCTCCGCCGATGGTTGTGTATGGGATAGTCGGGTATGAGAAGACTGTCACCGGGCTCCGCAGGCTGCCGATTGTGACGGCGGCGTATGTGAGCGATGGGGTTCTCCGCAGGATGTTCGGAAACAGGTACGCGTCGAAGGAGAGTGCAGGCCAGTTCTGCAAGGGCTCTGTGTGTGAGTCCCGTGTTGAGATGATCAAGGAGAGGGCACACTGTGTCCGGGTTCTTGTGCAGACGCAGCCGACGCTGATCAAGGGCCTTGGGCTGAAGAAGGCACACATTGCAGAGATCCAGGTGAACGGAGGAAGCATTTCTGAGAAGGTTGAGTGGGCTCTTGGGAGGCTTGAGAAGGAGATTGCGATTGGAGAGGTGTTTGGGGTGAACGAGAACATCGACACGATCGGGGTGACGAAGGGAAAGGGGTTCCAAGGGACAGTGAAGAGGTTTGGTGTGCGCAAGCAGCCCAGGAAGTCGCGCAAGGGGATCCGGAAGGTTGCATGCATTGGGGCGTGGCACCCGAGCCGGGTGATGTACTCGATTGCACGTGCGGGGCAGATGGGATTCCATAGAAGAACGGAGAAGAACAAGAGGGTGTACATGATTGGAAATGGGAGCAGCAACATCAAGACGGAGTTTGACCTTACGGAGAAGCCGATTTCGCCGATGGGAGGATTTCCGCACTATGGAGAGGTTCGGAACGACTTTATTATGGTGAAGGGCGCGGTTGTGGGGGCCCGGAAGAGGGTTGTGACGCTTCGGAAGAGCCTTCTCCGACAGAGGGCTGGAGAGGAGCTTGTGATCAAGTTTGTCGACACGTCGTCGAAGATAGGACACGGGAGGTTCCAGACAAGTGCAGAGAAGAAGGCGTTCTACGGAGCCAGGAAGGCTGACATTGCTGCCGAGATCCATTAAATTCCTCAACATCATATATATTCTTATCTATCATGCCAAAGCCTCATGCAGAATCAAGTGTTTGTTATGGCTCTGGTGTATTCAAGCCAGCTCGTAGGGCTCATCCATAAAGTAGACGGGATATCTGTGATTCAAGCTTTTGTTGTAGTTGATCTTAAGACCAGAGAAGGGGCCTCCAGAAACTCTCTTGACGCAGAAAACCCTCTTGATTCTTCCATGCACAAATGCCATAGAACATGACAGACAGGGCTCTCTGGGTATGAACGCATCAAGCCCGGTGCACAGATAGGATACTTGGGCCTTGCTAACCTCCTCAACAGCCCTCAATACCGAATGTCCCAGGACATCATCAGTATCTTCTTGGACCGACACTATGCCCTCTCCGCCTGCTATGATGCAAGCGCCACAGCATATCGAGATGGCACTCCTTGTCTTCAGCATTTCTACCACCCTCGTGATATACTCGATATCTAGCTCTTCTATGAATCTATGGGTTCTGATGCACGGCCAGAGTGCTGTGCCTTCTGCGTACTGGGAGTCTGTTATCGGTTGGTGCTCTGGAACACTCACAATCTCAATTGAAGATGCCAGATCTTCAGCAGGGAGCCCGTTCCCAAATCCACCCTCAGCCATGCTTCTCACCAGCCCTACAACCCTGTCCATAGAACCGCCATCTTGAACAAGGTCAACAAGTACAAGCAGGTCCGAGTCCTGCGGCTTGATTCTCTTCAGGTGCCGAGGAAGTCTTCTGTACTCCATGGCGCGAAGAAACTTCCTTATATCGTGCTTGGAGGTTCTTACTGCATATGCCTCAAGAACGCCAACCCTTCGCTCCTCCTCCGCAGTCTTGAGCCTCGTGAACATTATGGGATCGGGGGGAGTAAAGAAATCTGCAAGGCCTCCATCACAAGTTGAATCCCTCGAGCTTCTCAAGAAACTCCTTTCTCTGTGGCGTGGCCTTGAATATACAGAAGTCCTTGTCAGAAACATCCAACGTCTCGTTGATCCGAAGAATACTTGCTGGATTTCCGCACTTCCCCATGTAATTGGGGGCACTCCACACAGTAATCACGTTCCTCTCTGGAAAGTGGAACTTGTAGCCCTCTATGACAAGCTGATGGGATCTTACGATGCTTATAAGTCCGTTCAGCTCAAGAAACCTTATTACCACATCCTCTCCATAAAGATATCCGCTTCCCCGAGGGCTGGCCTGGAAACCTCTTCCCTCATAGGGATCTCCCCACAGGATGTCTGCAAACTCGCTTCCCTCTCCAATGGGCTGCAGCCTGTCGAGTCTCCTTATTTGGTTCAGAGACATGATCTTAGGCGATATGCCTCCATGCACACACAATATTCTTCCATCAACTAAGCATCCAATGCACATCAGGCTAAACACCTCGTTGATCATCCTCCATATCCTCGGGTTGCCATACTTCTCAACAATCTCCTCGTAGAAGCCATACACCCTGTTGATGGTGGACTGCTCGTGATTCCCCCTTATCAAAGTGACATTTTCTGGATACAGGATCTTCAGGAGAAGAAGGAGCAGTATGCACTCAAGCGAGTTTCTCCCCCTGTCGACATAGTCCCCAAGGAAGATGTACCTCTTCCCCGAGGGGATTCCGTCGATTCTGAACAGGCTTACAAGATCAAAGAACTGTCCATGGATATCTCCACAAACAATGACAGGAGCCCTTTTGTTTGGGACGTTTGGCTCACGCATAAGAATCTCCGACACCTTGTTGCAGATGCCCTGGACCTCTGCCTCGGAAAGCAGCTCGAGGTTCAGAAGCTTGGACACGAGTCTTTTCATTGGGGATGGATTAAAAACCAAATACATCTGCGCCTGCCTCCATCCTCACATGGCAGGACGGGTGCGAAGGCGGACACTTCAGATGACTCTGAAGACATCCTGGATGCATCCAGCCGGGAGCTTTCCCATATAATTAAATTGGGCTTTACAGTAGGGAACCCAATTAGGCCAGATAGAGGCGACGGCCGGAAATGCATGGCAGAACCCACTTTGGGTAATACAGGCTAATTAATACGGGCGGAAGCCTCGATTTAATTTATCTGCAAGAATCGTTGGATAAAAATAGATGGGAACAGGGATTTGTGGGCATGAAAGATCCAAGATGGATAATGGAGGGCGAGGCAATGGCCGGGCTTGTCAAGCTAAGAAGGCTGTCAGACAAGAGCTATCTCGGGCTCTCAGGGTACAGATACAAGACACACATCCAGGTGTATGTCCTGACAAAGATCTTCGAGATCACACAGTATCCTTCGCATGACACAAGGCAGAATCTGGCCATCCTGCTGAACATGTCCCCAAGAACCATACAGATATGGTTCCAGAACTCACGGTCTGTCTCGAGAGGCGCAGCAAAGAAGAAGGTCTCTAAAGACAATGGCCCACAGGAAGCCCCGAAGGCCAAGATTGTCAGCAACCTCACTGTGCCTGTTAAATACATCACATGGCTGATCTTGAGCTATCCATCATATTCCCAGATAGGAAATTAATTGCCGATATCTACAATGTTCCGGATAAATTATCGTGTATTCAATAAATGTATTGATTGGCCCTCCGGATTCAAATACCTACTTTTCTGGAAAATCCCTTGGCGGCCAGGCTTCCGGCATTTTTGAATTATTTTTGTTTTGCCCCGATGAAGACTGCTGGCAGGAGACTCAGCGCGCTGGTGTCGTTTACGTTCAGTCCGACGGTCATTCTTCTCCTGGCTGTGTTCCTATTCTCATTCTTTGTGACAAAGGCGCCTCCTGCATCCTCCTTAAGGATAAGGGAGTACAAGGCCTATGGAAAGACCCAGGTGGTGCTTTTCGAGCCGAGCATCGACCTCTCGAGCCAGTTCCACTTCAATCTCAAGCAGATTTTTGTGTATGTAAGAGTCCTTTACGGAGGAAGGTCAGACAGGTCAGAGGTTATCTGGAGCAGGATTATTGGATGGAGCGATGCCAAGAGGCTTACCGGGGTGTTTCGAAGCACATACGACATCGCTGGAGATCTCACTGACAGCCCTTGCTTTGAGCTTCGTGGATGCTACTTCCCACGTGTTGGATGGATTAGGGACATTCTCTTCTGCAAGACAGATGTCAGGGTTTAAGCATTAAAGACTTGCTGTGCACACATTCTACGAGTCGGTTGCTCCGGTGCTATTCTAGCCATATTTAATCTGTTCCAATCCCCAGGAGGATACCCTATGTTCAAAATAGCGGGAATAGAGAGAACAAAAGAAAGCTTCCTCGACAAGATCCAGAGGCTGCCTGGGAAAGGCGGGGTTGACGAGGTTATAGACAGGCTCAGGAAGCTCAAGATCTTTTCTGCAGTGGCCAGGGCCGGCGATGGGCTATCTGTCACGGAGGAGAAAAGAAGAATCAGCTTCAGCGGAGACACAACAGGAAGGGTTCCAAAGGGGTATCTCAAGCTGAAGCTTCCAAACCTGCTTGGAGGGGCAGAAAATCTCGAGGCCTCCATATCCACCTCGAAGGACATGAGTCTCCGATTTACTAGGCCTATTCTTCACGGGTCTCTGAGCTTCTTCAGCATATTTGGACTGAAGGATGTGATGAAGTCTCCACACGAGGAGTATCCCCACACTCGCGTAAGCCTAGAGGTTGAGAAGGAAGACCAGAGGATATGTGCCGGGCGGGAAAAGATCGGATATCTCGACCAGGTGTTTGTAGAGATCAAGCAAAAGATGTCGGGCATTGGGATTAAGAGCAAGATCGGCATCTTTGACTCGCGGTCGTGCAGGGTGTTTCTGAAGACACAGGCCGAGACGGTGCTGAGAAAGACCTTTCCAAGAAGTCTGTTCACGGACCTGCGTCTTTCCACGGGAACGATACTTGGAGAGCCGCATATAGCAGAAAGGTACTATCTTGGAGAGAACATCAGGGGGTACAAGGGCATGAGTATATCTCCAAGCAACTGTGGCCTGAAGATTGGAGGAAGCTCCTTCTTCGAGGCGTCTCATAGAGTGGGTGTATCCAAATGGGATGCAAAGGGGTTCGTCTTTTGGTCGCTAGGGTACGTGTCTGAGAACAGAAGCATAGTGGAAGGCCTCAAGTCTGCAATACAGTCCCGGTCTTACAAGGACGACGAATGTTTTGGGGCTTCTGTTGGGTTGGGGGCAAGCGTACCTGTTATGAGGGCCAAGGACGGCCCTGTGGTAACAATGAGCTTTGCAGTCCCAATGACCAACAACAAACAGGTCCAGAGGCTGCAGTTTGGGTTTGACATGGATTTCTAGGGCCGGCAGAAAAGCTGGAGGAGGCGGATGCTCAGAAGATCCTTAAAATCGCGAATGTTTAACCCTCAAAATGGCAAAGCCGACAAGCAATAAGAACCAGATCCAGCAGTATAAGAAGAGGCAGACCAAGCTCAACGAACTACTGTACAACCAGCCATCAAGGCTCCAGATCTCTCCTATGCAGGTTCTTGTGATATCTCTCATCTTCATTGCAAATGTGTTTCTCCTGCATATACTTGCAAAGCTTGTGCCTAGCTCGTCGCTGCCCCAGGCTGCGATAGCCCTGATGGTGGTTCTGTTATCAATTGCATTCTCCTTCCTATCTAGTAAATGATTTAGTCTTTGTAAGAGTCCTTTTCGAGAACACGGCTCTAGGGCCGATAGGCTAAAGGCTGGAAAAGCATTTATTTCTTGAAGAACATACTTATTATGCTGGATACACCGGAGGTTCCGCCAGGAATAAAGGTCAGCGAGAACATGATGAACGAAACTACCTGGATGAAGCAGAATGCCAAGTTGAGCAGGTATCTGTCGTACTTCAGGACAACATAGAGTGTTAGTAGGGTGCATCCGATGAACCAGGAGCTGTGCACGCGCTTCTTCTTTGAAAACAGCCCCTCAAGATACGATCTGAATCCAAGCAGAAACCCGAACATGATGAAGAACAGGAAGTTGGAGATGGTATATGGGAGTATGAATCCCGATGGCGAGAGTCTGACTATCTTGATCATGCTGTAGAGAAATGAAAGAACCCCCGCCCCCAAGCACGCAGAAAAGCACACTGCACGCTGGAAGAAGGTCAGCCCAAAGTGCTCCAGATCGTATTTCCTTGTCTTGAACATCTGCTCGTATCTGTGTGGAATCGGACTGCAGAATGTCTTGCTTTCTCTTGCTTTGAATGCGCTCATGAGAGGGTCCATTTTTGTTACCCCTTCCAAGAGAAATATTTATTTGTTGCTGTTTCGGAAATGCGAGTCCTTTAAGGGGTACTGATGCAAGACGACGAACCAAGAGGCTGGAGACATGCTGCATTTGGTAAGAAAAGGACAAGGAAGATATCAAAGCTCCTCAGCCAGAAGCTTGGGCCGGAGTTCATCAGCTACAGGCCCGGGTTCAACATGTCGAAGATAGCATACGTCGAGGGTTGGACGATCATAAGCCTAGCAAACAGGATTTTTGGATTCAATGGCTGGTCTTCGGAAATACGAAGCATGTCGATTGACTACGAAGAGGCTGAGGACAAGAGGGTCGGTCTTGGAGTGTCCTGTCTGGTGAGGGTTACGCTCAAGGACGGGACATACAGAGAAGACATCGGGTTTGGAAGTGCAGAGAATCAGAAGTGCAGAGCCATGGCATACGAGAAGGCGAAGAAAGAGGCTGCAACAGATGCTCTTAAAAGGGCTTTGAGGCAGTTTGGAAACTCGCTGGGAAACTGCTGTTACGACAAAAACTACATCAGAGAGGTGCAGAGAATCCATAAGATCAACGAAAAGGCTCTGGACTCCAACGATTTATTTAGAAACAACGATGCGACATCCGATGAATCCGACAGGGAGAGAGATCCCTCCTTCGACATAGACTGTCATGACCTCAGCGACACCCTATGAATAAACAGAATCCACCATTGCTTTCCTATCCAAAGAATGCCTCATATGCTATGAACACTATGTTTAGCACTACCAGGGGGATCTTCATTACAGTTCTGACCGCTCTGATCAGATCAACCATCTTCTTGCGAGTCGGCCCAAGGGCATTCCTGGCCTCTGGAGACAGAGGAAGGCCGACTCTCGACAGAAACCTCTTTTCGTCAAGTATGACAATGGAGTTCAGGAGAAACAGAGTTCCATACACAACCGACATCAGACCAAACATACAGGGGTCTTTCTTCGGGGTGAAGTATGGGGCGCAATGTATGATGATTTTTTGTTCCCTGTGGAATGGATGGAGAGGAGAAAAGAGATGTGTACTACAGGCTTGCAAAGAAGAACAAATACAGAGCCAGGAGTGTGTACAAGCTCATGCACATAGACGAGGAGCACGACATATTCCGAGACGTTGAAGGTGTTGTAGATCTGTGTGCAGCACCTGGAAGCTGGTCCCAGTATGCATCGGAGAAGTTGTTGAAAAGAAACAGAGGCGCAAGGATAGTGTCTGTGGATATCCAGGACATCGTTCCCATAGAAGGCGTGATGTGCATCAAGGACGATATAACCTCGGCGTCATGCCTGGAAAAGATACTGGAGGTGCTTGGAAGGCCAGCAGATCTTGTGATATGTGACGGAGCCCCGGATATAACGGGAATCCATGAGATAGACGAGTATCTGCAGATAGAACTCCTGAAATCTGCGCTTGCCACCTCACTGAGAGTCTCAAGGCCAGGGTCTTCATTTGTGGGTAAGTATCTCCGGGGGGAATGCACTCCATACATTGCCGGCCATTTCAGGAAGTTCTACGGTGGCGTCACCCTGCTGAAGCCAAAGGCAAGCAGGACGGATTCCATGGAGTGCTTTCTATACTGTACGGGGATGAAGGACACTGGTGCTGATCCTTATGAGATTGACATGGCCGCCGAGTGCGTCGACACGCCGATATCGCTTTGTGGATATGGGAATGATCCAGGGCTTGAGTACACGGTAGACCAGAACAGCTAAGCCAAGAGCTTTATTACTCCCCTTTGGGAACGTCCTTGTCTTTCCTCATGAAGGTTGCTCCAACAAGCAGTGGAAACAGTATTGTTGCATCGCCAAACACCTTTACGCCTCTCGTTCCGGGCTTGACCTTACCCCAGCTGACTGCCTCGTCCAGGCTGGCTCCTGCATCACTTCCATCAAACTCCTGGGCATTGTTGATCAGAACACAGTGCTCAAGACCGTTCTTGAATAGATTAGCGTTGAGGATGTGGTGCTTCACAACCCCGCACCCGAGTATGATGGCCGCAGTCTCCCCGCAGAAAATGGTCTCGCAGTTAATCCGATACACGTCCTCGACAATGTCCAGCTTCAGCATCTTCCTTCGGGGATGGAACGACAATATGTCTCCAAGAGAGCCATCCACAACTGCAGGCGAGTACACAGGTATGTCGTTCTTTGCTGCCCAATAAAGTATTGATGATTCATCATCTATTCTTTCCCCTAGAATCCTTATAAATGACGATGGGGTCAGTATTCTCGGACGCTCTGCCGTATATCCCTCGGTTATGTCGTTCACAATGTTGTTCAGCCAGCTCTCAAGGTGCTCGTAGTTCTCGCTTGGAATCACAAGGTTTCCTATTCTGTTCAGCCCGTTGTCCCTAAGCTCTGCCCCATCAAGCCTGAAGTCTGCACAGAATGTCGGCTTGAACGCCTTGATGATGTCCTCCTCGATTCCTCCGCCTGTTATCACAAGAACATGGACGTGCCTCCTCTTTACCAGTGTGGCAATCACATCCCTGAGTCCAGAGCTGATTATGTTGCTAGTGCATCCAAAGAATATCTTCGAGTTCTTCATCCTTTCAATCTCCTCAACTGCCCTGTACAAGTTCGATCCCTGGAACCCCATCGTCTCAAACGATCTCATTATCGCCATGAAGTCCCACTCCTTCTCAAAGTCCATTCCCCTTACCTCTCTGCTGAACGAGAGGTTGTCCTTGACCTTCCTCGCTAGGTCCTTAACGTTCTGAGGCCTGTCCATGGGGAGCTGTGGAAAGCTCTTTTTACCGTCTCCGGTGCAAACCCATGCTTCCTGGGTTACAGATATTTGACCTGCGCGAGCCATCTGGATGCAAGATTCTGCGTGGCATTGTCGCAGACTTCGAGAATGGCAGCACAAGGGCTATATCCTGGTATCACTCCCCGGAGTGCTCTGCAGAGTGCAACGACCACCACCTGGTTGTATATCTCGAGAATGCACTCTGCAGAGGATGCCCAGTCTGTTGCGAGGACATTTACGGCTTGCTTTTCCACGGAAACGCCAAGGTAAGGAAGATCTCGCTACTGTTGTACTGCAGACACTTCCCGGATGCGGTGCCCCCTTCTTCTCTTCAACATGATCCAAGCCACCTGATCAGGACGATCTACCTGGAGCATGGATGGGGCTCTGGAGTCTCTTCTCTGGCCAAGCATGCAAGAGACGAGAACTTGGATGTTAGGAAGGCCGCTATGTGCCAGCTGATGAGGTTTTCTTCAGATGAGAAACATAAGGTGAAGGTGCTCAGGTCTGTGTGCCGCGGGATGCGTGATCGAGAACTTTCGATAAGGGTGTTCGCCTCGAAGGCGATTGGAGAGTTCAGAAACCTTTCCGACGAGATTATCCAGAGACTGCTGAGCAAGCAGGGTGCCAGCGCCGACTACCAAGAGCTGTGTGGAGCACTAGTGTACGGGATCGAGGACGAGTATGCAGAAGTTCGTAGGAACACGGTGGCGTCTGTGTATTCGTTGGTCACTCCGGGGACTGCCTCAAGAACATTTGACTTCATTGTCGACTCTCTGAACGACGAGGACGATGTCCTTAGGGAGCTCTGCACATTCTACCTCAAGATGATAAGCGTTCGATACGTGCTAGCCATAGATAAGGAGATCGTCCGCCAGATCTGTGAAAGCCTCAGGGAAAGAAACGTCAAGGTCAGAGCAAACATTCTAGATCTGCTTGCAAATCTCAGGTATGAGGATGTGGAGGTCTTTGACATTTTGACTGCTCACATGGGGGTGAATGTGGGGTTCAGGGAGGTACTCAGATGCATAGGAAGGATTGCATCGAAGAACAGAAGGCTGTTTCTCGCGAACATGGGTCGGTTTTATAAGCACACGAGTGTTGCACAGATCGAACCATCTCTTGAGGATGGCTTCTACATTGCGAAGCTGATGGTCCTGCGGGAGCTGAAAAGAGCGGATCCCGGGATAGAGGTCAGCAGGGTTATCGAAGACCACTTCCTGTTTCTCGAGATCATGGAGTGCTCGAGGCCGGATGGATGCGGAGACGGATATATCTTCTTCAAAGACATCCTTTGCCAGTTTCTTGAGGAGAAGAATAGAGATGGAGAGAGCGAAAGGCAATACAGAAAGCTATTTAGACGGATGAGGAGAGAGGACGATCCCCGGTACTGGTTTATCTACTACCTTTACGAGGGGATGGTTGAACTGCGCTGTAAGAAGAAGGATGACATGCTTCAAAGAGCTCCATTTCTCTTTGCAAACACCGGCTTCGATGCATCCGTTGCCTGCAACCCCAGGGCCATGGTAGAGTATATACAGAGTCTAGACTTCGGATCGATAAGATTCCTCAGGTACGATGTGGACGTCCCGCCGAGGGTCAGTGTCTGCAGGAGGATGCCCATCAGGTTTTCAGCCAGCTTGCTTCTTGAAGAGGACATCCAGGACGTTCACCTGAAGGTTTGGTCTGGAGATAAGCCCCCGATCCACTTCAAAGCCAGGAAAACAGTGGATGTCTGCATACTCGACGATGGAACCTCTATATGCTGCTCCGTTGTGAAGCTCCTGGGTTGCCGGGATGTTCAGCTATCACGCACAAAAGTTATTTTGATAGAAAGGAAAAAACCTAAGAAGGATTTAATCCCGGGAATAGACTCCTACTGACCCCTTCTTTTCTTGCCCTCATCGTCCATAGGGAAGTCCTCCTTACGCTTCGAGGGGAGGGTATCCCTAGTGATCTTCTTCTGCGGAGAATCACCATTATCCTTGTGTTTCTTGATAAACTTCTCATAATACTCCTTCGAGGACGGCCCCTTGCCCCTGCTCCTCAGCTTTTCCAGTCTTCTTTCCTTTCTCGTCATTTTCCTCAAGCTTTCCGTTGCATCCTTGTCTTCCCTGGTATTCCCTTCGTCCGTCCTCTTTCCCAGCTTCCTCACTGCGTTCCTCTTCTGCTTCCCGGGCCTTGTTCCGGGTTTATCGGCTTTGCTGCGCATGTCTTTCTTTTGGCCTTCCCTCTTCTCTCCCTTTGGAGAAGCCCTTCTCCCGTTCTTTTTGCCTCTTTTTCCGTCTGCAGCCTCGTTCAAGACTGCAACCGTCTCGAGAAGTGCTGCCTTGTGTATCCTCTTCTCAAGCCCTCCTTCCTCTATGCTCGACATGGGGGCTATGTCCCGGGCGCACAAATTCAGAGCCATTTCTATCAAACATCTTTTATCACACGATGCATGTCTCGAAGTATCATTGGTGCTCCCTCCTTGAAATTCCGTTGTGGATCAGGTTTCGATGACTGTTGTCCACGACATAGGCTTCTACATAGAGACAGACAGACAGGAAATTCTGGAGAAGGTATCCAACACTCCGTCCCTGTCTGTAGAGGACATCCTCTCTGTCCCTGACGTCTATGTGAGGTACTTCCTGCTTGCAAACCTTTCAATCCCAGCATCCGAAGGAAGCAGCCGGCTCATGAAGGACCTTAGGGCATTCTTCAATGAGTTTACGCAGTCAGAAAGGATTGTAGAGGTGGACTTTAGCCGGAAAATGTCAGAGTTTGTGAGGCAGAGCATCGTTCCCATTGGAATGGAGGACTTCATTGGATGCATCAGTGAGCTGGAACCGTCGTGCATCGATCTTGAGCACTACAGAAGGTACTTTGGATACAGCCAGACATACAGCCTGTACAGGTCGATGATAAAAAGAATCTTTAGCTGTAGCTTTAGTTACAGAGAAATAGGATTGGTCATGCTTCTGCTGGACAACGAGGCAATGTGCTTCAAAAGGCTGCTGCCTATATTTGCCAGGCTAACCACGTACGTGACGCACAGCGTTCTCGACAAAAACATTGTGGCATGCTGCATTGCCCTCCGGTCTGTCCTTACATATATTCCAGGCACAATGAATGGAAAGGACGAGTATGTGCTGTCGCTGATTTCCTATCTCACAGGAATAGTCTCCCGCCACACAAGCTTTGTATTCATCAACGAAGGAGATGCAGATGAGATAATCTTGACGATTGACCTCCTGACCAGATTCTGCTTCACCATCGATGTTTCCATGACCTCCGAGGGAATGCTCAAGGAGGCCATATTCCATCTTGAATTCCTTTCCAGCGGCAGAATGGTGCTCTACGAGGAAATCTTTGCGATGGTATGCGTCCTAGAAACTATTCCGTCGATGTGTCGTCTCTTGGGAGACTCTGTGAACAATGACTTCTCGGCAGCCTATTCCTTGGTGCAGAAGCTGGTCCTCCCAAGAGCTGACCATGTGGGGTTGGACGAGTGGAGTCATGTCTACAGCAGGTTTCTCGTGGCAAAGTACAGGTGCTTGGAGTCTCTGCGCCCATGGAAGACAGCATTCGACCGGATTGCATTCTACAACGATATCGAGTCTACAAAGCATCCGTCCAAGATGCTCCGCGCCCTGGAGGGCCTGAAGGAGGATGTTTCGTGGTCCGACATGATTGTTTTTGCTTGCCACCCGGGATCCCAGGAGGAATGGCTACAGTTTATATTTGATGGTTTCTTTGTGAAAGGCCCCGAGCACCTTGTATATATTGAGCTGTTCGTGGAGTCTGTTGGGAGCAGACCGGATCTCCTGCTGTACTCTGGGTATCTGCTGCTGAAGCACTTTGAAGACATCGAAGCTGAAAAGAAATGGGACATCCTTGTTGACTTGTTTCTTCGGAACATCCGGAGCCTGGACCAAAGGGCGGTTAGGCTGAGATGCATTATATCTGATTATATAGGCGCCTTGGAGCCTGGAGGACAGAGATCGACCTTCTTGAATATTCTGGTAAGAAGGCTAGCAAGGGACTTTGTTTGCTTCAACCCGAGCATTATTGCGCTTCTGCACAGGCTGCTCAGGAGCGGCTGGGAGATATCTCAGGAGACATCGACCACGATCTATCTGTATCTCAGAAGGTGTGCTGCGTCCGAGTGGAAGGAAGGAGAGGCGTCCGACGACATGGAGGCTATGTATGTATGTGTTGCATCAAGGGCGGTGATCCTATCTGGGGCCACTGTGGATTTCAGGGAGTCGGACTCGAACCTGGAAAGATATTATGGGCTTGTCATCTCAAGCCTCTCGTGGATCAAAGGAAGACTGCCTGAGGAACATGTCCGGAGAATCAAGGAGGTGATGCTGTATTTCCTGTTTGAGGCGGATAGGAGACAGGTGTATGAGCTTGGGCGGCTAATGAAAGGGGAGCACTCGAGATTTGCTGATAAGTTTGATGAGCTTTATGGAGACCAATAGGGCGGGAGAGTGGATGTTTGGCTTGGAAGTTAAAATCGGCCAATATTTTGGGCCCAATGGTGGGGAGGAAGACTTCGGCTTTTCTAGCAGTTGCCATTATGTCTGGGACCATGCTCGTGTGCCAAGGGGTGCGGAGGTGGAAAAGAAACAGGAGGGAGAAAAGCATCCGGGAGCACATAGAAAGAGGGCTGCTGCTGCTGAAGGAGAAGATGTACAGTGAAGCAGCCCTTTCGTACCTGAGATGCCTAAGCCTTGTGGACGAGGAAGACGAGAGACTCGTCAATGTCTACAACAACTTGGCGATATGTCTTGCAAAGATCAAGGCCTACAAGGAGGCAGCCCTGTATGCTGGTAAGTCGCTTAGGATCAACATACTTGAAAATGGAAGGGCACTGAGGCTGAGATATGAATGCCACAAGGCACTGGAGATGAGGAGGGAAATGCTCTGTGATGCCTTTCTGTGCGGGCTCGTGACCAAGGATGAGAAATATAGAAAACTTGCACAGGAGATTCTAAAGCTGGAGGCCGAGGGCGAGGCCAGGAAGATGGAAGGGGTACAGGAGGCAGCGCCATCCCGAATCTCGTACGAGAACTTCTTCGGGACGTTTCCCGACCTATTTGGAAACGAATCCTTTGTGAGTGACGAGCTGGTTAGGTTGATCCGGGGTGGGAAGTATGACGAGGCCTTTGAGAAGGCAGAGAAGAGAGATGACAGTATATCCAAGTTTGTGGTTGCAGGGATAGTCCATGTGAGAGGAAAAGACATGGCCTCTATTTCATTGCTGGAGCACGAAAAGATGATTTTTTCGATCTGCCTAAGGGAGTATCTCAAGACCCTGCATGGACATGATCCTATGGATATAGAGGACTTTGTGTCGAAGAACAGCAGCAGCGTGTCTGTCTTGTTCTATGCGTCGAAGATCCACCTCGGCCTCAAGAACCACGAGATGTACGAGAAGCTTATTGACAGGGCCCTGGAGCGCGAGGAGCACGACTTTCTGTATGTGGATAGGATAATCTACGAGGTGGGGCATGGAAGGAGTGAGAAGGCGCAGGAGCTCCTGCATAAGGCGCTTGAAAGCTATCCACTGAGCATTCATGTCCTGTCGATTGCATGCGAGTACTATCTCAGGAACAAAGACATGCAAAGACTAGAGGAGGTCATGGGAACCTTTGAGAAGTACCACCACGGAGACCCCAGGTTCTTTCTGTTCAAAGGGATAGTTGCACAGATGAGAAACGAGCCCGAGGAGGCAGAAAAGCACTTCAGGCTCTCCATTGAGGCAGATGGAAGATTCTTCAAGCCGTATGTGTACCTGGGAGGGATTCTTCTTGAAAGGAATGACAAGGATAGCAAGCAGGTCTACGAGGAGGCCCTGAAGTGTGCAGTAACCTATGACGAGCTGTTTCTTGTTGAGCAGGCTCTTATTCTCATTGATGTACAGGAGAAGATAATAAGGGTGTATCCTGATGTTCTTAAGACGTTTTGACCCCCTGTGGCGCAGCTCCAAATAAACAGATGTGTCCTGAATTGAAATGGTTCCTCTTTAACCTCCCCATGAGAATAATTCTAGTTGGTAAGTGGCACCAGGCTAATTTCAGGATGCGGAGGAACAGGAGTGGAGCTGCTGAAGCTTTTAGGAGATAGGGCAAGCGAGATACTTGTGGTTGACCACGACAGAATCAATCTGACCAATCTCCACAGGGTGTTTATGTTTACCAAGCAAGACCAGGGGGAGTACAAGTCGCAGAAGGCTGCAGAGTTCATGAACAGGAAGTATGGAGGCAGCGTGAGTTTCCTGAGGCAGAGGATAGAGGAGATACCCATTGACGTGCTGGATCGATACGATGTGGCTCTTGGGGCTCTTGACAACATTGAGGGAAGGATGAGCCTGAATCTGATGTTCAAAAGGTCTAAGTGCAAGCTTCTTATTGACTGTGGGATAAGTGGATATAAGGCGCATGTAAAGGCAGTCTATAGGGGGTCCTCATGCCTATACTGCATCCGGGAGCTGTACAGAGAGGAGGGTTCTGGGGCCTGCTCGTTGGGATCCTTGCCTCTGGAGGTGACGCCTGCAAACAGAGAAAGAGTGCTCCGGTCTCTGGTGGAGCTTAGGAGAGATGGATCTGGAAGCAGGGAGGAGAAGATCAGGAAAATAGTCGATGAATTCAATGCTCTCGCAGGAGAAAGCCTGAGAACAGATGCACTTGATGTTACCGGAGCGTACGACGAGACAATGCCAAATGTGTGTTTTATTAATTCTGTGTGTGCAAGCTTGGCCTGCGAATTGCTGGATGCGACAGATCGATACTATGACTTTATGTTCTACAGCGCAGAGGAAGGCATCCTCCTTAGAAAGCTGCTTCTCAGCAGGGACAAAGAGTGCATCGTGTGCAGTCTAGATGTCTAGCCGTCCCTTGGCAGATTGGATCTCTTGTATCTAGGGGGCTTGTCGAATAAATACACAGACCTGATCCTCTTTATGATCTTCAGACAAGGCCTTCCGTTGCAGACGTCTGCCCGGAGGACACAGAACTCCTTGTGAACCTTTCTACCGTAAAGAACACACGTTCCAAACTCAAGCTGGACAAGCTCCTTGTTGAGTCTTCCATCAAAGGCATCCATATTCTCCACCTCACCCTGCAGCTCAATCAGCTCGACATCACTTTCCTCAGATTCCACTATGTCCATTTCTGGGCTAGAAATACGTTCCTCATGTCCTCCAGAAACAGTGTTAATTTCCGTCTCGGAAGTCCCCTTGATGGGCAGAAGACGGGTAAAAAGAAGAATCAACATTCCAAAGAGGCAGTCCAGGCTCGAAAAGAGATTCAACTGCCCCGTGTGCAACCATGAAAACGTTGTCCAGTGCACAGTCAAAAAGACGCTGATGAAGGGATTTGCCAACTGCTCCGTGTGTGAGGCAAGCTTCGCCTGCGATGCCAATAAGCTCACCACTGGAATTGATGTATACTCTGCCTGGGTTGATGAGTGCTGCAAGAGGTAGCATGCTGATGCCCACCAAAGACCAAGCTCTGTGTGGCGGTCTAATCTATTCCGATACACGCTCATAGAACGACACAATTTCCTTAGAAATAAAATCGATGTCTGCGCTGTCGATCCCTGCAAGCCTGTATCTTTCTTTGAACTTATCGATGTCTCCGCCTCCGCAGCCTCTAGCAATGTCTGAGATGAACATGCAGCTCACAACAATGCTTTTTATGCTGAAAGACAGTATAAAGGGCAGATACATCGTGTCGTTCAGAACGACCCACACGGTCTGTGCCCTCGATCTGTCGATGTCGTTGTCCATGCATATCTGCTCTAAGAAGCCGTAGGGATCCTCCATGTCAAAGTTGAAGTCCATTGCAATGCAGGCATGGAGCTCGATGTCTATTGCATCCTGGTAGTCCTCCTGGAAAAATCTTCCCGGGTCGACTCCGTAGTACCTGTAGCTTGTCTTGAGAATCTGCTCGAGGCTTCTCAACGATCCATTGACCTTTCCAGATAGCAATATGCATGCGGCGCTTGTTGGAATGGTGCCTCTGTTCTTTGGCATGAGGATATATCTGTAGTAAATCGCCAGAGTAAAGTATGTGGTCTTCTGTGGCATTCCCAGCAGTCTCGAGATGTTTACGATGTCCTGAACGTTCTTGGCTTCAGACACGCCCTTACACTTCACATACTCTGAACCCATTGGGTTTTCGAGGATCGGCTTGCAGGATCTTTTTTCAGCCCTTCACGGCAGCCTGTGTAAAATTGCACCGAGTCTGCTGGCCATGCTAGTCTCCGAGGAAGGATTCAGAGAGGACGGGAGAAGGCCCAACGAGCTAAGAAGGATAGAGGCGACAAAGAGAAGAATCGGGGAGAAAGGCCGTGTGGATATGAGGCAGGGGAACACGCAAGTGTCTGTGATATGCAGCGGACCGAGAGAGATCGGGAAGCTGAGCGTCGGGGTTGAGTTTTATGCCGTTTCAAGGCAGGAGCCTGTGAGTGAGAAGAGGGCGTCCGAATACGAAGGTCTCCTCTTGGACATCTTCGGCGACGTCCTGCTCCCCGAGGCGTCAGTCGACATCCAAGTCATTGTGAGGGAGGACGGGGGGTCTCTACTGTCTACGATGATCAACTGCACGACCCTTTGCCTATCATACTTTGGAATGCCCCTGGTGGACATGTGCTACTCGTCTGCTGTTGCGGAAGGCTGTGTCGACCTTGCATCCACGGAAGAGAGCCAGAGAGTCCCGGTTGTTACTGTTGCATACCTAATGAATAGAAAGAGCATTCTGTACCTGTCTCTGAGCGGGCGAGTGGCATGCAGTAGGTTGCAGGCCTCTGTTCTTGATGCAATAGGCGCCTGCAATGCCATTGGTGAGTGTCTTGGGAACTTCTTCTCTCCCAGCCTGGAATGATGGAGCCAGAAGGTCCTATCTTTTATTTGTTAAATGCGCAAACCTGGTAAACAAACAAATGATTGTTCGGAGACAGAACAGAAGATTTACGATCATGGCAGCTGGGCCAAGGGGGTCTGGAAAGTCATCGTTCTTCAACTCTCTGATAGGGAAGGAGATTGTCACCTCGAGGGGCCACGAGGGGATCGACCTCTACATGCTCAACCTGGACTGCGAGGGCATCATGCAGAGGATTACCTTGATAGACACGCCTGGATTTGGAGAGGGGTTTGATGACAGCGAGATACAGGAGACGATTTGCAACTTTATCAAGGCCCAGCTGGACATGTTCATAGCAGAGGAGTCGAAGATCAGAAGAAACCCCAAGTACGAAGACACACGAGTCCACTGCCTCCTATACTTCATACCCTCGACGTCCTCTAGCCTCAAGAGTAGAGACATTGCATTTCTTCGGAAGGTTTCCGGCCTGGTCAACATTATCCCTGTGATCAGCAAGTCGGATGGGCTAAGCATTACAGAGAGGATAGAGGTTAAAAGACAGGTCATGGAGCAGATAAAGCACTACAACATCTCCATCTTCGACCTAGACGACCCTGAGGTCTACTCTTCTCCTGCGGCAGGAAACGACCTGAACAGTCTGGTTCCATTTCTGGTTGTCTCTGCAGATAGAGAAAACTTTGAGTCCAGGGCCAGAAACTACCAGTGGGGAGATGTGAGCATAGACAATCCAGACCACTGTGACCTTCCTGCACTGAGAGAGCTGCTGCTCAGCACCCATATCTATGGACTCATTGATTACACTGCAAGTGAGATCTACGAGAACTACAGAGCTGCTGTGTTAGAGGGGGGAGTGAGAAAATAGCTCTTCATTAATAAATGATATTTGCGGCTTCAGCTGTCCCGTGGCCTTCTGATCTCCCTAATAAACTTAGCCAGGCGAGAGGATCTGTTCCTGTCATTCACAGGACGCCAATACAATGGCATCTTCACACAGTCGGCTGTTGAGCAGGAGTATACTCTGAGGTCAGTCTCAAATCCAAAGGATTCTGGAACAGGAAGGTAGCATAATGTGCTTTCCAGTGTGCTGAAGGGAAAGCGGCTCTGGTGTATCACCTCCCCAAAAGAGGAACTGATCACCTCGGAAACGAGATCCTCAGCATCTTTGGCATGTGTTATTTCAACCAGGTAGAGTGGCTCCAGAACCGCAGTGTGCTTGGCCACAGAGTTTCCCACCTTTCTGAGACACTCCAGACCCACATCTCCAGACCTGGAGGATACCTTCAGATACGAGTGGACAACAGGCTCTCCAAGCAGTGGCCCGGCTTCCAGTATCCGCCTCTCTATTTCACCAGGGCACCAACATTTTGCACCTGTGGCCTGTCCTCCTTCAATCACAAGAGACTCCGCCTCCTCTCTGAACGAGCCTCCGAACACTTCCTTGAGATTTGAAGAAACACTTAGAACCTCAAACCTGACGCCCAGGCTGTTTCGTAGATCGTATAGCACAGCATCCATAAAAAGCTCTCCATTTCCGCTCAAACACTCTCCAGCAATCTCTAGGTCTCGATACACCAGCTCTAACTTCCAGGCTTCTCCAAGAAAGCCTTCCTTGTCAGCAGGATTCACCCGGACCCTGACAACAGGGCCTGGAATCTCGAGAAATCCTGGATTGGTGTACACAACTGTCTTTCTCTCCAAAACCTTCCTGGCCATCGACATCAGAGACTCTTGACTGCTGGAAAGTACAACTCTTCGTAGTGGGTCCTCCAGAGCCTTCACCAGTACCCCCACATTGCTTCTGACAGTCTTGCTCTCTACAAGACATCCCGGAAATGGAAGGTAGAGCTTCTCAACAACCAAGTCAACATTCTGCACAGTGACAACTGAGCCTGTGCTGATGTCGTCTCTTGGCACCATATTACATAACACCATCCCTTCCACACACAAAAAGCCCACTAGGCATTCTGCCTTGCAGTCACAGATATGCTCCACCGGAACTTGCCAAAATATCTCTTCTATGAGGCCGTCGAGCCCATCCTCGGAGTCCTCTGCCAATCCAGTAGCCTGCTCTCCCATCCTGCTGATTCTTGCATCCTTTACAGAGCCAACAAACCATTCCCTTGGATGCACCCTTGCCCCGATAATGCCCCGGAGATGTCCCAGTCTCCGAGCAACAAGATCCCCAAACTCCTCTTCAACAAGGTCCATCTTATTGAACACCACAACCAACGGCTTACTATTCTCCCCAATGGCGTCGAGAATTAGTTCATACTGAAGAGACAGGTCGTCACGGACATCAAAAACTAGAACAGCAACGTCGATCTGCCCCAACACCCTGATGGTCTCGGACATCAGGTCCATGTGCCCGGAAGTGTCTAGAAGCGTCATTATGCGCGAAATTCCATTTTCTCCCGACAGGAAAACAGTGGTTGGATGGACGTGGACTGTACATCCTCTCTCCGCTTCATAGGGTGTCTCCGTGGGAAAGCATGCTTTTGTTCCTCTGATGACACTCCTGCCTCCTAGCACCTTGCCTAGGGCAGTCTTTCCTGCCCCCTTGAACCCAAACAGCCCTACAACCACCTTCCTGCACTCATTCTGTCCTATGAAGTCGAAGTATGACAGGTCCCTCTCCTCGACATCCCTGAGCCGCTGCTTCCTTCTATACAGGCTCTCACGGCTTCCAAGAATCTCGGGGTGATGCTCTATGATCTCAACATCCATCCCATCCTCCTCCATTCGAGTCTTCGGGGTGAGGACGTAAGAGATATCACCTCATCACCCATGAGAACCGGATTTTTTGTTTCCTGCCGCTTGAACAAGGAGCCCAGAGGACTAAAAGAGGTGATCAGCAGGCTTCAGAGGCTTGTGGAGCCCTTGGGAGCAGCCATAGAAGAAAAAAGCATCAAGCAGATTCTTGAGGAAGAAATAGAGGAGTACAAGAGCTCGACCAGATTTGTCAGACATGACGGCCACAGATGCATCCTATTTCTGGAAAACAGAAGCAACGAGCCGTCGCTATCCCTGTTTTACAAGCTCCGAGCATCGGGAGCAAGGTTTGAGTATGTGCACAGAATAGTTCCGTTGGAGAGATTTTTCCGGTTTGACGAGGAGAAGATTCTGGAGAGCATCAGGGGGCTCGATGGAACCAAGAGCTACAAGATAGTGTATGAAGAGAGAATGTGCTCTCCAGGTATCAAGGATAAGGTTTTCAACCTCATAACTGCAAGTCTTTCTCTAAGGGTTGACCTCAAGGCACCGCACTACATGATTGCAGTCCAGGGATTTAAAAACAACCTGGGGATCTCTGTTGTCGAAGGCGAAAAGGAGAACTTTAACTTTTCTGCTATATGATATTGCCTGAAGGATATGGCCTCGGCACGCCGAATAAATTTTTCGATATTATATTAAAGAAACCAATATTGATGATTGTGCAACGGCAAAGAAATGCTTTGAACAGGACCCTTGGAAAAGGTCAGACATGATTGATCAAGGCAAGGAGGTGTCTAAGGATATACGCGATGCAATAGTGAAAACCATTCAGAACAAGAAGAACTTCTGCTCCAGGCCTACAGGTGATCTCCGGCTGAGCCTATCTTCTTACAGGCTCTTTCACCTGGAAAATATATCGCTAGCTGACGGGGTGGCAACTGCCATGGAGACCCTTGTAAAAGACCCCAGGTTCCATCTTCTTGGAATAAGGCCAGAGACATTGAGCTCGTTCTTTTCGTTTTCGTTCTTCCATATGTTGCCCCAGAGGTACCACAATCTTGACCACCTGGTGAACACTCTGTGCTTTGGGGACTTTATTCTCCAAAGGCTGGGAGAGGGGGGCTACACCCTCCCGATACTGGACAAGATGTGTTTGATGATAGCACTGGGACTGCACGACATCGGACATCCTGGGGAAAGAAACAGGGGGAAGATTGGGGCGCTGTCAAGCTCATATGGAGGCCCCAAGGCCATATCTTTTGAACTGATCCACGCGTCCATATGCCGAAAGATGGTTTCTGCATATAGGCACACCCTGTTTGCAGGTCTGGATGATGCAGAGACAGAAAGGAGGCAGGGCTTCATCGAGAAGATGATTTTTGCAACAGACCTGAAGCTGAATGCGGAAATAATCGGCGCATTTGATGCCAAGTACTTTGAGAAGGAGACCCAGGGCTCAATGGAAAGAAGGGTAAGAAATGGTGTTGGGGGAGAGATATCGGAAATCGAGCTCATGATGATCATGAAGATAGCCGACCTGAGCTCGTGTTACAAGGACTATAGGATCTTCAACAAGAACTCGATCGCATTCTGGGCGGAGGTGTATGATGACGACGATTACAATAGAACACTCGAGAACATATCTGAGGACATTGATCTTTTGGAAGGCATATCAATTCCTTTGGCAGACTCATTTTCCTTGGTATTTGGGGATCTCAGATTTCTGTATGACCAGGCTCTTGCCAATCTCAGGGAGCACAGAAAGTACTATAGGAGGCTTAAGGCCCAGGGGAGTCCTAAGCACCCCTTGGCGGGGGAGTAGACGGCTTTGGAGTCGACGCCCAATAAATTATCTTTGGTCTTGTATCTGGAAGCCTCGAATTAAAGCATAAAAAATTTGATCCCCATGGCATTAACTTACAAGGAAAGACTGGAATTCCTGGAAAGCCTGAAGAAAGCGCCCGTTGATCTGGCTGTTGCAGACAGAATGGTGCTCTATGCACGCGACAGAGTTTTGGCGAGACCTACTCTTCTGAGTCTTGTTCGGGAACTCACGAATCTTGATGCTTACATCAGCGTGATGTATGGGGTACTGACCCAGGACGAGTGGGATGAGGCGGTGTCTGACTATGACACACCCATAGAAGGAGACCATGCAAAGCTTAGAGAAAAGATTAGGACGTTTCTGTTTGCATATGAGCACCTGGACAATGCCATCTATGACTTCAAGATCGACGAGGTTCTCAGGGCTTTCGAGACTTCACTTCTTTCAAGGACCCGGAACATACAATTTCTCCTTTTCAAGCTGTGCTGCAGAAATCCACAGGCTGTCTTTGGGTTTCTGTTTGAGTTGGCCCGCAAAAACCCAACTGTATTTCTTCCTTATCTGTCGTCCCTAATTGTGAGGTGCAAGACGGCCGAGGATCTCAAGACGATGTACATCAGAAACTTCCTGGCATACATCAGATCCCTTAGCAGGTCTCCCTCGATTCAATCTGTCGTTGCATATCAGTGTTTCCTGTACATCTGCTGCTTCAGGAGGGAAGTTGTTGTGGATGCAAAGGATGTTATAGACTGGATCTTTGTATCTGGTATGGCAGGGCGGATGAACAGAAATGTTGTCGAGATGTTCTGTGGGCTGTTTGGGTATGAATGGAAGGTATTTTCCAGTTACGACCACGACTGCCTATACTTTTTTCCTTTTGACCTGCCAATACTAGACGAGGTGGCAAACACTATCCATGAGTTTTACATCCACTTCAGGAGATGAGGCACCCATCCACAGCAGCCACAGCCTCCCACCTCAATAAACTATTTATCTCTATGGGCGCCGTTGGATGTTTTCAAAAATTCCTTTGGTCCTAGTATGGACCTGTCGTCAGTGAACTACGAGCACCAGTTCAACAGGACATACGATGCGAGGCTCATGGAGCTGAGGCCGTACATTATAAGGTCTGCAAAGGCCTCGGGCACCACGCCGGTGCTGGATGCCATCCTCGACATTGAGATGGGGCGTGGCGGAGAAAGATGTGTGATTGTCGGGACTCTCTTCATAGCCAGCGACTTGAAGCCCACGATATTCGACAGGATCGACAGGAAGTCCAAGAAGATCAAGGAGATTGAGGCAAAGACATACCACTCCCAGGAAGTAAAGTACTTCTTGGAAGACGGGAGCGGAAAGATAGAGCTTGAGTTTCTGGACATGAAGGCAGTGTATCGAAAGCACTTTGTGATAAGCACCGGGATGTGCATCGGGGTGACCGGAAGAATGGCGGAAAAGGGACGATTCCTTGCAGAGGATGTTCTGTTTCCGTTCTCAAGCCCCAGGGGTCTCCCATGCACTCCTAGGAGCCAAGGGCCTAGCCAAAAGCTTTGCTTTGTGAGCGGGCTCTCTATAGGCGGTGGGAACAAAAACAGAGAGAGAATGATGGTTATAGCCGATTACCTTCGGATGGTTGGCGTACATGAGTATGTTATTATTGGGTGCCTGTTTGGAGGACCCAGAGAGGTTGACAGGCAGATACTCTCCGAGTTGGATGGCATCTTAGGATATCTTGGGACATCAATTAGCCTTGTTCCAAACATAGGAGACTTTGGATCTAGGATTCTGCCACTAGAGCCTATCCACCCAAAGCTGTTTGCATCTCCCGTGACCTCACATCCAAATCCCTCCAGTCTGGTTGTGGATGGAAGAAGAATACTGGTTACAACAAGATTTGTAGTTGAGGACCTCCTTAAATACCTTCCGCAAGATTTGAGAGATGTGCAGGGAGAGGCCTTTGAGTACAAGATGCACCTGGATATGGCAGAGATAGGGAACCTCGTCCCGAGAAACATGGCCGATGAAAAGAACATTATAAATGCACTAAGTACGCTGGTGAAGGTAGGCCATGTCTGTCCAACGGCCCCAGACACCCTCCAGTCTGTGCCGTTTTCGGAGAAAGATCCGTTTGTAGTGACAGACCAGACAGACTATTTCTGTGTGGGCGATACGGACAGGTTCCTTGATGGACAGTCGGAGGATGGCGCGACGCTCCTCTTCACGGTCCCGAGATTCTCCCGGAAGCACGAGGTAGTTATTCTTGACATGGAAGCCAGAGCACTAGACGTTGTGAGGTTCGACATGGAGGATTTTGATTAAATTGATTAAAAGCTCAGCAAGAGATGTTTATTAATTCCTGGGCTCTATGAAGGCAACGACAGTCTTGTTAACAAATCTTGCGCCATTATACTCAAGCACATCTCCAGGAAAGCTGGCAAACGAATAGGGGCAGATGGTCCCAAAATATCCAGGGCTTCTGATTGAGCACATTGGCTTCAGTTTAGAGTACATGCCCAGAATAACCTCAGAGGACTTCTTGTCGGTTGTGAAAAGCAGGTCTAGACTCCTTAGGTTTCTGCTCAGATCCTCGTATCCCAGAGTGTTGAACTTCACGGCATTTTCAGATAGGATAGGCCGGAAGTCCATAAACGGAAGAAGGACAATTTCCTGCCACAGATAAACCTTGTCAAACATGTCGGTCTTCACATCTTCTGGGTAGTAATCCTTGTAGTCGTCAAATATAGGCTGGAGCCCCTCAGGAACCATCCCGCGGCTCATTGGAGGCAGAACAACAAGAAGCTGCTCAAGAGGCCTCAGAGGATGTCCGGGGCTGATCTGGATATCGTTGATGGAGAGCTTGGATAGATCTGCTGCAAGAGGTGCAAAGTGATATGGATAATACCAGTCCCATCCGGTCCACCCGAGAACATAATACGAGTACACCCAATAGAGGCCCTTCACATACTCGTAGCATATGTTCTTGATATCAGACTCTGTGGTTGCATTCAGCTTCGAAGTGTAGTACTGGACTTTCCCTGTCTTCGTGTGGATTGGAATCTTTTCATAAACAATCCTTGGCATGCCCTTCAGCCCCTCCCGGAACTTGTCCAGGGACTGCGACTTCCGGTGGTACAGACCGTCCTCCTTACTTGCAAGAATTGCATAGAAGTTTCTCAGCGCCTGGTAGTTTATCATCTTATTACACGTAATGTACGACTTCATCTCGGAAAAGCTCTTCATCATGATTTCAGTAATAGTCTCAATGGAGTGGAATCTTATGTCCAGGCATGGGATTGGAGGAACAAAGTCGTTTCCAAGGAGGAAGCAGAGGAATATCCAGTCGTCTAGAATCCTCTCTTCGCTAAATCTCTGTGCTGTGTGCCTCCTGAACTCTCTGATAAGCCGTGTCCTAAGCTCCGAGATGTTGACATACACAAAGTGGTAGTTGGTGAACACCCCGCATTCTTCGTCGGAGTGGCCGGTCCGTCCACACTTCGTGCAAGTTCTCTTCCTGCGCTCCTTGCTTGGGCTGAAATAATCTCTCATTATCAAGACCCTGTTCCTTTGCAAGGAAAGCCCAAGAAATATCAGGTCTCCGTCCGGCGAATAGATCATATGGACGTCATTCCTTGCAATCGACCCCTGGCTCCGTATAAAGCTCATGATCTTCTGCTCTCCCTCCCCAGGAACTAGATAGCTGGAGTAGATTATCCTTAGATTGGAAACCTCAGGATCACTGCTGAGCTTGCATTGAATGTAGGAAATTAAAACCTTGTGGAGTCTCTCCATAAAGGGAGTCCCGGGAGTGATGCAGTTCAAATCGAACTTCTCTGTCTCCACATCTATGGCAAGGGAGGACGACTCAGAAGGGTCCTCTGCAATGAACTTGTCATATAGAGAGCTCTCTCCCGTGAACTCCTCGTTGGGAATCTCATCCTTCTTCTCGCTTGGCGATGACATAGTGGGATCCGCTTTGGCAGCAGCTATGACAGCACTCCCCTCCTTCTTCCCAAGGGCAGACTTGTATCTACGCGCCCGCTGGTGGCTTAGCTTCGCACGTGGTGCAACCCCATCAACTGCTATGTATAACAGCTTTCTGGGGCGTGTCTTAAGGAGAATGTGGTCAATGAAGTCCCCTACAGTCTTGTAGAGGTCCCTTTCGATCTCCTCCTCAGATCCTAGCCCAGGCTTGATGCAGGTGTGGATTATTGCATTGAAGTCTAAGTACAGGGCGTCTACTGAAGGCTTTTCCATGATACTGTGTATTGTTTCCTTGTGGGAGAGTTGTAGCCATCTGAACAGTGAGGGTACACCCATGTAAGTGCACCATTTTTTTATTTTTATATCCGGCATGCTAGAGGCGCCAACATTACGGCCTTTGCCGCCCCTGCCTGTGATGCAGCCATCTGATAAAGAAGAGAAGATTCTGATTGAAAGAGAGTACTCAAAGCATCTGGAGGGCATAGAAAAGGCTCGGATGAGAGAGAGGCACTTTGAAATGAAGGACAGGGGATATAGCCTGTCCGTCGGTCTCCTTGGGGACAAGACAGACATAGTCTCTGTGTTTCTTGGATACATAGAGGCCTTGGGCATAGACAGAAGGAGTGTATACAGCCACATCTCTGATGCCGTTCTTGGCGGAAACGGCTCCATTGCAGAGAATCTGAAGAGCATACTGAGGCTGGGGATAGGAGATAAAGACTCCATGGCAGAGGAGATAATAAAGACACATAGGTAGATGGCACAGCGATTCAATATTAAACATTTTGACGCCCTTCAAAAATGAATGCACAAGTGGTGTTGTTTGCATCAATAGTGTTTTTGTCGTCACTGGTTGTTTGCTTGAGCCCAAGAGCCGTCACCTCGCTAGGAGTGGTCAAGAAGGTGTTTCCCTTTCTAACTTTGGCAACGGCAGGATTTCTTCTTGGCGTCCAGCTTCTGGAGCTCAGCCCGCACATGATTTCTGACTGCCATGGCCACAAAGAGCACGGCCATAACCACAGCCACCATCACTCGGACGAGTCTCCCATGCTTGGGTTCTTCGTTGCTGGACTCTCCTTTATCTTCCTCCTAGCCATTGACACCATCGTTCTGAAGCACAAGCACTGTGAGGAAAGCGAGAACAAGGAACACTCCCATAGCGGTGGGTGCCGGGAAGGCGATCCCCACCGGCAAGTAGAGGTGGCGGGAAACGGTCGTATTCCCGAGATATCCCAGAAGACCCCAAGCGTCCGAACCTCCGAGAAGAAGACAGAGAGACTGGGATGCTGTGACCCCAGCATTATAAAAAACACATCCTCAAAGACGCAAGTGTTCATATATATCCTGGGGATTTCCATCCACTCGTTTTTCGAAGGACTAGCGTTCAACTCGATCGACAAGATAGGCTCCTTGGAAACGGGTCTTATTCTCCACAAGATCCTCGAGTCCTTTGCACTTGGAGTTCCCCTGTTCACCTCTGGATTCAACTTTGCCAGCGGTCTAGCCCTTGCTGTATTCTACTCGTCCCTCACCCCCATTGGGATCATGATAGGGTCTGCCCCTGGATTTTTCAACCAGACCGTCAAGAATATCTTCAAGGGGCTTGCACTGGGAAGCATAATGTTCATGGTGTCCATTGAGATGATTCCGCCGATGTTCAATCATCCGAAGGTGAGTCGGGTCCATGGGATATTGACTCTCCTGATAGGCTATCTGGTCAGTGCAATGGTGATTTATCACTCCCATCCACACTGACTGCAAATACGGTAATAAATGCTCATTCCTTATCATCCAGCTGGCGCCCATCTACCAGGGCTTCGCTTACAACCGGAAGTACATGCACCATGAAGTTTCTCATGGGCTCATTGTGATCTGCGTTGCGAATCACAATCTTCCTTGGGTGTCTTGTCCTCTTGATAAGTGCATCCGCATGGGATTCTGGGACTATTTCATCGTCAGAGGAGACAACAAAGTAGACAGGGACATCAATGTCCTTCACACCGTTCATGTTGCTCCACTCATCCACCACAAGATGCTTTAGCACCCTCCCGAGCGGAATGCTGCTGACCACCTCTCTTAGCGATATGAACGGATTCACCAGAACCAGGGCGTCAACACGGCACATACCTGCCAAGCGAATACCCACGGCTGCACCTATGGAAAATCCCACCACTACTTTCCTGGTGCTTCTCCTCGACAGCCATTCAGAGGCTGTGGACACATCCTCGACTATGCCCCTTTCCGAGGGCACATGCGGATTTCCTGCTATTCCACGGTATATCATGGAGACTGTATTGCACCTAAGGGCTTTGGACAGGTATTTACAGAACTCTATATGCTCCCTTGTGACCACAAAGTTCCCTGGAAGGTAGATGATATCTGTGGAGGACATTTGGTCTATTAGGTAAAGATCAACCTCACTTTGGCCCCTGGACACCAGCCTGACTCTTATGTTCTCAGGCTTCCTTCTCATGCCCTTTCCAAAGAAGTAGAGAGACCTCTGGATGGTGAAGAGCAGAAACAGGAAGTCCAGTGAAAGGATCACGACTCCCAGGATGGTGTACATGGATAGCATGGCTGCCAGACCCAACTCCATGGATGGAGGAAAGAAATCCATTTTAATGTCTGGGCAGGCTGGTACCCATGCTTGGCGGCAGAAAGTTGGATGAGGCCTGATTAATATTGAGTGCAGGCAACCCCAGATGATAACAAAGACGGGAACAACAATTGTAGGGATGAAGTACAAGACGGGAGTCATACTTGCAGCAGACACAAGGTCGACACAGGGGCCTGTTGTTTCTGACAAGAACTGCGTGAAGATCCATCAGATCACAGATAAGATTATGTGTTGTGGAGCTGGAACAGCAGCAGATGCAAGCAGGGTGGCAAGGATGGCATCCAGGGAGCTCAGGCTGTTTCAGAACAAGTATCTTCGCCTCCCGCTTGTGTCCCACTTCAGGAAGGTGTGTACACAGCATCTTCACAAGTACGGAGGAGGGATAGGGGCAGCGCTGATTGTCGGAGGGATAGACAGTGAAGGGTGCCATCTGTATGAGATTCATCCTCATGGGTCGGAGAACTCTGCTCTGTTTGTATCTCTGGGATCTGGATCTCTTGGGGCCATAGCAACGCTCGAAAGCAGGTACAGGGCAATGGACAAGGACGAGGCCATCGATCTTGCATGCGACGCTGTGAAGGCTGGGATTCTCAATGACCTGTACTCTGGGTCGAACATTGATGTGTGTGTGATTGACTACTCCGGAGTTGAGTTTCTGAGGAACTACAGGAGGATTGGCGTGTCTGAAAACACGGACACGCTGGTGTATCCACTCGACTCTGTTAGGATCAAGAGAGAGGAGGTGTTCGACATTGTCGAAGAATATTAAATTTTGGTTTGTTAGATTCAAAGTGCGAGGATACCCTTCTGAATGGGGAATGTGTTCTCGAAGAATGTTCCGCTCCGAGAAAGTCTGGTGAGGCTTGAGGAGCAAATAAGCAAAGGAGAAAAGAGGGCCACAAGGCTCAGGGCTACCCTAGACAGCCTCCGAACTCGGATACTGGTGGGATCGCTTGCGGTTGTTGCTCTTTCTATAATATACTCATATGTAGATGAGCAGAGCATTGCGGTGTTTGTGCTTGGGAGTTCTCTTGCATGCTATATGGGAAGATGCCTTCTCCTCTACCTCTACGAGACGAGGATCAGAAGGATCGAGACTACCCTTGAGGATCTAAGGGAAAGGCAAAGGGAGCAGATTGCTCTTCTGAAGAAGGAGGAGTCCTTTGAGGCCACGAAAAAGGTTATCGACAAGTATGAAACCGAGTCGATGAGGAGACATTACTTTGGCAACATAAAGCAAAGGAAGAGAGGTGTGATGGATAATGTCACGGACATTGTCCTGGGAGATGACCCGGGCACGATGTATGCGCTGATCTGCAAGAAGTGCAACCATCACAATGGGCTGGTTCATCCAAGTGAATATGACCTCAACGAGTTCTACTGCTACAACTGCAACGAGCTGAACACCAGAACTCGGAATAGGAACAGCAATAAATGATGTATTCTTAATGGCAATGAGAGGGGTTTTGGATGTCTTTTGTGGATGCAGGCAGCCCTGCTAGGAATGGCGAGTGGCGAGGCAAGGGTCGAGTATGAGGTACTTGCTGCTCCAGACGGCAGGATATACTATTACAACAAAAGAACTGGAGAGAGCAGCTTTTCCAAGCCCGATGTACTCAAAGGGTCTGATGAGGATTTTGACGTAGATCCATGGATCGAATGCAGGAGCAAGAGGGGAAGGGTCTTCTACCACAACAGCATCACCAGAGAAAGCAGGTGGAAAAGGCCTCCGGAAAGGAAGAAGGAAAGGACGATGATAGGGGGCGTGGGAATGGACATGAGGATAACAGACCACGAGACATCGAAGTACCTGCTGGGTAGGCTGATGGAGCAGTATGGAATAACAAGCACAAAGGATGCATTCTACAGGCTGTCCACAGAGCCTATCTTCAGAGCAATAGAGATGGGTACTAGAAAAGACCTAATGAAGAAGTATTTCGAGGAGCAGGAGAAGAGTGCCAGGGAGGAAGATGAGCAAAAGCAAAGATACTATATTAATGAGGTTTGTAAGGTCGATGCAGGAGTGTCTGACTTCTTTGGATTCAACAGCATATTTTCCAAGCATCCATATTACTCCAAGATCAAGGATAAGTTCGGATGCTATGAGGTATATGTTGGGAGGCACATGGGGGGTACGACACCAGGGAGGCTTGAGGAGGTTTTCAGGAGCCTCGGGATCGGCTTGAGCAGCTCGGTAGTCGATGTTCTCAAGATGAAGGAGATGGAACCATTCGACAGAAAGGCCATTTTATTCTCGTTTATTCGGTACTTCCGCAGGCTAGAGAAGGAGCTTCTGTCGGCCATTGAAGAGAGGAAGGCTGCAGCGGCCCAGAATGCTCAGCATCACAAAAATGAGTTCAGGACACTTCTGAGGAAGCTGTACAGCGAGGGGCTGATATACTACAGAATGAAGTTCAAGAATGCATTCCATTTATTCAAGGACTCCGAGTCGTTTCTGAATCTTTTGGGAACCACAGAAAGCCCTAAAGAAGTGTACTTCGACTTCATCAACGATCTGGAAAACAGGCTGGGGAGATACGAAAGGGAAAGAACAGGAAAGATCAGCCCGACAGACAGAAGGGCGGTGGACAGGTACTTTGAAGCGATCGCCGAGGAAAAAGAGGAGGGGGAGATATAGGCCTATGTCTGCCCTGGAGCTCCGAAGAGCATGTCGACCATTGACGACACAGACTCTGACTCAAGCGCCGCGTTCTGGAGCTCGAAAATGTACTCCGGAATACTCTTTTCGACCAGATACAGGGCCAGCGTGTTGGTGAAGTTATTGCAGTTATTCTTGAGCAGATGGTATTTGTGGGGAGCGAAGTCTTCAGCTATGGAAAAAAGAAAGTCCTCAAACACAACCTCCGGGATATCGGTGGCCCCAAGATCATGGATTTTTAGAGGAGTTCCGTAGATGGTCGATCCCGGGCGAGCTTTCATTATCCCGTTCTGGAAAAAGTACTCTGTGCCGTAGACCTCGATGGAGGTGTGCCATATGCAGGCCTCACTCTTTCCCAGCGACGAGGTGATAAACCTCTTCAACACTTCGTCTCCAAGAGAATAGACCCTCAGTATAACATTGTGCTTCTCCATGGGTTCCAAATAAACAATCACCAATAAAAGCCAATTGAAGGACGATGCAGAGTAGTATTCTTTATTTCTTGCCAGCCTTTGGTCCCTTTGGGGCAATCTTGATGCCCTTGCAGTACTCCAGGGCCTCGCTCTCCTCCATCTTGATGAGGGTTAAGCTTTTCCCCTCCTCCTCAAACTTCTTTTCCTTGATGTCTTCTGCATGCTTCATCCTTATTACCTTCTGTTTTGTGTCCACAAAGGCGCTGTTCTTGACCAGGCTCTTTACTGTTTTGATATCAAGATCGTCTTCAGACTCGTATCTGAACAGCCGAGGCACAAACTCTTTCTCAAGAGCCTCTCTGGCCTCCTTCTCCTTCCTTTCTGCAGACATCTTCTCCTTCTCCCTAAGATACTCATCCTTTGCCATAATAACAAGATACCTCTCCTCGCCTTTCTGCTTCTTGACCTTCTCCTCATCGTCCTCCTGCTTCTTTACTGGAATCTTCTCCGACAGAGCCCTCTGGGCCTCCTCTTCCGACTTCATCTCTGCAAACACACTCCCACTGAAGTTCTTTTCCTTGTCTCTTCGCATTCTGATCAGAACAGGAGTGATGTGCGGCGACACCATCTCCTTTATGTCCTCAAGCGTCGAGTTCCTGTCAAATCCACTGATGTAGACCACCCTCTTGCTTATATCCTTCTCCATAAGATATGACAGGTACTCCTCAGTTTCCACCTTCTTCACCATATCATCCTTAATCTCGACAACCCTGCTGTCCTTCAGAGCCTCTTTGACATCGTCGACAGTCGCCCCAAGGCCCTTGAGCCTGTTAAACGAGACAACCGTCTTTATTGGAATGTACCCGTTGTTCACCAAGGACTGCTCCTTGAGAAACTTGTCTACTCTGAAGTTTGCATCGCTGAAATAAAACTCAACCTGGGACTTGATCTTCTCAAGCTTGTCTGCTGACATGAATGGGCACAAAAATTTATTATCCAAAATCTGTTGCTCTGCAAAGGCCAAACCGCTGCAGAGACACTCAAAATCTATCTACCTTGTCAAGGATAAAGCTCATAACCATGTCCAGGTACTCCACGTCGTTTCTGTTAGCATACTTCCTTTTGAACACAGGATTGACGGTGTGCAGAGGCCCAAAGTACGTATAGAACGGGTTGTCGCTGGGAATCTCGGTGGCCGGATCCTCCCCACACAGAACAGCCGTCTCATATGCCCAGCACCTTGCAACATTGGTCAGGGTGTATCCTCCCCCGCCTAGACAGAGCAGAGGAATCCCAAGCGAACTAACAAACCGAACGCAGGATGCATGGCCCTCTATCGAGAGGTTGAAGCATCCGAGTCTATCCTCCCCCAGGGAATCTGCACCGCACTGCAGGACAATCGCATCCGGCGAAAACCTCCTAACACAGGACTCCACAATCGGCTCGAAGATGTATCTGTAACTCGGGTCATCAATCCCAGACAGAAGCGGGACATTCACAGCTCTGTGACCCGTCGTGATCAAAGTTCCTGTCTCAGGAAAAAACCCGTCTCCATACTTGTGTAGAGAAAGAGTCAGAACCCTGTCGCACTCCAGAAACGCCTCCTCGACTCCGTCTCCATGGTGGACATCTATGTCTATGTACATAACCCTCCGATATGTCTTGAGAAGCTCCAGAATTGCCAGCACAATGTCGTTGACATGGCAGAACCCGCTGGGAATGGCCTTATGTGCATGGTGCAACCCTCCACTCCAGTTGATCACGGTGCTGTATGCTCCCTCCGAAAGAATCATTGCAGAGTTTATGGAGGCGCTACCATACAGCTCGCAGAATCTGGGAAGGCCAATGAAGTTGGGGCAGTCGGGCGTCTCGTTCTTCCCAAGATTCCCCAGATACTCCTCCGTGTGGTATGACGACAGAGGAAAGACTTCCGGCTTAACTATCGTCATCTTCTTGTCGAGCCCAAAGGATTTCACTAGCGAGTGCGTAACCACCGTTCTAAACGGCTTCATGGGGTGTCTAGGGCCGTAGTGGAACAACCCAACCTCCTCGTCAAACATATATGCAACAGCCATTCTTTTGAAGGGTCCCTGCCAGACAAACTTCTTTCTCTCTTGAAAACATTCCGGAGAGCCCTACGAGAATAGCTATGTATGTGTGCATAGAGTGTGGAAGCAGGGCAAAGCATCTGTTTCTCAGAAACTCCTCTGCCCAGCAGGTTTCGAGATGCCCATCGTGCAACAGGAAAATGGACAGGTACTTTGAGCTGAACGGTCTGATAAAACTCATAGACCTTCTCCTGCTTAAAAGAAGAATCTTCAGGCATTACCTCTTTAATAGCAAGAGAGACTTCACCAAGGATGTCCTGATAATGCTGGCTGTCAGGATGTTCACCGAGCCTATACTCCAGCACCACGAGGCCCTGGGACTTCTCCTTTCCGAGGGTCCAGGCGAAGGCGTCTCCATTGCAGAGATGGCCACCATCTGCAGAGATGTTCTGGAGAGTCTAATGGAAACGTCTCTGCTGCTGGTGCTGGTGTTTAGCATGTTCCATAGACATGCTGGATTCGTAAGGCTGTCCAGCGCACTTCTGCTTTCGAGCTTCTACTATCTATTCATGTTCATCATGACAATGTGGAGGTACCAGTGCGAGGAGTATCTGCTTGTCATAGAGTTTCTGTGTGTGGCATGCAACTCAATTGTGATTTCGGAGATCTGCCTGGTACGGAACGAAGTGGCACTCGGATGCATCTATGGATGCAAATTTGCCGCAGGACTGGTATGCAAAAGAATCCTTGGGACCATTAGATTGAATTTATTCTTGAGTGGATGCAGCACCATTCCCAAGTATTCTCCGGCTTAGTGTTCTGGGAGTACCCTAACGACTGGGATCTTCATCGACTCGAAGACATAGTCCTCCAGCGACTGCACAAAATACTCGTAAAGCTTTCCTCTTCTATGCCTCCCAACAAACAGAACTGCCTGCACCTCCAGACACGATAGACACTTGCTTATCTTGTATTTCTCGTCTCCGCTGATCACCAGCTTCGATATCTCTGCCCTGGAGTTGACCTTCTTCACAGCCTGGGCAGCCTTTTCAAGATGTGCAACAATGGCCTTTCTGTGAAGCTTCTGCTCCATGCTCAGGATCTTCTCTGACTCAAGCATCACATGTGGCTCGTTGAAGAGAAATATCTTGTTCCTTTCTATGAATATCATTACGACATGCTTTGCCGACCCTATCAATGCACCTGTTGCCAGATCCTTGGTGGATGGGATTTTGTCATCCAGAGACCTCATCACAACGGCTATAGTCTTCATGCGGCCCGTGGCTGCATGCTGGATTATATCTACTCCTTTGGGCAGGATTACGTCTCCTATCTGCAGAGCACCTATCATTGGTCTCAAAAGCTTGATAAATTTGGAAAGTGTTTGGCGCAAGCAATGAGAATGGTGCTGACAAAGATAGTCTGCACGATTGGACCCAGAACATCTTCTAGGGAGAAGATCAAGGAGCTGATAGATGCTGGGATGTCGATTGCAAGACTGAACTTCAGCCATGGATCAAGGGAAGCACATCTGGAAGTGATTAGGAACATCAGAGACTCCAGAAGTGGTGCAGGGAGGCATGTTTCAATAGCACTGGACACAAGGGGGCCTGAGGTGAGGCTTAGGACACCGGAGATGAAGGATATCAAGGTGGAGGGTGGAGAAGTTCTCCGGTTCTCCCTTCTTTCTTCTGAAAAGGACATCTGGATACCCGGTGTTGACCTTAAGTCTCTGGGTGTAGACAACAGGGTGTTTATTGACGACGGGGCAATCGAACTGAGGGTAGTCAATGTGGAAGAAGATGGATTTGAATGCGAGGTGCTGAACAGTGGCATGATCAAGAGCAATAAGTCCATGAACTTCCCTGGCACGGACATTGGAGATAGGGCTCTGGGGGATGAGGACAAGAATGATATCGCCTTTGGGTTGGAGAATGGGATAGATATGGTTTTTGCATCTTTTGTGAGCTGCCGGGCGGATGTCGAGGAGATAAGAAGGCTTGTCGGAAGCAAGGTCCCGGTTGTATCCAAGATAGAGTCGTGTCTAGGGATGAGGAATCTGAAGGAAATAGCCCTATGCTCTGACGGGGTGATGATAGCAAGGGGAGATCTTGGAGTTGAGATTGGGCTGGAAAACATGTTCAGTGCCCAGAAGAGAATACTTTACGAAGTGAAGAGGGAGGGGAGGCCTGTGATCTGTGCAACACAAATGATGGAGAGCATGACTTTGAAGAATGCGCCGAACCGGTCAGAAATTTCTGATGTTGGAAATGCAGTTCTTGATGGATGCGACTGTGTGATGTTGAGTGCAGAGTCGGCTGTTGGGATGTTCCCTGTCGAGACTGTTAAATTCATGAGGAGCATCTGTGCTGATGCAGAGAGATATGACATGGAGAGCAGGAAGGGGGCAGGGGCTTGCGGGGTGTCTTCCTATGTGGATGGAGTTGTGATATGCTCTGGTACGGAGTCACAGATAGAGAAGATCTACCTGAGCAAGCCTGAAACTCCCATTATTGTGATTTCCGAGTCCCTGTGGATTCTCAGGAGGTTCAGCATCTATCGAGGAATCATTCCTGTGTATGGTAAGGGGTCTGAGGACGCGGAAGCTACTCTGCGAAGGCTAGGACTGAGGGGAAGATTCCTAGCTGTCGGCAGAGAAGATGTGAGGATGGTGAGTGTTTGAGGGATGGATTTTGTAGCCCCGGTATGGTCCGTATAAAGGCGAGGTACATAGTTGTGAAGCTTCGATTTGAGGGGAACGGGAGCATGCCGGGTAGGGAGATGTTGGGATCGGTTATCAGATCGAGGGTTTGCACAGACTATGGAATCCACGTCCTATCGATGGTGGGGAGTCTGGTGGTTGTTGAGTATCTGCCCCACAACCAAGTGGCAGTGGTCAGGTGCGATGCCCCAGCATGCAAATATGTCTTGTTCACGATTGCCACTATAGGGGAGGTTTCCGACCTCAAATGTTCCATGTCGGTTCTGTGGGTGTCTGGGATTCTTAAGAGAGCCATGAGAAGGATTCTGAGGTATGTGGAGAAGGAAAGGGTTAGAAAGTAAGTGGGCCCAAGACTTAAATGCTTCTTGTCGCAGCCCCTGATGGACTTGTGCAGGATATGCGATTGCAGAATATCGATAAGATGCGAGACGACGTGTGGACACGGCTTCTGCTACCTATGCATCAAGAGGCATCTGGGGACCCAGGATTTCTGTCCTGTGTGCAGGGAAGACCCCTGCTTTGTAAGAGAGCCGGGATCCTCTGGCAGCAGATGGGATAACGAGGGACATGCAAGAAACGGAGACCTTGATCGCAAGGTTCTCGAGAGTCTGTGCAGGCTGAAGAGGTATATAAAGGAGGAGAGGGTGTGCAGATGGTAGTGTATTGGAATTAAAGGTAGTTTTGGACTGTACTGTTTATGAGAAAAAATTATTGTTGACCCAGTAAGGATGGCAGGATTCTACGAGAGAATCAGAGAGACATGGAATAGCATCAGGAACACACTAAGGCTTGGACAAGGAAGGGAGCAGTGCTCCTACGAAGAGCTGTGCTCGAGGTTTGGGAGCGAAAGGGCGATTGAGGTAGATGAGCTTGATCACATCAAGGAGCTGTGCAAGGCGATAGCAGAGCCACAGTGTGGAAAGAAGATAGACGATGGATTTGAGGTGCTGAAGAGGATTGCCGTAGAAAAAGCTGAGGAAAGGGCGGGAGTAAAGCGGAAGAGAGAGAGAGACGAAGAGGAGGTGAGGAGCGAGAAAAGGTCTAAGAAGTATAGAAGGAGAGGATACCAGAGGAAGTATGCCCTAAGGAAGGAAGACGATGTCAGTTGGGGGATTCTGCCAAAGAAGTATAGGGTAGAAGGAAAGACGCCAACGGAAACGGTTGAAAAGGCGATTTCATACGATGCTGAGGACAACCTTTTTCTGCATTTAGGAGAGGTGTCGACTGATGAAGAGTCCGAGTACTTCTGTGAGAGAAATGTAAAGAGGTTGAACTCTGGTGAGGTGGAGAACAAGGTCATATGCAACTTCGGAGAGGAATATAACTGCAAGAAGTGTGTAGAGTATGAGATAAGAAAGGAATACGAAGCCAGAGAGGGCGAAAGGAGAAGAGAGGAGAAGGAAAGGGCAGAGAGGAGAAAGAAAATGGCAAGAGATAGATGGGAGTCCAGGGTGCCTAGGTCGTACTTCTACCTTGAGAAGGATCTTGGGGTTGACAGGACGATGGCAAGGTATGTTACTGATGACAAGTTTGATATTGACGACCTCGAGGAAACGGAGAGAGAGAGGCTTGTCCGAGTCCTTAATCAAGCAAGAAAGGACCAGCTTTTTGACATAGAAAAGATTGGAAGTAAGAGGGTCAGCTTTGACGAGAACAAAAATGAGGTATCTGAGGTATGGGTTCCCAAAGTCAACAGCGAAGAGAATAGCAATGATGTGGAGCCTAGACTTTCCGGAAACATGGATATTGGGAGAGATGGTATAGATGCGGAGCTGCGAACCAATAATGATACCAGTCGCTCTACACTGCAGCCATGTCTTCTCCTGGAGCCTACTTCTGAGGTTGAGGAAAACGCTTCAGATGGTATAAGGCATAGTGAAGGGAGCGGAGATGCGACGTCTTCAAAGATGCCAGTGTGTGAAGAAGTTCTTAATGAGTCTGCAACGATTGAGGAGGAGGGAGTTCTGGCAGAGGGGAAGAAAGATGAGGAGAAGGAGCCAAAGAGATTTGGATTCTGGGATGGAAGGACTCCAAGTGTGCAGGAAGATACGCCAGTGTTCCAGTTTGGTTCTGGAAGTCCATTTCCTACGCAGGACTCTCCCTCCACTGTAAATCATGAGAACATTTCCAGTCCGTTTGCTTCTGACCTTAAGGCTCCAGAGACTGGAGGGTTTGTATTTGGGGGAGGGCCTAGCCTCCAACCACACCCTTCAGGCACACAAGGGCCTCTACTGGATTCCCCTGTCCCGGGATCCTCACTGTTGAAGAGAAAACTGAGCGGTTCAGGAGAGGTTATCCAAGGCCCCGGGGCTGGGATCAGCTTTTCTTCTGTGCATGGAAAGAGCGCCTTTCCTGCAACCAGTGATGGCATGATTACCGAGACGCAAAGCTTTCCATTATTTAATAACACAGGCCCAGGACAGGCGGAAGGACCTCAGCGAGCTGATAGCATTGGATCTGTAGGTAACATATTCAGTAATGGAAAGAGCTTGTTTAGCGGTCTTTTCGAGGGCACCGTGCCTTCCCAGCAGCCTGCCAAGCCAAGCATAGGGTATACCGACCCGAACGAAAAGAATGAAGGTGGTCTCAGTGGACTGTTTGGGAGCGGAATCTTTAACGCAACCGACGACGACCCTTTTGAGAGAAGTAGACTAGATAGGAGAAGGTGATGCAATGAATAGCTAATTAAAGGCTTAGATCTGGGTTTTCCCTGTCTATCTGTAAATGATTCTAGAGCAGGGGTAAAAGATGTACCTTGGAATCCCTGTTGTTCCCAGGGTATGGAGTTCGAAATTTGTTCCTCTGACACCTACACAGGAGGAATATTCAAGTCGTGCATAAGATGGAAGAGGCGTGCAGAGACATCACAAAGGCTCGACTTTCTGACGGCACGGGTTACCGGCGTTGTAAGAATAAACAGGAAGGAGGTCAGGTTCCTGGAGTCTGTTCCTGTTGAGCTCCCAGTGGAAGAGAGCCAAGAGACTGTCTACAGATGCGTCATACCAAGGAATGCTCTCCCCTCGATGCAGCTGAAAAGTCTCGAAGTGATCTACATGATAACCGTTGAGGCGTACTACGGAGCGATGAAAGAGATAGAGACAAGAGTATTTGGCGTTCATCCTGTAGGATTCGAACCCTCGAAGAAGATGGAAGGCATTGTAGTCCATGCAGACATGATCAGAGTCGGGGATGGCGATGGCACAGCATTTGGGGAGATAGTTGGGCGCCTGAGAAACGGATTTGAATGTAGCGACGGGACGATTGAGGAGGTGGCAAGGCAGAAGATGCATCTTCTTGAGGACTTCCCCAGAACCATGAACGAAACCGTTGAGAGATACAGACTGGAAAACAAAGGAGACATATACTTCTATGTGTCGATGGAAGGCTCTGCAGTCGAGAACGGGAGGCACAGGGTCGTTGCAAGAAGTGCTGAGAAGGATATTGCCAGAATCGAATATGGGCTGTATCTTGTGAAAGACGAGGTGATGGTAATACGGTACGAAAGAAATGCCAAATCAACCAAAATAACGCTGAAGATAACCGAGTACATCAATGGAGAGGTCGCACATGACGAGGAGAGGGTGCTAAAGGAGTTCAACTCCGACATGTGTCTCTACAAGACAGTCCCACTCAAGATTGAAGAAGACTGCTTTACTTTTGACTGCATGCTGTTTTCCATAAGGTTTTTGTACAAGGTAGAGCTCGATGGCCTCACCTTTGTCTTGCCAATAAACAAGGCTTCTCCAAAGGCAAAAATAAACATAGACCAGCTGTAAAGCAGATAATCTTTCGAATCGAGACTGGAGATGGAGGGGCCTGCCGGATCCAGCGAAGCGAAAGAAGACATCGATTGTGAGGAAGAAGGTGAGAAGCTGGACTCTGAGCTCCACCGGCTTAGGCAAGAGAACATAAGGCTTGGCGGAGAGATAGTAATACTGCGGCAAAACATGATTGCACTAGAGAAGGAGAACTTCGCAATGAAGGAGCAGAGGAGCAGGGCAGCACTTGATGGCCTGAAGAGGATGGAGAAACTAAAGAAGGAGGTTGATGTCCTCAAGGTCGAAAGCCGAATAAGAGAGAACCAATCAAGGGTGCTGAAGAGGCAAAAGACCACCACAGAGATTGACGTCAAGTGGGCCCTTGCAAGATCAAGCTGTGGAATAAGCTTTTCTCTCCTTCCGTTTGAGTTCAACAGGCTCAAGTTTTTGAAATCGTTCTTCTACTCCGACTTCTGTCAGCTGGAGTCCTCGTCGGTGATCAGAGAGATGAAAAAGAAGATCTCGAGGTTCAAGGAGTTTCTGGACTTCTACATGCTGTTCAGCTGTAAGGTAGATGTCTTCAGGGAGTTCTTCTGTCTGGTTCTCATGAACCCGCTGTTTCCAGAAGAAAAGATGAAGCTATTCAATACACTTCCACTAGACTGGATACTCAACTTCAGTGACGAACAGTTTATTTCTCTTGTCAAGGAATATATAGATAGGAACTATAGGCTGATGGGGCTTTTTCTGCTGAGGGTGGCCGAGGAGAGACCGTTTCTTCTGAACATTCTCATCACCAAGGAGATGTTCACAGAGTTGGCCAGAATGGACACAAGGGTTGGATGCAGGCTTATATCCGAGGTGTGCAGGAAGGGAGGCCTGTCTCTCATTGACCATACAAACATCCACTACATTCCTCAAGAAGATCTGAAGGTTTTGTACAAAGACCTATACTTTGAGGTTTATTTTGATGCCGTTGCGTAATGCAGGGCATCATCTCTATAGCACTGAATAAAAGAGATGTCGTTCAAACCACTTAATCAGTCTACTCCATAGCAACAGGTATCCTAACGCTAATTCTCTGTGCATTATGGCAATCATATTCAGTCTTTTGGATACAGATATGCTGGCCATTGATTCATTAGAAGCTTGGTGCTCATTGAAGCTCCGGCTCTTGCTCCGCCATTTCTTTTTCCATGATGGAATGTGACAAGTAGCCTGGAACCAAAAAGTGGTCAGGAGAGTTATGAATATAAAGAACCATGCATGGTCTTTCATAGAATCCCCTTTGTGGAGGATAGGGACCAACCTTTCACTGGTATATGACAAGATTTTCTGAACCAAACTCTTAAATCTTGAGAGTGGCACCATGCAATTTCCTTTCGATTTATCAATGCCCGAAGAAGCTTTCGTAGGTACCAGAAAAACGCTCAAACCCCAAATTCTTATCTGAGGTAGTTGGAATGGGCCCGCCTGCAAGACTGTGCAAGTCTTCCAACACTTGTCTAGCAGCATCGATGGTGGTAATGCTCTCGGCCCTATTTTTAGGATTCCTCCTCCTCAGGTCGTTGGAGACACGAATAATTGCTTTCACCCAAAAAGAGATTGCATAGCCATAGCGATTTAGTGTCTCATTGTATCTTCTGTGCATAGCTCCGTGGTAATGCTCCCCCTGTAATCATGAAGTCAATTCTGGCAAACATATTCCGAATGCGCTTGGTCTGTTCTATCGGCAGGAGATCAGGACCCTTGATTTAGTAGGTTGCTACGCACGATATGAAAACCTCCAGTTGCTGTTCGGCTACTCTTCATTTTCATCCCCTGGCGTCTCCTTTACGCACTAGCTGATTGCTGAGTGATATTCTCTGGATATTTGCAGTCTGTTCTGCCAACGGATTATTCCTGATTTCCAATTAACTTCTTTGAAAAACATTTAATATATATATTAGGTTGGACATCAACCCGCAAAGGATGGAGCAACCCAAGGGTTTACGAGGTGTTTCTGCCAGGCTTAGCAACGAAGAAGAACTAAAAGTGTTCAATGCAATTATCTCATCTATTCTCGAGGCTCTTCTCTTCTATAAGGAGAAAGTGCTCGGAAGTATTATGGATTCTCCAAAGGCGAAGAAGGAAGAAGAAGTAATTAGTGCTGTTCAAGCAGCTTTAAGTGCATTAGAAGCTCTAAGAAAAGCTGTTTCTGAGAATCCCATTACTACCTCCAGCGATCAAGACATTAAGCTTGAAGAATTTCTTCTATGTATTAACGGATTGGTGAAGGAGTTCCAAGATCTTTATAAGGCATTTATTGAGGCACTTAAACGTCTTCTTCCACATATCGATGGAAGTATAAAGATTGATGTGCAAATCTCTAACCAATTAGGAACAAAAAGAACGTCCACGAGAAATGTCATCTTATTTCTTTTACAGTATAGAGGAGATTTTATTGCTGCTAATAATGCCATCAATTGCTTTTCTAGGAATATGCGCCTATTAGGTATTGATATTCTAATGAAGCACTTCAAACCTACTATTGATAACATTTTTTCGATCTCGGAAGAAGGCTTGAGAGCAATCGAGGGTGATTATCTTTCTGAGGAGGAACAGGGTTGGCTCCTAGAATCCTGCGAACCCCTTACTGAGTGCCAACAAAAATTTCTGGAAGCATATGGAAAATTCACTCCTAGCCCCGGAGAGGACAAAGAGGACTCTGATGTTTCACTCGACAAACTAAAAGAAAAGCTAGAGGAAACGGTCAGGAAAGTAGAGGGTCTAAAAGCCAAGATTAGAGGACTAAAAGGCATGGATGATGACACTCCTAAGGATACTGCTCCACCCAGGGTTCCGGAGAAGGCTCCATCCGAGGTGACGGAAGAAGTCTCAGGCAAGTATCCAGACAAGGATCCAAGTAAAACGGAGGGTGAAGACAAGGAGCCTCCTGAAGAGGCACCCTCCCCCGTCAGGAGGGCAGTGGCCAGCCTGGACACCGGACGCCCGTTCGGAAACCTGTGCGTTGTGTTCGTCCTCATCCTGGCCGTCCAGGGCCTCCTGCGGGTCTCCGGGATGGAGCACAGCACACTGGGTGTGTCCTGGAACACCGCGCTCTACTCGCTCGCCGTTGCAGGCGCCGTCACGTACCAGCTGTGGGTGCTCGCCGAGGGCTGCCGCAGGGGCGGGGCCGGCAGCATGGCGAGGCAGGGGTGGAGTGCCGTTGCGTGCATGGCGCCGATGCTTGTGGCGGTTCCCCATGCGGGGGTGATCAGGAGCAGCATGTACAGCGTGGCGGTGGCAGGGCTTGCGGCTGTCACGCTGTATGTGCAGGATGCAGCAAGGCGCGGGATGCCGTGGCGGGAGGCGTGTGCGGTTGGCGCAGGGAATGCGGTGCTGGCTGCGGCATGTGCTGCGGGGTCTGTGGCACTGCGGACGGCGTGTGCGGGCGGCCCTTCTGGGTGTGGATGGGGGTTGTTGTGTTTGTCGGCCTGCTGCTTGCTGTGTCGTATGCTGAGAGGGGGGGAAGAGGGCAGAAGGCGGAGGAGTGTGGGGATGTGGTTGCGAGTGTGCTGCTTGTGACGACTGTTGTGGTTGGGACGATTGGGTCGCTTGTGTGTGGGCGTGCCTACCACGAGATGTATGTGGGGGGGGGGGTGGAAGTACCTGCCGAGTGATGAGATTGAATGATGTTATTCTTGTTAATTATCCTTTTTTATTTGGATGCTGTAAAGGTAGTATCCTGTCACGGAGACAACAACGGCGAGCAGGATCCAGACAAGCCTTCCTCCTGTGTGGACGTCGTCGCTTGTGTACTCCCCAGGCCCAAGGTCCTTGAGATGGTAGCTCTCGACTGCGACAAGTCTGAAAGAGGCAGAGGACTTGCCTGTTGATGCAGAGACCCCGAAGAAATCTCCTTCCATACCATCCACTCAGCAAATAAACAAGAAGTACTTCAACACCCGGGGTGTTGGATACTCATGTCCATAGCCTTGAGTGGCAACGGCTTTGATTGAAGAGCCCTCAATGGTCACTCAGCAGGTACTTCCACCCCTCCTCCCACATACATCTCGTGGTAGGCACGCCCACACACAAGCGACCCAATCGTCCCAACCACAACAGTCGTCACAAGCAGCACACTCGCAACCACATCCCCACACTCCTCCGCCTTCTGCCCTCTTCCCCCCCTCTCAGCATACGACACAGCAAGCAGCAGGCCGACAAACACAACAACCCCCATCCACACCCAGAAGGGCCGCCCGCACACGCCGTCCGCAGGTGCCACAGACCCCGCAGCACATGCCGCAGCCAGCACCGCATTCCCTGCGCCAACCGCACACGCCTCCCGCCACGGCATCCCGCGCCTTGCTGCATCCTGCACATACAGCGTGACAGCCGCAAGCCCTGCCACCGCCACGCTGTACATGCTGCTCCTGATCACCCCCGCATGGGGAACCGCCACAAGCATCGGCGCCATGCACGCAACGGCACTCCACCCCTGCCTCGCCATGCTGCCGGCCCCGCCCCTGCGGCAGCCCTCGGCGAGCACCCACAGCTGGTACGTGACGGCGCCTGCAACGGCGAGCGAGTAGAGCGCGGTGTTCCAGGACACACCCAGTGTGCTGTGCTCCATCCCGGAGACCCGCAGGAGGCCCTGGACGGCCAGGATGAGGACGAACACAACGCACAGGTTTCCGAACGGGCGTCCGGTGTCCAGGCTGGCCACTGCCCTCCTGACGGGGAAGGGCGCCTCTTCAGGAGGCTCCTTGTCTTCACCCTCCGCTTTACTTGGATCCTTCTTTGGAACCTCGGGTGTAGCATCCTTGGGAGCGCCATCATCGATGGGCTGTGGGCCTCTAATCTTAGCTTGTAGATTCTCTGCTTCCGTAACCATTTCTTCGAGTCTCTCTTTTAGTTCACCAAATAATGTCTCAAAGGCTTCTCCACTCCCTAAACTATTAATGGAATCTTTGTGCAATTCCAGAAGCCTTCTAAGGCATTCGGCAAGGGCATTGCAGGCATCTACCAACCCTTTCCTTTGCTCCTCAGAAATATCCTTACTCTCGATTGCTTCTTTACCTTTTTCCAGGATGGAAGAGGTGCTATCAAAAATAGGCTTGAAGCTATTCTCTAGAGCATTAGCACCTAACTGACACATATTTTCAGAAAACTGATGGAGAACATTAGTATGAGAAACAGAACATTCTCCTTTCCCTAAAGGGAGGAAGACAACATCTTTCAAAGATATCATTTCTGGATGATGCGAAGTTACATCAATCTTTGTACTTTCATCTATATGTGGAAGAAGACGTTTAAGTGCCTCAATAAATGCCTTATAAAGATCTTGGAACTCCTTCACCAATCCGTTAATACATAGAAGAAATTCTTCAAGCTTAATGTCTTGATCGCTGGAGGTAGTAATGGGATTCTCAGAAACAGCTTTTCTTAGAGCTTCTAATGCACTTAAAGCTGCTTGAACAGCACTAATTCCTTCTTCTTCCTTCTTCGCCTTTGGAGAATCCATAATACTTCCGAGCACTTTCTCCTTATAGAAGAGAAGAGCCTCGAGAATAGATGAGATAATTGCATTGAACACTTTTAGTTCTTCTTCGTTGCTAAGCCTGGCAGAAACACCTCGTAAACCCTTGGGTTGCTCCATCCTTTGCGGGTTGATGTCCAACCTAATATATATATTAAATGTTTTTCAAAGAAGTTAATTGGAAATCAGGAATAATCCGTTGGCAGAACAGACTGCAAATATCCAGAGCGAGAACATCACTTGGTAACCATGGTGTGTAAAGAAAATGGGGATTCGGGTGGATGGATGGAGATCTACAGGCTAGCTGCCAGAGGCTCTTCAGATGTGTGAGTGGACTGCATTCTGTGTGTTGTCCAGCACTTCTGGATGCTTCTAAAGATGTCTCTTGTTGCGTGGTGCTTGGATGTTCCATTTCCACCCCGTCTTCTTGTCTCTTCTGCATGGATTGTAAACGCACCAATTGGGTAAAAGGATGGTATATCTCCATCTTCCCACCTGAACCATTCACCACTTGTTAATTCCAGTTTATTATAAATGTAAATAGATATGATGAGAAGCCCCTATGATTGCTCTTCTGTTTTTTGGACATACCGAAGCTACAAAAGGAATTCCACCTGACATCTGGAACTCCATGGAGTACTACGGGGAGTTCCTGAGCAGAAGAAGGGAAGTGGCGGCAGCTTTATTTCTTGCAGGGCTCCTTGTGAACTTTCTGGGAATCCGTATAAAGAGGTGTTCGCTGTCCATAATAGCCTTTCCGGCACTAAGGCTAAGCGTTGGAAGCATCATGGAGGTTGTCAACGGGATAGTTGCAGACAGGTACGGGAGCATCGAGAAGGCGCCCAAGATCGTCAAGAATGTGGTTGGGATCCTGGATAAAATGGACAAAAACAGATTTTTCATGGCATTTCTATCTGTTGCACTTGGGCTTGTGATGTTTTTCTTTGTGAAGACCATTATATACATCATGATGGGGTATCTTGCATTCCATCTCTGGGGGGTGCTGGAGTCGTCTGCAGAGGGGACGATGGAGGGGGGCTCCTACTACGTCTACCAGACGATAATGCTGTGCATCGGGATCCTTGTCCTGGTCCTTGTCAAGCCCATTACCTTCTTGATCTACATCCTTGTTTTCTCTGTTTTCGGGTCTCTTTTCATCATAGTCGGGGCCAACTACGGATTCAGCCTAAACCTCAGACTCGAAGAATATGTTGGCATGCTCAGGAGGGGGGGCTTTTACCAGGGCCTGGCCGAAAACAAGATCTCCATCGGGTACATATCCCTCATCACGATGGGAATTGTTTCCCAGCTGCTTCTCAGGAAAAAGAGTGTGCAACAACAAAAAAGTTAGATGTATTCGGAGCGACCTCACCTTTCCTATATTAAAAGGCTTAATGGATTGACTATTCTCATCAGCACGGCGGATAGAAACACCCAAAAAGCACCGCGTATGCTATTCCAAATCCAAAGAAGAATCTGAACAGAACTCTTTTCCAGAGGCCACTCTTGATTGTATAGTACTTTTCAGCCAGGGTCCAGTATATCAGAGGGTTGAATGAGACGAACCTGAAATGCATGTTCCAGTGAATCAAAAATATCGTGATGAGTGTCTGGATCAGAAGTATAACCGCACACATGTCTGTACTGAATCTCTGGGTGTTTAGGGGTGCCTTTTTGTGGCCTCTGTGTCTCTTGGTCCAATACTCCCAGAGGACATACAGGGAGATCAGGATAAATGGAAGCCCAACGAAGACATTTGGGATGTTCTTGAACGTGAAGAACCTGAACAGGCCCTGCTCCCAGAAGGTCTTCTGTATGTGGGAGTACGGTATAAAGATCTCATGGGCATTCCTGGCTCTGTTGATCATGAGGAGAGAGTAGTACTGGAATGCAGCAAGCGGTAGCAGAACCACGGCTATTCTTATGAAGACATATCTGTTGAACGGATACATAACAAATGGTGCAAACAGAATGCTGTTGGATCTGCACAGGCCGCACAAAGATAAAAATAGTGTGCCACGGATGGTGTCGTTGTTTTCAATGAAATAGATTCCCAGGAGAAAAAGGAGCATAAACAGGGACTCTGAATACATGGCCGTATACACTATCGACGCAGGGTTGAATATAAACAGGACACAGCCCATTCTTGCCATCTTGTCTCCATACCTTCTCCGGGAGATTATATAGAGCAGCGCAGAGCTCAAGACTGATGCAGTGCATGAGACAAGGACACCTGTTGTGTGGGGCTCCGTGGGCAGTAGCTTGTTGATGCAACGAGACACATACGGAAGAAGGGGAAAGAACGCAGCTGCATGGGCCCTTTTGTATCCCCTCTCCATGATCTCAAGAAAGTGGATGGCATCCCACGAAAGAAGAAACTTCATGCATGAGCTGCTCGGGACAAGTTCTGTGGACTTGTCGAACCGAGGAAGAAGAAGGGATGCAACATATGAAATGCCCATGTAGAAGACCCTGGAGATGGTAGCTAGCCTTATTATCCCGAGTGTCCTTTTGTCAAGCATTATTCCCATGGGGAAGTATTTCAAGGTTTGTTTATTTCTGGACAGTAAATCTAACAAGATGATACACCCCATGTTTGTTCTTCTTCTTCAAGTACTAGGATGCCTGTGCAGTGAGCATGTGTTTGTCCAGGAGGCGTCGCTACTATCGCCTTATGTAGATGAGATCGGAAGGTTTCTTAACTGGAAGACCTTTGGAGAGCAGGTCATAAAGGTTCACGGAAAGGACGTGTTTGTGCAGCTAGGATACTCGTCTCCAAACAGCTCCGGGGCTGTTCTCGGATCCCATCCCATAAGCTCTGAAAGATTCTGTGTTGACCTGGTCATTGAAGTTGAAGAGGGGTCCAAGGGAGAAGACAGCGAGGGAATGGCCATATGGATATCAGATGAGGAGACATTTAATGAGGGGACCTGTTTCGGCAGATCCTGTAACTTTAAGGGCCTTCTGGTTGCCATAAAGCCTTCGGGAAAGTCGTACATCGGAGTCAAGGCCGGGAATGTTTCTATCAACCCCCGCAGTATTGACAAAAGCTTTGACCGGGTGGAGTACAGAGACTTTCCCTTTGGTGAGAAATTTGTCCTCAGAATTGAGCAGAAGAATTACGAGCTATCCATATATCTGGGAGAGCCAGAGAATCTCTCTCTGGTTCATTCATACAGATCTAATATTGTAGGAGAAGGAGATTTCTTCGGGGTCTCTGCATCAACAGGCAAGTCCTCTGCCTCTTTCAGACTTGTCGCAGTCGAGAGCTACCATCTCAAGGACCTTGGGCCTGGGGAGTACACAAGCGACGACGTCCACACAGGAGGAAGGCTTGTCTGGATCCTGCTCGCCGTTGTTGTCTCCGTGACAGGATACTACCTTTACAGCATCCAAATAAAAAAGGATAATTAACAAGAATAACATCATTCAATCTCATCACTCGGCAGGTACTTCCACCCCCCCCCACATACATCTCGTGGTAGGCACGCCCACACACAAGCGACCCAATCGTCCCAACCACAACAGTCGTCACAAGCAGCACACTCGCAACCACATCCCCACACTCCTCCGCCTTCTGCCCTCTTCCCCCCCTCTCAGCATACGACACAGCAAGCAGCAGGCCGACAAACACAACAACCCCCATCCACACCCAGAAGGGCCGCCCGCACACGCCGTCCGCAGGTGCCACAGACCCCGCAGCACATGCCGCAGCCAGCACCGCATTCCCTGCGCCAACCGCACACGCCTCCCGCCACGGCATCCCGCGCCTTGCTGCATCCTGCACATACAGCGTGACAGCCGCAAGCCCTGCCACCGCCACGCTGTACATGCTGCTCCTGATCACCCCCGCATGGGGAACCGCCACAAGCATCGGCGCCATGCACGCAACGGCACTCCACCCCTGCCTCGCCATGCTGCCGGCCCCGCCCCTGCGGCAGCCCTCGGCGAGCACCCACAGCTGGTACGTGACGGCGCCTGCAACGGCGAGCGAGTAGAGCGCGGTGTTCCAGGACACACCCGGTGTGCTGTGCTCCATCCCGGAGACCCGCAGGAGGCCCTGGACGGCCAGGATGAGGACGAACACAACGCACAGGTTTCCGAACGGGCGTCCGGTGTCCAGGCTGGCCACTGCCCTCCTGACGGGGGAGGGTGCCTCTTCAAGAGGCTCCTTGTCTTCACCCTCCGCTTTACTTGGATCCTTTTTTGGAACCTCGGGTGTAGCATCCTTGGGAGCGTCATCATCGATGGGCTGTAAGCTTTTAATCCTGGTTTGCAGATTCTCCGCTTCCGTAACCATTTCTTCGAGTCTCTCTTTTAGTTTGTTAAATTCGACAGTAAAAAGGCCTCTATTTTCTTCAAGATCATGGACAGCCTTTTTATATGCTTCTAAATAGTTATGGCGTACAGGTTCAAAACTCAGCATAGAGAAAGTAGGATTAAAGTACCACCTGAAAACGTTAACGCCTGATAGGTTCATACTTCGAAGAAAATTATTAATAACATTATTATGACAGTCGTTACACGAATGACCTCCTTCTAAAAGATCAAAAATAATGTCCTTCAGAAGTACGTTTTTTGTTTTTCCAGTAATAGTTGACTTTGTCTGAACCTTTAAGTCGTCGTTAGCATATGGTAAAGCTTCTCTAAGTGCATTTTTAAACACCTGAAGTGATTCCTTCGAGTGCTTTATCAAATCATCAACAATTTTAAAGAAGCTTTCGGCTTCAATAGTATAGTAAGAAGGAATAAGGGCCTTAATACCATCCATTAGGATTTTTAGTGCTTCTTTAGCTGCAACACACTCTTCCCTGCCTGGAATTTCCCTGTTTAAATAATAACCGAGAAAACTATTAAGCGATTCCTCGTAGAAGAGGAGCGCATCTAGAAAAGGCTTTGTTTCCTTGACTAATTGGTTGTCACTAACAATCCCTTCACTAACTCCAGTAAGCATGGCCCGAAGGCTCTTGGCTTGTTCCATCAATGGGATATTGACATGTGTTTAGACGTATAACAATCCTTCCATACACGACTAATTAGGAGTCACAGGAATCCATTGGCAGGATAGGCTGCAAATATCCAGAGCGAGAATATCATTTGGCAGTCAGCTAGTATGTAAGGGAAGTGGGATTCAGATGAATGAGCGGAGATCTATCGGTTAGGCGCCAGGGGAGGACTGTGTATTATCCAGCACTCCCGTATGTTTCCGAAGATGCCTCTTGCTGCATGGTGCTTAGCTATGCCATCTGAACAACCCCCTTTACACACCAGCTGGTTGCCAAGTGATGTTCTCGCTCTGGATATTTGCAGCTTATCCTGCCAATGGATTCCTGTCCTCCAATTAACCCCTTCTGAAAATCGTTTAATATATATATTGGATTGAACACCATTCTTACAAGAGATGGAGCAACATAAAGGTTTAAAAGGTATTTCCGCCAGCCTTGATAGTGAAACCATTGATCCAGGACAGTTTAATGAGATAATAGCACGATTTCTCGAAGCTCTTCTCTTCTATGAGGAAGAAGTGCTTGGAAAAGTTATGGATTCTTTAGAGATGACGAAGAAAGAAGAAGGAGCCGACCCTTCTAGTGCCTTTAAGGCTGTTTCAGAAGCATTAGCTGCCGATAGTCTTAATGCCCTTGAAGCAGCTTTGGATGCATTAGAGGCTCTAAGAAAAGCTGTTTCTGAGAATCCCATTACTACCTCCAGCGATCAAGACATTAAGCTTGAAGAATTTCTTCTATGTATTAACGGATTGGTGAAGGAGTTCCAAGATCTTTATAAGGCATTTATTGAGGCACTTAAACGTCTTCTTCCACATATCGATGGAAGTATAAAGATTGATGTGAAGATATTAGATCAGAAGAAAGTGATACCTCTGAAAGATGTTGTCTTGTCCCTTTTGGGAATGAAAGAGTATTCTATTGATTATAATACTCCTCTCAAGGACTTTTCTGAAAATATGTGTCAGTTAGGTGCTAATGCTCTAGAGAATAGCTTCAAGCCTATTTTTGATAGCACCTCTTCCATCCTGGAAAAAGGTAAAGAAGCAATCGAGAGTAAGGATATTTCTGAGGAGCAAAGGAAAGGGTTGGTAGATGCCTGCAATGCCCTTGCCGAATGCCTTAGAAGGCTTCTGGAATTGCACAAAGATTCCATTAATAGTTTAGGGAGTGGAGAAGCCTTTGAGACATTATTTGGTGAACTAAAAGAGAGACTCGAAGAAATGGTTACGGAAGCAGAGAATCTACAAGCTAAGATTAGAGGCCCACAGCCCATCGATGATGACGCTCCCAAGGATGCTACACCCGAGGTTCCAAAAAAGGATCCAAGTAAAGCGGAGGGTGAAGACAAGGAGCCTCTTGAAGAGGCACCCTCCCCCGTCAGGAGGGCAGTGGCCAGCCTGGACACCGGACGCCCGTTCGGAAACCTGTGCGTTGTGTTCGTCCTCATCCTGGCCGTCCAGGGCCTCCTGCGGGTCTCCGGGATGGAGCACAGCACACCGGGTGTGTCCTGGAACACCGCGCTCTACTCGCTCGCCGTTGCAGGCGCCGTCACGTACCAGCTGTGGGTGCTCGCCGAGGGCTGCCGCAGGGGCGGGGCCGGCAGCATGGCGAGGCAGGGGTGGAGTGCCGTTGCGTGCATGGCGCCGATGCTTGTGGCGGTTCCCCATGCGGGGGTGATCAGGAGCAGCATGTACAGCGTGGCGGTGGCAGGGCTTGCGGCTGTCACGCTGTATGTGCAGGATGCAGCAAGGCGCGGGATGCCGTGGCGGGAGGCGTGTGCGGTTGGCGCAGGGAATGCGGTGCTGGCTGCGGCATGTGCTGCGGGGTCTGTGGCACCTGCGGACGGCGTGTGCGGGCGGCCCTTCTGGGTGTGGATGGGGGTTGTTGTGTTTGTCGGCCTGCTGCTTGCTGTGTCGTATGCTGAGAGGGGGGGAAGAGGGCAGAAGGCGGAGGAGTGTGGGGATGTGGTTGCGAGTGTGCTGCTTGTGACGACTGTTGTGGTTGGGACGATTGGGTCGCTTGTGTGTGGGCGTGCCTACCACGAGATGTATGTGGGGGGGGGGGGTGGAAGTACCTGCCGAGTGATGAGATTGAATGATGTTATTCTTGTTAATTATCCTTTTTTATTTGGATGCTGTAAAGGTAGTATCCTGTCACGGAGACAACAACGGCGAGCAGGATCCAGACAAGTCTTCCTCCTGTGTGGGCGTCGTCGCTTGTGTACTCCCCAGGCCCAAGGTCCTTTAAAGAGATTGTTTCTATTTCCTCTGTATAGTTAGAAGCAGCAGAAAATAGTTGCGAATAGTCACTACCTATTGGGATTTTGCAAGGAATCTTCCTGGTAACAAAACCTTCTGTTATGTTAACTTAAAAGACAAGCGGATACAGTCTCTTGCTCCTAGACATCCAGCTGTGTCATTCTCAACTCTTGGCCATTCCTGGAGTCATATCTAGGGATTTCTTGATCCCTAAAATGGTACAGACAGATAACAAAAACGGGAGAGAGTTGCAGGAGAGTTATCTCTCAAAACTCTACATATCCCAGCCACTGACACTGCCCGAAGATATCAAGAATTATGTACTGAATCCAAGGGAGGTTGATAGAGAAATGGTATATTTGGAAAGATATGTCAGTACCAAGGACCCGGATCTCACAAGGATTATATTCATGGTAGAGATCCTGAGCAAGTGTCTAAGGAGGCATTCTGAGTTTAGAGACTACACGAAGCTTCTGGTAAGGATAGTGGAGACATACAAAGACTATCAGTACTCCATATTCTGCCTCCGCATCATCAGATCTGTTGTGGGGTCCAAGTTTTACATCCCATTGTCCTTCTATCTGGTTAGGATACTGAAGAATGCAATATCGGTAAAGAATCTTATTGCAAGTGGCAGGAAGATAGATTACGATATGGTGAAGCCGGACACAGAAAGAATAAGAAGTGAGGAGCATCAGATGTTCGTGATTGAGGAGGCAAGCTCCGTTCTGCTGCAGCACATGTCGATGTTTTCAAAGAACATCGGGTTTCCGGAACTTGCTGGTGTTGTGATAAGTGAACTGAAGAAACTAAGGATAGGGATCTACAAGGAAGTTGTCGGAAATATGATATCTGGTATTGATGGGCAGAGGAAATACGTACTTGAAAAAAGAAATAAGCTGAAGCTAAGCGGGATAGATGGAAAAACCATATCTTCATTTGAAAGCAGCATTGAGAGAACCCTTGGACAATAAAATCTTATTACTCTTCAAAAAGATTTATTATCTCTTCTCTGGTTCTCCCCCCTGGCTGTGAGCTTCTAGGATCGCCCATACTTCCTGGGTTCTCCTCGAGTATCTCCCTGGTGCGAGTAATATGCTCCTGGTGCTCCCTTTCTCCATTTTCCTCCAGATTCTCAAAAGACTCAATGTAAACGAGATATTTGAATATCTCCATCTCGTTATTTAAGGCGGAGACTATCGAGTTGTGTATTTCCACCATATCGGAATCATACAGGTGAAGCCTCTTCCCCTTCATCTCTGCGAAGCCATCCATCCATGTCTTCAACTTCTTGTGTTTCTGTGTCGTATAGACACACCTCATCATCTGCGGGCCTATGGGTACCAGGGCAGATAACCAGTAGACAAAGGTGTGGACATGGACAGGATGGTGTTTATTATTTGTCCTGGTGCTGTATAGGCTGCCACATGGAAGCTACAGTCCAGGAGCTTTGTTCTAGAGTCGTACCCTGCGATCAGTTATTACCGAAAGTAGGCATAGGTTTCACTTAATTGGTTCTTCCAAAAGACCTGGCAGGAATCTCGTTCACATATATCTCGAATTTGTCTGGAGGTTGTCTCAAGGCCTTGATAACCTTGGTATCTGTAAGAACAAAAAACATCTCGGGAAGGCCATCCTCAAGAATAAGCCCTTTATGTTTCAGAACTGTGCACTCCTTGTGCCCATCCACAACAATGTCAATAAGTTTCCTTGAGAGATAAAGACTTACTTTGCAGAATATCTCCCTGATGCCCCTTCCGCCCTTTAGTTCTTCAATCACATACATGCAGATCGTGTCTTTCTTATCTCCAGGCCCCTCCATTGCAGCCACCCTGATCTCAATGCCGTTTCTGGTGAACTCCTGGACAATCGACTTTTCAAGAAAATACTCCTTGACCATCTCGATCTTGCTTGCATCGCTTTGAGGAGAAACAGAACCTTCCAAATAGACGTCCAGATACCTTATGGTACATGTCAATCCATGTGCCTTCCAATTGTCTGGGTATGCATGGTCGCCTCCTCCGTTTACAACTAGATACTCAGTCTCTGTCACGTAGGCCCTTACTTCTCCAGCCACCAGCTTCACAGGCAGGCCAATCCTCCCCACCATTTCCCACACTCTTCCTTCCTGTCTGATGGCATCTTCCAACTCGGAAATCCCTTTCCCCAGCAACCGAACACAGGTATCCAAAATGTGCATCTTGAACTCGCATCTGTCCACATGTCTCGGCCTCACCTTATGCACCTCCAGAACTCCCTTTTCAATCAGCTCGTACACACTCCTCCCAGTCTCAGCCTCTACCCTTGCCTTGCAAAGCATCTTATAAAGCTCCTGCTCCTCAATCTCTTCCTTGTGGTCTTCCAAAATCCTTTCGTTGTAGTATTCCAGGAGCCTGTCCCATGTCTCTGCCAGGCTATTCTTCTCTGCTTCATAGTATATCCCATCCTCCCGGGCCACCACTATCCTGTTCATAACAGGAAAGTCTGTGGAGCTCAGCCTCATGGCCTATGGGCTCCCATCCCAAATAATTTCTCCAGAATGAGCCGCCAGAAACCCTTATATAAGAAGCACAAGATGTCTGTTTGCATAGCTGGACATCTCGTCCCCAAGCCCTAGGACCCCACAGAGCTTGAACAATGTCCTCGCCATCTCGTTGTCCCCCGCCTTTTCAACAACATCACATGCCGACTTGAAGATCTTCTCAATCACATACCTGAAATTACCAAGATCGAAGTCTGGGTCGAGCAGTGGGGTTGCCGCGAGGGTGGAGGGCTGCGGATCTCTCTTGAACAGATAGAACCTCTTCAGTGCAGACATCGTCCTGATCTGTTTTGTGCACTCCATCCTCTCGTAGTACTCAATGATCTCGAGATACTCGTCGATATCTGTGTCGGAAAGAATCGCTTCCGTAATGGCCTCGTTGATCAGATTCACAACCAGAGCCTCATCATCAATTAGGTAGTATAGCTTGATTAACTTCTTCTTTTCGTTCTTTCCCTTCAATATCTCAACAACCCTCTGGTTGATCTTCTTGTCGAGGTACAAGAAAGCTCCAGACTCAATTCCAAGCACGTCATACATGCCCATCTTGATTACCATCTCAGGAACCACTTCATAGTACCCCTCTATTGTAGGCTTCAGAGAGCTTATCAACTCAACCTTCCTCTGTGTCGACGTGAATCTGCTTGCCGCAAGGAATACAAAGTCCACAAACACCTTTTTGTTTGTGCATCTTGGGCAGAGGGCCTTCATTATGAAGTAGGACGGGATTATTTGGAAGTCCCCTTTGAACATCAAGCTCATGGCTCCGTCGTAGTCCTTTAGCATTACATATGCAAGGAAAAGCCCTTTCGCATTTTGGTAGTTTCTGAACATCTTCAGAATCGCACCGGCGGATTCCCTTCCACTGATGGATATCAGATGCATCCATAGAAAGTCCTCAATGCTTCCGATAATTCGCTCGTCCGTTCTCCGGCTGCTTTCGTCCATCAGCCCAAGGAGAAACGCCTTGAAAAGATCGTCACAGCCACCTATCTTTACGGGGACAGCAGGCTTTGTCTTTGTGACAAGCCAGCCTCCAAAACTTGCCTTGAACCTGTGAGAGATGTGCTCAAAGAAAACATGGAACTTCTCGAGAAGGCCTTTTACGGAATCTATAAGCCCACATCTGAAAAGAGTGTACAGCTCTGCAAACATGTATCGGCCCTCATACACCTCAAGCCCATACTCCTCCCTGTTGTATCGAAGCCTGGTAAAGGCTGAAATCTTCTCTTCGTCTCCCCGAAGCGGCGTCTTGATCTTGTCTGCATTTTCCTTTAGAAACCTTTCGACGTACCTGAAATACTCATCCCCAAGGAACTTGATCTCTTGCTCAAAGCCCTCAGAAGGCTGCTGGCGACTGAGAAACATGTACATGTCAAACAGAAAGGCATCATCAAAATACTTGCTTTTCGCAGCCATCTCAGACGCCCGGCCGCCCTCCTTATCCTCGGGTTCCTTGTCGAACACCTCCTCTAAGATCTTGACCTTTCCACTGATCTTGCTGCTTCCAACAACAAAAAGGTCGTTTTCTCTCTTCAACTCCTTGATGTGCCTCTTAACGGATTGGGAAAAGACCCGCCCCACAGACTTTTCATGTTCTCTCTGCCTGGACCTGAGTTTCTCGTGCAAAAACCCATTAACCGTGTCCTCTACTTCAAACCGGCATTGCTTGGGCTTGAGAACATTCCTAAGAGGCGTTGGCTGGATCGAGGCCTTGTACTTCGACAGCTTCTGCTGCTTCGCCTTGAGGCATGCTATCAGCTGGGTGTAGTTGTATATCCTTGTAGGCTTCATGACAAGCGGAGCTGCCAGAAATTCCTCGTTCATGGGCTTACAAGGAGAACAAAATTTTCACCCCAGATGAACATCTTCAGCCATGCGAATCTTGGAACCACCGAGGAGAGAGGCGACGATGCAAAAAGAACGATTCTTGCGGGAACGGATATTGTGGGAGACATACTAAAGACGACCCTTGGGCCGAAGGGAATGCTTAAGATGCTGAAGGGACAGCATGTCAATGTCACGAATGACGGAGCATTTATTCTCAATAACCTGATGATCGACAGCCCGTCTGCAAGGATACTGATTGGCTCCAGCACTGGGCAAGACTGGGAGGAGGGAGACGGGACTACATCTGTTGCGATTCTGGCAAGCCTGTTGGTTAAGGAGGCCGGCAAGCTGGAGATGCATCCGACAAAGATTCTCAGGGGATATAGGATGGCACAGGCAAAATGCGAAGAGATTCTAAGCAGCATCAGCTTTGAGGCGACGAAGGAGGACCTGCTCAAGCTTGTTAGGACTACCCTATGTTCAAAAGTACTAAGGTATGATCTGGAGAGGTTCTGCGAGATTTGCGTCAATGCTGTTGAGAAGCTCGAGGGAAGAAATGATCTGAATCTTATCCAAATTATCAAGTGCTCTGGAAAGCTTGAGGACTCATATCTTGATGATGGATTCCTTCTGAAGAAGGACATCCGAATAGATGATGTGGTCAATCCCCGGGTCTTGATAGCCAACACCAGTATGGACCAGGATAAGATCAAGGTCTTTGGGGCAAAAATTAACGTCAACTCTGTAGGAGAGCTGGAGGAGATGGAGAAGGCGGAGAAGATCAAGATCAAAGGGAAGGTTGAGCGCATTTCGCAGAATGGAGTAAACGTGTTTGTCAACAGACAGCTTGTGTACGACTATCCTCTCCAGCTTCTTCGGATGAAGGGGATTCAAGCTATTGAGCATGCAGATTTTGATGGAGTTGAGAGACTTAATAATGTACTTGGAGGAAAGATACTGAGTACTTTCGACAACATGGACGAGTCATGCTACGGCACATGTGAGAGTATCAGGAATGTGCATGTGGGGAACGAAAGAATGATCAAGTTCAGTGGCGTTCGGAGTGGGGCAAGTACGATTGTACTGTGTGGGTCATCGAAGGAGATGCTAGACGAGGCGGAAAGAAGCGTGCATGATGCCCTGTGTGTGCTGGCGAAGATAAAGGAGGATCCACGTGTTATTTATGGAGGAGGATCAAGCGAGATGGCAATGGCTGTTGGACTGAACAAATATGCCATGGAGGTTCCTGGGGCTGAAAGCGATGCTATTCTAGCATTTTCGAGTGCTCTGCAGCAGATTCCAAAGATACTTGCAGACAACGGGGGATACAATGGAGAGAGCATCAAGGCAAGCCTAAGGGCAGAGCACAACTCTGGAAGGACAAGCTACGGGGTGAATGTGAGGAATGGAAGCATAGGGTGTATGAAGGAGGCTGGCGTTGTTGATAGCCTTAGAATCAAACACCGGGTTGTCACAGCGGCCTCGGAGACTGCACAGATGATAATCAAGTGCGACGCAATCGTCAAGTGCAAGCCTAGAGAAAGAACAAGAGAATAAAAGTCCATTTATTGTGGCCTTTCCATCTTTGTGGCACCCCTCCATAGGCACCCGCCAACTACTTGAACAGCTCAACAACGGCATTATATATGTGGGACGTGGGTATAAACACATATCCCTTGCCTCTTTCCAGCATCACATACCAGAGGCTTACGTCCTTCACAACCCCATCGTACTTGTCGACCTTAACCCTGTCCCCAACATCAAAGGGACGGGTTGCAAGTGCCACTGCTCCCTTGTAGAGATTGTCTGTGAGAACCTTTGGCACAATAACACTAATCGGCTTAAGCATTGCTATGGATAGTGCAAGTCCAGGAATAGTATTTCGCGGGACACCCTTCCTGAGGTCAAGAAAGGGAAACTTTAGGATCGACCTTCCAGTCATTTATGGGATGGCATTGCCCAGAAAATTTCTCCTTTGAAAATCCTTATGAAAGTGAATTTAATGTGTTTTCACAGGGAACCAGCTTTAATTATCAACGTCCTGCTACATTGCAAATCTGTTGGTATTCACAGGCTCGTCATCATCCTTGCACCAAAAGTCGTCAGATTTCTTCATTAGGTCTCGGATACTCGGCAGTCTTTTCTCAAGCTCTTTTTCGGAATGTTCTTCCATGGGCAATGTTTTGATGGACCTTATTCATGAAATAAGGAGGATGTCACCACACGTCTTCCAGGGCAAAGAATCTATCCTCCGTGTATCACAAGCACACAGATATCAACGCCAAATAGTAAAGCTTTTCCCCTCCATATTCTCAGACACTCTTGTCTTTTCCAGCCCAAGGATTTTGAGGTTCTTGAGCAACTCTATGTTCTCCACTACTTCAAGACTCCTGTTTTCTCCAAGAAGAAGAACTTCAACACTACTGGGTATCATCGAGCAGTCCACAAGCTCGAGCTTGTTGTTTTGGAGATCCAGTATCTTCAGGCTCCTCATCTCCTCCAAGCCCTCCACTGCCCCTATTTGGTTGCTCCCGAGATAGAGCTCCTCCAGCGTGGTGCATTTCTCGAGATTTTCGATCTTGCATATGTCATTTACTGCCATGTCTAACTTCTTGATTCGAGGGAGGTTTAGGCCGTGGATCGTTGCAATGTCGTTTGAAATCAAGTACAGCTCCTCAAGATTCATGGGAGGAATCGAGATGTCCGTTATCAGGTTGTAGCTCAGATCCAGCACCTTCAAGTTCGGAACGTTCTCAAGACTAGAGATGGTTCTTATTCTGTTGTCCGACAAATCGAGGTACTCGACAGACTCCGCCTTGTTTAGAGTCATCCGAGATATGTTGTTCCGTCGCAGATCGACAGTCCTCACATGCTCTGGAATAGTCGGTATCTTCTCCAGCTGTCTGTGAACTATATACACAGCATCACTCATGGAGGGCTATTCTCCAGTCTAAATATCTCCGGCATTCACCTTCCAGGAGTAGAGGGAAGACAGCAAATAGAAATAGAAGACGCTTTATTTTCAGTCAAGAGCTGCATATAAAATGTTTGCATACTTTATCTTATACACAAGGCAGATGTCCTTTGGCATCAGGGTAACTCTCTTGGCATGAAGAACACATCTATAGGCATCCTCCATAAGACTTGTCAAGAAATTTTCGACCGCCTCCTGGAACGCAACAATTGCAGAAGCCTGGAATCTTACACCTTCCCTTCCCTTGCATAGATCCCGAACCATCCTCTGGAATGGTCTCTTTCTTATCAGTAGATCGGTGCTCTTCTGGTACTTCCTTATCTCCTTTAATGCAAGAGCTCCGGCCTTGAATCTTGTTCTCTTGGGCATGGCAGGCGAGCATCCAGACGACGGAATCGACTTCGCAGATATCCCCTTCCTTGGAGCCTTTCCCCCAAGTGCTTTCGAAGCTGTTTGCTTTGTCCTTGACATTTCTGCTCCTTGTCCTCAGGATGTATTTATAATTTTATTTGCCGGGAGATTTTCGCGCCAAACATCCGTCAAGAAACACTAGCAGTGGCCTCAGGTGCTCCTTCCCAATCAAAAGGGCCTTGGAAAAGATAAAAGTGGCACACAGAGACGGTCCTGTGGCCACACAACAATTGGCCGACCCTGAGAATCATCGGCATCCTGCTTGTCCAGTAAACAGAGAATCCTCAGATAGAACCCCAAGCCTCCGGATTAAGGTGTTTTGGACAGGATAATTACATTGGAGGGAGTGTCCCCGCCAAAAACAAAACTATAAAACATCCAAACACAACACCCTAAATGAACACACAAAGCATCGGTGCCAAGGGAAAGAGCAAAGCAGCAAAAGGAATTGCCAAGAGACACAGAAAGCAGTCGAGCCTGAGCGATAGCATCTCCAAGCCCGCAATAAGGAGGATTGCCCGACGTGCCGGCGTGAGGAGAGTCGGAGGAGGCTGCTTCAAGGAAATAAACAATGCAGCGCGAGAATACATCAGAGACACCCTTTCAATTGCATGTATTTATGCCACACATGCCAAGAGAAAGACAATCACGTGCTCCGACATCCTGCATTCTCTGAAAAGAATGGGCATCAAGTATATCGGCTACTAATCGTCCCAACTAAACGCTTGTGCTTGTTACACTCCATCTACATCTGTTTCCTCTCCCTTTCCTATAAGTGGAAGTGAGTGCTTTTGATTCTTTAAGGACAAAGAGTAACACATAAAGATCCACACTCTGATTTATTCCTGTAGGCTTCTCACCAATCAAAGGACCTCAGTTTTCTAAGCCTGTCATTAAGGGGGACAAGCTCCTTCTTCACTTTTGTTCTCATGTAGAAGATTGGGCAGTCTCTGTTGACACACAGAACTTGGTTATGGATGCTCCCCTGGCATCTTTGACACTCTACCCAGCAGCTATTGAGCTTTTCTTTCTTGTCTTCTACCTCCCGCTGCATCTTCTGTAGATGGACATGGAAATCCTTCACACAATTGATGCATATGATCCTTCCTTCTGCTCTGCACCCAACACAGGTATCTGTAGGCTTCAGAAACGTGTTCATCGGCCCCTTTAGACCTGTTGACGCCGCAATCCGGGTGTGATCTCCTCTGAACAGCTCCTGGACATTGTCCATGATTGGCTCGAATATCCTGCTCAGCGGCTTTGAGATTTGCTGCGAAATATAGTACTCCGTATCTATGGGAAGATTGTTTTCCAACACATACACAGGATCCTCGCTCTTCTCGTGTGCGGCAGCACCCTTCTCCTTCCTTACTATCACATATGGAACCCTGTCTCCGAGTACAGGCGCCGTACTCTCGTCCCTCTTCCTAAGCTTCTCGGCTAGTTGTACGTGCGCTTGCTTACTCTCATACTTATCTCCTGCCTTCGTCAGCGACTTGGAAATCACCAGGAGACTCAGATCAGTCCTTCCCAGGTACAGGTCCCTTACAGCATCCTTGACAAACTGCTTAGCCTTCTCAACATTCTTTTGGTAGAGAATCATTTCCAACACAGTCTCAACAACTTCCTTGACCAGTCTACAGTTATCCCTCCTCACCGTCTCAATCCCTCTTGTGTCTATCTTGCTTGGATTCTCAGGATTCGAGTAGAGAAGCCCAGCATATCTCTTTTTGTTGATGAGCAGGTATGGATAGTAAACCTTCTCAAACTCCAGGGACACAGGCTTCACAAACTTACTGGTTATGAACTCGGATATCTCCTTGCTCATCTTGAAAACCTTTTCTATGTCTTGCTCGTCGAAGTCAACCATAACAGAGTCTGTGTCGCCATAGATCACAACAGAGTCATGGGTATATCCATTTTTCCGGGAAAAGTTCTCCTCAATCAACTTCTTCGTCAATATTATCATCTCTCTTCCAAACCCAGTAACACTCTGCGATATCTCAAAGCAGGGAAGCTTCCCCCTGGATGCCCCTGTGAATCCATACAGCGAATTTGCACAAAGCTTGAAAGCCAACTGTCTTCCGTTGAGACACGCCCTCAGTGCTGAGTCTTTCTCTCTCTCAAGCTCCTCCTTTATCCTCTTCCTCGAAGTTAGCAGGTCAGTCAGAATTCTTGGGAGGAGTCCTTTCTTTCTCTCGGCACTGCAGAAGTAGTTGCCCGTTGGCGTTTTTGTTCCTCCCAGGATCCTGTATTGCTCCTTTGTAAGCAGTGTGGTGTAGCAGAGATTGTGGCTAATCATTATCGAAGGATACAGAGAGCTGAAGTCCATCACGGACACCGGCTTGTTGTAGAATCCCTTTCTGGGCTCTATCACAAACCCCCCCTCAAACGTCTTGTTCGACTCGAAGGGATCGATGTCAGGAATCATAAAGTCCTCTTTGCTTGCTGCTCTATACACAAGTGTAAATATCTTGATGGCCATTCCTCTTGTAAAAAAGTACTCAATAGGAGTGCCCGTGACCCTCGACAGTTCTGTGTAGTTGATTAGCACATTCAAGGTGTTGAACAGCCGGAGGGGCAGGACGGTGTCCCTCAGACAATACGAGGCTATCCTCCTCCGGGTGTCCTTGTTCTTCGACTGGAGCTCTCCAATAGAGGAGTATGGAACATCTTCTTTCTGCTCTTTGAGAAAGTGGATACTAACAGAGTTTAGTGAATAGCTCCGAAGCTTGAAGTCCCTCCGTATCACAACCATCATGTCTATGATCAGCCGTCCGTCAATCTCCACCTCTGTGGTCGTTATGGATCCAAACATGTTGCTGGACATCGTCGTATCCCTCGTCCTCGCCTTCTTTCTTGACCTTCCAAGAACAGAAAAGCTCTCAATTCCAAGAATCTCTCCCCTGCTAAGAATATACGGAATGTCGAATCCCTTCACGTTGTATCCCACAATGACGTCAGGATCAAGCTCCATGAAGTACTTTTTCCAACTCTCCAGGAGCTCCTTTTCCGTCTCATACCAATGGACGTTGACACCAGGAATCCCAGTGGTTTCCTTCAGGCAAAAGATATCCTGGGATGCATAGCTGTTATCTCCAAACAGCATCAGCGTATTTCCTATTTGTATTATGGGATCGCACTTCGAGGACGGGAAACCGTTTCCTGCACTCACACACTCAATGTCTATGCTCAACACCTTAAGAGGAGGAAGGACGACATAACCTCCTTCAAGAGGCAGGGATTCCAGGGATTCGTAGGATGCACTTACCGTCAGATGGTCTGCATCCAGAATCTCATACCTGTTTACCCTAAGATAGCTCATCCCGACAATCCCAAGATCACACATGAATCTCAGCACAAAAGGAAAGTTGCTCTCGTATACCCGGAACCTAACCTTCTCGCCCTTAACAGATATCCCGCTCTCGAGCAATACCTTCAAGGCTGTAGAAACATGGGGTGTGTTGAGAGTCAGCCTGTAGACCCTTGTCTTTCCCTCTGTGTATCCCAGTATGGATTGCTTCATAACGGCCTCAACCTCCAATATCGTTGCCTTGACATCGAGTCTCTGAACAGATTCCTTTATGTCCTCTTCCTTGTACTCCTTGCCATTTGAAGGCTCCACATAGAAGTAGGGGAAGAAGTTCCTGGCGAGCACTCGAACAGGCCTTCCGGACTTTGTGTTTCCAAATATGGAGAACACAGGACAGGAGTAGCTTAAGCCCGAGTCATCCATATAGAAGTCTATGTGTGTCTGACAGAAGACAATCTCGTTTTCCATGTAGGGCGTGCAAATAAAGAGCTTTTATGGGTTTATTTCGTCCTTCTGCTGCCCATTTTCGCTGGAATGGAACCTTCTGCCTCCTTCGAAAATGCTTTTAAAGTCCAGCTGCAGTTTTGCAAGGAAGTAGTGTGGGCTTTGGGAAGCCCGGCCCTCCCAACTCCTCTGCTCCTGATCTCCTCCATACAGTGCGTCCTCTCTGCTTCTTTGCCCGTATCTCATTGCCCTCGCGGAAGGGAATAGAATAGATTATATCTTTGTTTCGATGGGCCACAGACATCACAGCCCATGGAATCTCTGATCAGAAAGCTCAACAAATGGCATGAGCTGAAGAAAGAGCACCTCCTCCTGCTACACGAGAGAAGGCAGAGAGAGGTGGAAAGGGCTGTTGGGGAGGCAAAGAAGACGAGGAACATCAAAGCGCTTCTTCGGATATTGGCTACAGATGCAGACAAATGCAAGGGACTCAAGGAGTTTCTTGATGAAGAGTTCAAGAGGAGTATATCGTTCAATAGCAAGGAGAGGATAAGCATGATTGTTGAGTGCATGCGCATCTTGGGCTTGGAATGCGAAAACTACAGGTTGATGTTGATAGATCACCTTGAAAATGTTTGTTCAAGGGTCTCGAAGGCCTGTGTTGCAGCGAGGATTAAGAGTCTTGGAGAGCTTAGGGAATATGATATGACAAACGGTCTGAAGATCCACGAGTACATTGAAAGGAGGATCGATGGGGAGATTGACAGGTATATGGAGAGGATCCCTGTGGGGAATCCAAGGGAACTGGATGGGTGGCTGAACGAGATGGTTGATGTGTGCAAGTACAGACCAAAGGTTGTGGAAACATATGGAGACCTGGAGATCAAGTACTTTTCCATGTGTCTTGGGATTGTCATGCTGAATGATAGAGTAAGTGCTGTAGAAGATGTTGTATACCTGGTCAACAAGATTCACCGTCGAAGCAGTGCTGTCGGGGTTTGCATAGACAATGAGATGATGGGAAAGCTGAAGGAGTATGAAATGCTAGAAGAAGGTGAGATCAAAGCATTGTTTCAAAAGTAGATGGCATGGGACGTATGGTGTGCAGAGGACGTTATGGGTATTAAATATGTTTGGACTCTCCCTTTGTGTTATGGATTGTAGGGCTGAGGACTACGAGAAGTCGTTTGTTGAAAGATACTTGGAAAGGACGGCATCAGTAAAGATTCGTGAGTTAGCGAAAAGGGCAGAAGACCACAGAAACAAGGGAGAGATGGATAAGGCTAGGGAACTGGAGAAAGAGATAGAGAAAATTAAGAGCGAGCTCGTTGCTGACAAGTCGATTGTGTCCAAGACTGACTGCAGAAGAGAAGAGGTTGAAAGCAAGGAAAGCATCGATTTTGAGTGGGATGGCGCAGAGGATGATAGGGACATCAAGGTGTTTGATGCCAAACGTGCGAAGGCGGTTGAGAAGTATTGCAGACATATGGGGATTGAAGAAGACGAGTTTAGCGAGCATATAAAGAAAGAAGGTAAGGAGTGTGAGGGATTTTCAGTGCCAGGGTTTCTCTGGAGCTCACTTTTTCCATACCAACAGGACGGAGTAAGGTGGATGCTGAGACTGTACAGGGATGAGAAGGGTGGAGTTCTTGCGGACGACATGGGGCTAGGGAAGACCATTCAGGTGATTGTGTTTTTGGGGGCTTTACTGCATAGCAGAGTCGTTAGTAAGGCACTGATACTCTGCCCCGCCACTATAGTTTCGCAGTGGATGGATGAGTGGAAAAGATTCTATCCGTTCGTCCGGATATTTTTTGGATTCCCCAACGAGGATTGCGAAGGCGTCTACCTGATGTCGTATGAGAAGTTCAAAGCTGGGGTAAAGAACTTCTTGTGGGACGTGCTAATCTTGGATGAGGGCCACAGGATTAAGAACAAGAATGCACAGATCACTCTTTCCGTGAAGAAGGCAAGGTCTAGGGGCAGGTTTGTTCTTTCTGGAACCCCAATTCAGAACAACCTTGGAGAGCTGTGGTCTATATTTGACTTTGTCAATCCAGGGCTTCTAGGATCGCATACTTCTTTCAACGAGGAGTTTGAGGAGGTGATTCGCAGAGGGGGATACAGGAATGCCAGCAACCTCCAAGTGGAAAAGGCCTACAGACACAGCCTGATGCTCAGATCGCTGATAGAGCCGTACATACTAAGGAGAACAAAGTCGCAGGTTTCCCACAAGCTTCCGTCGAAGGAGGACAAGATAGTATTCTGCTCGCTGACGCCGGCCCAGATTGAGCTCTACAACAGGGTTCTTGAGTCCAAACACATAATGAAAGTGCTGACCGGTAAAGCAAACCTTCTGAGCGGAATCTCAATGCTTCGGAAGGTGTGTAACCACCCGAGGCTACTCTTTCCTAGAAAGCTGGGAGTTTCTGAAGACTGTGAAGAGGAGGCGTCCGACGAGAAGAATGGGGAGGACGAGGCCTTGGAGCTTCCAGGAGCAGATGTGTCGTATGATTTAGTCAGCTCCTCTTGTAAGATTAAGATTCTTGTGGATCTTCTCAAGAAATGGCGAAGCGAGGGCAACAAGGTGCTGGTGTTTTCGCAGACAATAAGAATGCTGGATATAATCGAGAGATGCGTCAGAAAATACACGTACTTGAGAATGGATGGGAGAACGCCAACATCTAGCAGGCCCGGGCTTGTGGATAGATTCAACGAAGATGAGGATGTGTTTCTATTTCTTTTAACGACCAAGGTAGGAGGCCTTGGACTGAATCTCACAGGGGCATCTAGGATTGTTATATACGATCCTGACTGGAATCCATCAACGGATACGCAGGCCAAGGAGAGGGCATGGAGATACGGACAAAAGAAAGGTGTGGAAATATACAGATTCGTCTGCAAAGACACTATTGAGGAGAAGGTTTATCAAAAACAGATATTCAAGGACTTGTTGGGGAAAAAGGTTCTAAGCAATCCAAGGCTAAGTAGATTTTTCAACAAGTCGTGCATAAACGAGCTGTTCAGCTTTACTATGACCGGAGATCTTGTTGAGGTCAAAACACACGAGGTCCACAGATGCGATGAGGAAGGTGCTCTGAAGGAGGTCAGGGATGGAGATGGTGAAGCGTTTTCGCGGATAAAAGCTTTAAACGAGAAAAGGGTTCTGAGTGGGTCTGAGGTTTTAGAGTATATTGCGCTGAGGGAAGGTGAATGAGGCTCTTTTTGGTGTGAACGATTAAAGAATACTTTTTTGGAGAATGTGCGAATTCTTTTTATAGGGGAAAGAGGATGTAGCTGATTACGGCCATATCCACGGAAAAGCACCGGAACTCGTCAGATCTCCGAAGTTAAGCCCGTGCGAGCCTGGGTAGTACTGAGAAGGGAGACCGCTCGGGAATACCGGGTGCCGTAATCTTTTCTTTTGCTTCCCAGGCGTTGAAATGATGTTTTGCCTGGGATCCTGGATTGCTGATGGAACTCTTCCGCCTTGGGAACAAAGTTCCACCGGACATCGCTGAGGCCCTTAGAACCAAGATATATGAGGAGCTTTGCATCACAGAACCAAGGAGTAGAGAGAGATTCGTTGGATGCCATCCAGTCACCCTAACTCTCGACAACATCGGCTTGCTTCTGAACAACGACTTTCTTGTATGCGAGAAGTCTGATGGAGTTAGAGCTTTATTGCTGGTCACCGAGGAAATGGGTGCATTCAGGGGATACTTCTATGATAGGAGGAATGACTTCTATGAGCTGCACACAAGCTTTCCATTCTGTTCGACAGTTCTAGTTGATGGAGAAGTTCTTCTGGAAGATGGGACTGTTGCCACATATGCGATATTCGACTGTCTGATATACGAGGGTGTTCCTCAGATAGCCAAGAATCTGTATAAGAGGCTTGGATATGCGCAGATGTTTGTAGAAAGGATGGAGAAGAGCATGGAAAGAACCAAAACCTTGCAAAAGGAGGATGAAGACGGCAGGGAGCGCAAGAGGGTCTCCATTGAGATTGATTCCGGGGAATCCAGTCGCATACATTTCTATGTTAAGCAGATGCTGAAGAGCTATGGATTCTGGGAGATATACAAGAAGATCCCCGAGCTGAAGCATGGAAACGACGGACTGATATTTACCCCTGCCGACGAGCCGTATTCCGTGGGCAAGAGAGGGGCAATCCTCAAGTGGAAGCCTGCATCCCTGAACACCATAGACTTTAGGGCTGTGAAGCACAAGAAGTGGAGCCGTGTGTACAACCTGGTCTGCAGCGGAAAAAGAGGAAAGGATGTTGTATTTGATTGCTTTTTCTGCTCCGGGGAGGAGATAGATGGGAAGATATGCGAGTTCCTCTATGACTGCGATGGATACTACTGGGACCTCGATGAGCTCGTGCTGAAGAAGGGCGGGTGGAAACTGTACAAGATAAGGACTGATAAGGACACTCCAAATAACATAAGAGTCGTCTGCAACATATTGGAAAGTCTCAGAGACAACCTGACCATCGAGAAGCTTTCCACGTTCTATAGCGTAATGCGGGAAAACAGTAAGAGGAGAGAGAAGATGAGAAGATAGTGCTTGTGGCCCCAATTAATAGAAGCTTCCTATCTGGAGGCTCTGTGAAGATTATTTTGAGAAAAATTTGAGCCCCACACGAAATGGTAAGGTGATTTGGCTCCAGGCTAACTTCTAGGGATCAAGAAAGACTGCTTTAGTGAAGACAAGACTCATGAGGGCCCTAAAGAGGAACAGAGAGATTCCAGCATGGAAGAGGATGATGAAGGAACACAAGGGAGAATATAACAGGGCAAGAAGGCACTGGAGGTCGAAGAAGTTGAAGATCTATTAAGAATAAAATGGTTTATCTGCTAGTGGCATAGGTCTTAGTTGTCGTTAACTTGGGTAGTTCTACTCAATATTATCCTTGAGCCGTCTTCTCTTCTCGTCCATTATTTCCTTCATGCCTCCCTTTTTCTTGTACTCCGGGTGTGTGGGATCGATGGAGAAGTTGTCGTCTTCAAATATAGCAACAAATCTCTTGTCCTTTGGGTCAAACACGAAGCCATCGAACTCGTCTGTTGCCTTTATCCTGGGAATGGCCCCTATGCTTTCCTTCCTATCCTTTTCTTTCGCATTCTCTTGGCTCTCTCGCAAATTCTCATCAAGTTCGTCCCCACTCGACTCAAGGAAGTCATCTTCCTCGCTTTCAGCGGAGGCCGGCAGATGACTCGCGACATCAGGAGCATCCCCATCGTCTGACATGTCTACCAGCTCGGAAACAAGGCCAAAGTCGATCTCCTTTTCCTCAAATAATCTCTGCATCTTGGATTCCATCTCGCTGTCTGTATCCTCGTCCTCAAGCTTCTCCCTAGTTCGCCGGCTGAAGCTTTTTTCTCTGTATCCATCATCACCAAAGGCTTCATCGCAAACATTTCGAAGATCAAGAGAATCAGGCACAAACCTCAGATCAAGAACCATTCCAGAGTTCCCTAGCTCCACTCCATCACAGGCAGAATACACATTCTTCGAGTCTTCTATATCCTCGAACTCCGCAACAGCAACGTAACACCCTCTAAGGCCTTCCCCTGCGCATCTTTTGACAAAAACATTGTTGTCTCCAAGACGCTCTCTTCCGATTCTGGTCTTGCAAAGCTTCACGCTCAAAGGAGACGAGTATGGCAGGATCGAGTTGAAAATCTTGAACAGATCCTTGGCGTCCACACGGGTCCAATCCATTCCAACGCAAGCAAGTCTCTTTGTAGGATTTCCAAGCACAGCTCCATTCTTTTCAGAGGATTCATTTGCCTTTTCTTCCAAACTTTCCTCCCTCATTTGGCGGTGTTTTTCAATTCGAAAAATAGGCCATTTAAACACACAATCCTGTCAGGGACCGGAATCCATCTCTTGAATTATCTGAGCGGCCATTTGAGGCCAAGGTAAATATTAAACCTGTCTGCCAGGGCCATTGATGGATCACAGAGACGAGCCGATGCCTGTTTATAAAAAACCCGGGCTGGGCGGAAAAAACTCGCCTCGGGAAGGGAGCCTCAACGGTCAAAGCATGGCAGACATTGTAGCTCTGATCAACCTCAGCAGCGAGGAGAGGAAGGTGAAGTTGGTGTCGAAATATGTCAATATTATATCCGAATTTATACTCCACAAGGCAAGGGAAATATCAAATGGAGGAGAAAACCAAGAAGTATCTGCAGACGACATAGAAAAAGTGATTGTTTCTGAGGGTTTATTCTTCCTGTCAGACATCATCAGCCTTAATAAACAATAACACGACTTTAAAAATCCATTCCTCTGAAAGTCCGATTCACCTTCCTCTTCACCATCTTTTGGTGCTGGACGTACTCTCTTTGGTCGGCGCTGCGAAGCTCGACACCTTTGCTGTTCTTCAACACCCTGGGTTTCCTGTACTGGTACCCTCTCTTGAAGAACACCGTCTCTCCATCTTCTGTATCTGCAACCGTTATCCTTGTCAATGTCCGATGGCCGCATCTCTTGCAGAAGTCTAGATTCTCAGTGAAGATACTGAAGCATCCATAGCATCTGATCTTATGCTTCCGAACAGAAAACCCAGGGCCTTCATACAAGTTGTAATGGGACAGAACATTCTTTATCTCGTTGTCGTTTGTAAGACATAAAACCTCCTCCTGCTCCGGGCTTCCGGGACCAATCCACATCCCAGAGACCTCATCTTTCAGTTCTAATGTCAATGCCACAACATCGATGTCTGTGTCACTTAAATTGCTTGCCTTCCCCCTAAGATCCTTTCTAACCCTCTCCACATACTCTCCAGAAGGATTCCGAACCTTTATCATGAAGGAGAAAAACTCGAGATATCCTCTGGATTCTGCAGTCTGGAGCTCATTCACAACAGACTCCGTGACATATCCTCTGATCACCTTGTCGGTTGGTATCTGTTTTTCTATGAGGCACCCCGTGTCTATCACTGCAATCATCTTGGGTAAAATTTTACGAGAAATGTTACTTTCCTCTAGCACAGCCTTCTTCTGCTATTCCGACAGTGGCCAACCAGCAAACGCCATTCATCTCCTTATTTTGACGTCAAGCATGTAAGACAGATAAAACATACCGGGTAGCAAGAAGAAGGATTCCCGAAATGGAGGAGAACGTTACAGAAGACAGTATCCTAAGCACCGAGCTTAGAGGCCAGGAGATCCGAATCGAAGAGGTTCCGAACGAGGACACGCTTGTGGTGTACTTATCGCGAGGTGGTAGAAATGCAAAGGAATCCCAAAGCGCAAATAGCAATAACACAGGCGACATCGATAAACACGGGAGGCATAGAGCTGATAACTGCATCTGCCTTTCAAAGGTGCACTACGAAATAGATGGAGACATTCTCTGCATCAGAGAGATGAAGCCATTTGTCTACATCAACAAAATCTCGATCCTGCGCCGACGCAGTACAAATAAGACAAAGGAAGATACTGAGACACAGAAAAGTCCATAGACCGTGCATAATCAGCCTGGGAGACCCGATATCTGGAGCCAAAATAAATCTTATAGCTTCTCTCCGTCCCGTCTCCAAACAAGGAATTTTTGCCTCAATAAAATTGTGCTAAACTACCGATGGATAAAAATGGACTCCGAAAAGTCTAGAATTGCATCCATATGCACGAAGATCATAGAGAATCCAGAGAAAAATCTGGGAATGATGGAAGAGGTGTTCAGCATGATCACTAGCATGGCGGAAGGTAAGGCAAAGGGAGTTATTTATTTGTCTCTTCTGAAAGTATTCAAGGCAATCATTCCTCTGTACAAAGTGAGGTCTCTGAAGGACATGGTGAAAGACAAAAGAGATAGTCTGCATCTGAAGGATTATGACAAGAGCCTTCTTAGATGGTATACATCCTACATAAAAACCATGGTCGACGACGTGTCCGACGAAAGCTACATCTCGTTGTGCGAGGTCCTGCAGCATTTCGACCACTTTAACTGCACCGACAAGGTCGTCTCGGGTGTGTTGCGAGGATCTCTTGGAACGAGATCTGTGTCGATGCTGTGCTGCGATACAATAAAGTCGAAGCTGGAGGGTGACTGCACTGGGGAACTGGTTGCAACTGTACTGGACCAGATGCTTGACTTTGAGTACAACCCTTTGGTTTTGGAGTATTTGCTGGACATTCCATTCGTAGACAACTCTCTGCGGAGTGACGAGGAGAAAGCTAGGAAGTATTGGGAGGCAAACAAGCCTGTCTCTAGGAGAGAGAAGAAGAGCATATTCCATAGAAAGCAGGTGTTCAGCAAAAAGCTGAGAAAAATAGAGAAAGAACGACTAAGGATCCAGTCTGAGACAAGGGACGAGGAGGACATCGAGGAACGTATTGAGGAGATGAAAAACTGTAAGAAGATCTATGATGCCATCCAGAGGCTGTATTTCATGGTTCTCAAAGGAGATAGATACGATTGCTATAAATATGTATTCATGGGGCTTGTAAAGTACAGGAAAATCATCCGTCCTGAGTTCAGAGAGGGCCTTTACTTTCTACTGAACAACAATCTTGCAAAGATATCATCGGACGCTAGGATCCAGGGAATCCTGTGCATACTAACCTTGTATGGAGAAGAGGGCTATGATTTTGGTGGACTGGTGGACTTGGTGTACTCAATGGTCCATCCGATGAACACCGAGCCCGTAGATAATGGCGAGCTTATCAAGATTGTCAGGCTTCTGTTCATAAAGATAAGACAGCCTGTGCACAGGGCCCATGTCATTCTCAAAAGACTTATCCTCTACTGTTGCTCTAGATCCACCTCTGAATTCAAGGGTTTAATCAATGACATTTCTGCCTACTACGACATAGAATTTTCTGATTGCGCTAACCCAAAGTGCCGGGAGTTCGACCAGGATGCAGCAAATGTCGACTCAATTCCAAGCAACCCGTTCTTCGAGTATTTTCTTTACAAGCAGATGCTCTAACCCTGGATGTGTGTTCGGGATTGTCAAACTGGTCTGCCGTTGACATCAATACAAGCCTTATACTAAGCACTTTCTTTAAGATCTATCCTGATGCTTTAACTCCTTTACTTTCTTTGTTCTAGGGCCTTCTCTACTTCAAGCTTCATGTCTATGTCCTGTGTGAACCCTTCAATGACTCTTGAACACACATAGCACTTTTTATCCATCCCTATGCACTGATCACATAGTGTGTGGCCACAACTTGTTTTCATTGGGTTTATTAGCAGGCAGTGGCACGAAGGACACTTCAGTTGGTCCGGAATCTCAGCGACTGCCTTGGTCCTTTGCTTGTACTTCTTCCACTCCTGAACCTGGGGCTGTGCCTTGACATATCCTCCCTCGGGAGTGACTAACATTGCAGCATTCGATGGCACATTTTCTCCATACACAGGGACAAGAAAGTCCTTGGGAATCCCAGAGGGCTTCCTGATCCTCAGAATGTCAAATGCTTTGTCTTGGTTTGTGTGGCAGTTCTGGATATAATGTCCCTTCTGCCCACATCTGAAGCATACATAGCTCTCAGGAACTGCTTTGTTGTGCTTTTGCGAGCCGTGGTGGCTGCCCTGAGATTCAAGCCTCTTCTCCTTAACATTATATCCTCCTTTCGACATCCACAGAGGAATCCTACTCACTATTACATGGCTGTTCATCGAGACCACTTGGTATTCATCATTTATCTCTTCGTTCGTCTCTCCGTCGAAGAACAGGAGATCAAAGTCCTTCGAAACCATTTTTCTTTGGTTGATTATTTCATATTTGAGTTCCCATAGAGGAAGCCCCGTCCCCTGAAACGAGATACGGGAAAAGTTCTTGTTCGACCGAAATCTGTAGTTTATAACAGATGTCATGGGGGATGATGAGGCAAGAGATTTATTGTTGGAGAGGTGATCCGTTGGTTTAGTCTTCGTCGACACTGATGTGCTTGTACTTGCCAACAAGTGGGCGTATCTCGTGGTTCTCCAGCTTTCTTAGATCCCCTCCCGTCTCCATGGATGCAATGCCAATCTCGATGTCAAACTCCTTGTCCTTGGAAGGGTCGTGCGCCATATACAGCACCTTCACTCCCACATCCACCATTTCCTCGATGGTCATGGTGTCAATGTCCAGCTTTTCCAGCTCGGTCTTGATTCTCCTCGTCCCCTTTCCTATGCAGGCTGCTTTATAGGAGAGTGTCTTTCCAGAGCAATCCGTGTGCAGCAATGAGAAGCTGCCGTCTTTGTACACACTTGTCAGGGTGTTTGCCCCCAGGACTCTGAGGTTGATGCCCCTGGTAAAATAGTGGAATATGTCATTCAGATAGACTTTCATCATCCCAGGCGTAGGATCCTCGTTGAAGTTTTCCTTATGATGAAACACATAGTCCTTGATGGCACAGCCGACATAAAATGTGTCAGAGCTCATCCCGGTGCACACCACACCGATGGTGTTTCCAATCTTCCTTATTTTCTCATCGGATTCAAGAATATAAAGAGGAGACACCCGCGGCTTCTCTGCCAGCAAAACCACCCCGTGCTTGCTTTTCATCCCAATGCATGTGTCTCCAGAGTCTGCAGCCTTCTGTGCATAGGAAAGCTGATCGATTTGCCCTGTTGTGGTGTAGATGGTGCAAAAATCTAGGTTGGACATTCTGGGGTTGCCCTGTTATGTTTTAATCCCAGGGTCTTCCAATGATCCTGGATGCTCCCAACAAACATTACCATCTTCCCAGATAAGAGATGAGAATGATGGATAAATTAATATGGGAGAAGCACGGCCTATATCCCATAGATCTCTCCAAAGGACCCGAGCACTTGTCCGGCCTGTTAGTATTATGTTACAACCAAAGCCGACTTATCTTAGTTGCTTGCATTGCAGCCAATCGCTTTAGTGAAAATACATTAAATTGGCTTTATAATGAAAGTGGACAAAAACAATTTTAATTACAGCCATAACGGAATGGAGGATGGCATAGCACGTTTGGAGGTCAACCTCAAGGAAGACATCGTTGTAGGAATGCCTGTGGGCTGTATTTATACAACAATGTGGGAATGCATACAAAGATGCATAGACGACCGCAGAGACAGCGAGAAAGAAGAGGAGAGCGGATTCGAATGCGATGCCGAGGACGAGAATGCTTGCAGGGGAAGGCCAAGCTATGACTCGATGGGAAAGACGGAGAGAGCTGTTGTTGTGAAGGCCTGTGGATGGGAAAAGAAAGTTAGGGTTAATTACAACATCTTCAAAAGCTTCTCTGAGTTTTCTCGGAGACTTGCCGACTTTCTAAAGGAACTTGCTGCATTGTCAGAAGAGCTGGTAGTCGAGATAGAGGACGTAGACAAGAGTCTCTTTCTTGGCTTTCTCTTGGACAGCTTCAATTTGTTTGGAGATGTTGAGAGTGTGATCGATGGGTTCAGGCCAGCCAAGCGAACACCAATCCAAAGATCGGGGCTAACAAGTGAGGAGATGCTGAGAACACTGTTCCTGCTGCAGAACCTTGATGGTGGAATGAGACTGTTTCTGTCATTCAACGTGTTTGCAATATCGATATACCACGGAGATAAGTATGTGGTGTGTCTTCTTGATGGAATGTATAGAAGGATTGTTTCCGACATTATTTTCAACAGAAGAAGTCTTCATGAGCATCTGTTTGAAGGGGATAGCGAGCCTATTGGAGCAGGTACAGACACAGAGAGGTACATGATGACAAGATCGCTGCTCAACGGGCTCTATCTGCTGTTTGACATCTTCAATGTTAGTGATCCTTCCCTCAGAAGTATTCTTCATGTTATTCTGATGTTCTTGTCCGGAGAAAGAAGCACAGGGCTTGTAGACTTTTTAGGCCTAAATGATCTATTCATATGTGTTGTCAGGTCGATATGCGGAGACTTGGTTCCGTCGCATCTGCTGATGATGGCATGCAGAGACAAGCTGAGCATGAAGTACAAGGCTGGATCTATGGGGCTGTCAATGGACTATGTGTACAACTGGATCTACAAGCCCCACCTTGCCATGATGATGCCGGAATGGTTTTGCTGTCCAAGAGGAGAAGAAAGGGATGCCTTGGTGCAGGGAAGGCCCATCGAAGCAGTGTCTGATAGAATCACCATGGAGCTTACTAAGGATGATAAGGAGTCCAGCAGTGCCAGAGGCCCGCATATTCACCCTTAAGTAGAAGGTTGAGCGGAGGGTTAAGAAACAAAAGCCAAAGTAGATTCAGGAGCAAACAGAAGCTAGACTTTGGCAGCTAAACTGTATGAGATTTTTGGCAGACTCTTTTGTGACAAGACCAAGACCCGGAAACTCGGATTAAAACGTTTACTCAAGGATATTCCATGGGACCTCAGTGGACTGCTCAGGGAGTCAGCACGATCCTGCTGACTCCACTCTGGTCAAAAGCCCTGGATGCTATGTCCTCTATTTTCTTTCTTGTTATAGAAATTCCGTGTTTTCTGCAGATCCTAAAAGCAAAGCGTTTAGAGTGCTCAAGGGTCCTTCTGGCAAAGGAGCGGTTAATAAAGTCCATTCTCCCAAGAAGAAGCCCCAGCTTTTTCCCATAGAATAAAAACGTGTCATATATATTTTCGTATGCTTTTTTGTTATTTGGATCTATGTAGATTCTGGACATCCTGTTCTGTAGAAGTTTCCTCATCCTGGACTCCAGAGCTCTTCCAGGCTTCGTCGAGCTATGGGCAATCGAAAAAGGAAGATACGGATCCGCGGTCTGTGACTTGATTGAGAAGCCATCAGAGTATATTTTTGTTCCGCACCATCCAACAGGCGCATTCGTTATCTTCATGCTGTGTTTGTGCTTCGATAGTTCGGAAATGCTGGATGCCGCTTTTAAATGCTCCTCCAGCCCGAAGTTTGATTCCATCTTTTCCTTGCTGAAGTTGATTCCCAGATGAGAGATCGACTGGGATACCTCCAGAAACTTCATTATTTCGTCTATGCATGGCGAAATCACAAGGAAGTCGTCGACATACCGTGTAAGTATGCCCTCTTTGAAGACTCTGTCAAAATATAGGTCGTCGATGCTCTTGTAGTACAGGCTGCACAGAAGCGTGGATGCCACAGACCCCTGGGCAATCCCGGTCTTTTGAACGAAGAGTTTCCCGTTGTGTTTTACATAGTTCCTCTTGATCATATTCGTCATGGCTCCCTCAACCTCCTCCCTGCTTAGGATCCTCTGGCTGGCATTTTCCTTTACAACTTTGTTCACAAAGGCTCCTGGCTCCATCATTAGTTCGTTGATGGTTTCCGCATTTTCAGTAACCTTGCAGACATACCTGCTCCTCAGCTCTCCGCCGACCTCCTCCAATATAGAGAAGCTTTTTGTGTGGTACCTGCTTTTATGCAGGAGCCTCCTGACCAGACTCACAACTTCGTCCTGAGGAATGTTATCGAAGCATCCAGAGAGGTCAACCTTTAGGATATATAGGGGCCTTACGGACCGAGACAGGTAGGAGGAGAGCTTTTCATACATTCCGGAATGGTTTAGAATCGAGTTCCCAAGCATCCCGTGGGTTTCGTGTCTCAAAACGCAAAATTCCGGATAAATGCTCTTGTTGATCGACGGCCTTCCATTCCTGGCCTTGGACATGTTCGAAATAATTCTGGCTCCATTCATCTTCGGAATACACCTCAACTCAGAATAGGAATGGGTTGTGCTTCCTTTTGCGGGCTCAAATTTCTCCAAGAATCTGTCGATATGAATGCTTGAGAAGTGTCGCCAAATGGATCTAGGAAAGTAGTGCACCTTGAACTTTGAAAAGGATGTCTCCGTGCAATAGAAATATTTCGAGATGATCGGTATTATCAGCTTCTCCGTGATGTAGACCAGAAACCTCGACGAAACTCTGAATCTGAAGACAAACTCGCTTCTTGTGCATCTCAACGTCCTGAAGAACTTGAACCGGGAAATTCTAAAGTACTTTACCAGCTCATTCTTACTGACTGTTTCATAGCGGTTCCTGTGGATCAGAAGAGACAGTCTGGACTTTAGTATTCTGAATCCATGCAGGTCGAAGGCATCCTTGAACAGTTTCTTTGAAATGAGGAACAGGAAATTCACAAGTTTAGACTGCTTGACGCCACACTCCAGAGCGCTGCTCTTATCTTCGATGGCAAGCTCATCCTTAAAAAAGGATTTGAAGATTGCATGGGTGGATATCTTCTTCCACCGCCTTTCTATGCTCTCCAATACATCTCTTGCGTCCTTCTGTATTACCTTGTACTTTTCAGAGTTGTGGGCCTCGAAGACATACTCAAATGCAGACAACGAGCAAAAGCTTATTCTTCTGGTCTCCTTGTAGAAAAGCACGTTCCTTCCTATGGCGTTGCTTACTCTTTCAGTTGCCATTCCGCTGAGGCTCTTGAAATCCCCTGCTAGAAAGACATAGCCGCTGTTCAGCATCTGAATTACAAGACATTCCGTAAGTATGAAAAAAGCCAGTTCATCGCCGATCGATCTCATCAGCCAACTCCACTCATGAGACCTAAGGATTCTTGAGGAAGAGTTCGGGAAGTAGCATATGATTTTGGTGCTAGCTCCAGGAAGCCCTGGGCTCCACCATTTGTATCCTGCACACAGATGGTTGTCTCGATTCTTTATAAGGAGTGTCCTGACCGCTTTTGAAATCAGCTCTACGTCCTTCTGGGTGCTTTTGAACGAAGAAACTACAGGTGTACGACTTGCCCGTACATATACCCTGTCCACTATGTCTGGAAGATCTGCGACACCATAGGCTGCTAAAAAGTCCCTGAGAGATAGAAACCCGAAGCTCTTCAGAAGTTCCAGCATCTGTCGGGATTTATAAATTTTCATTCATTTTTCTAAGCTGAGGGCGAATACCTGGTAGATGCCGTGGTGGTTGGATCTGCTAATGCATGCGTCACCAGGATCTCTCAAAATTGCAGCCTTTATTGATGAGTCTATATCCGTGTTATGAAAACCTATAAACAAACCCCGAGATGCTGAGAGATTTTCCGAAGAAAAGAAAGATCTTTAACATAGCAGAGATGAAGGAGATAGAGGAAACAAATGCAAGGGCAGACGAGGCCATCTATGAGTTGAAGGCCTCTCTTCAAACATGTTCTCAGGCATGCAGCCCTCAGGTTACGGTGCAGCCCATTTCCGAAAGCGAAGCCACCAGACCCCTGAAAGACATTCTTCTCCAGGGGGGAAGCTCTAAGGATCCCAGTGAAGGGTTGTACGAGAGACTTTTTCTTGGCTCGGCAACGGTCCAGAGGAGGAGGACGGAAGCAAAAGGCTCTCCGTCTACTGAGGGGGAAAAGGACTTCCATGAATTTAGATATGAGCTTCTATCAACGTCGCAGAAGATAGAGCTTAGCAGATTTTGTTGGAGTGCATTTAGGAAGAGGGCTACGAACATGCTCTTTGCCTGGGTGAATTGCTTTCAGAAGAAGAATCGGATGGGGCGTGGTAGACAAATTAGCCCTGTGGTGTTCAGTGTCGTCAAGTCGTTGAAAAAAAGGGCAATCCGCACCAAGTTCATCTTCCGCTATGAACCAGACAAGCTGGCAGCGGCAAAGATAGCAAACAAGATACATGAGAACACATGCGTGGATATCGAGAACATAGATGTCCTTGTGCTGGCGAATGCCCTCAAGAATTATATCAGAGAGCACCTTGACGGCCTAGTTCCCATAGAGGCCTTTGAGAAGATCAAGACTTGCATCATCTCGAATGATAGGTATACAAGAGAAGCATTGTTCTCGTACATGCCGTTTATATTTACAGATGCAGAGAGACGCTTGCTCACCTCGCTCTTTGAGCTTCTGAAGATGATTGATAAGAACTCGGATGCGACGGAGATGAATATCGACTCACTTCTGGGGCTGTTCAGCCTAGTCCTACACCCACAGGCAGCGTTTACAACCCTTGATGACCTAGAATATGTCAAGATTATCACGAGGGAGTTATACCAACTCGACTTTGATGCCATACCCCAAGGCGTTGTTGTCCATGAGCTGGTCTTTGTGTAGTCTTTGCCGTCATGACTAAAATATTGTGACCCATTTTTTGGTTTATCTTAGAGTTTGGTCGGCCCAGGTTCCGACCCAATAGTTTATATTTGGAAATGGGGGCTAGGCCCAGATGACACAGCAGGAGGAGAAGGAATGGGAAAAAGTCCAGAAGAAAACATTTACAAAGTGGGTGAATGAGAAGCTCATAAGAGGAGGCCAGAAAGAGATTGGTGATCTGTTCACGGACCTGTGCGATGGGGTGAAACTTGCACAGCTTCTAATGGTTTTGCAGAAGGATGCTGTTGAGCACAACCCAACGCCGTACACTCGGATTCAAAAGATGGAGAATGTGGAAAGAATCCTGTCTTTCATAAAAGGAAAGAGGGTCAAGTTGATAAACATAGGGCCACAGGATATTGTTGATGGGAATCCAAAGCTTATACTAGGGCTTATATGGTCTCTGATTTCAAGGCTAGCAATTGCAAAGACGGCAGAGGCCGGGGAGCTCTCAATAAGAAACGAGCTGCTCAGATGGTGCAAGGAGGTGACGAGTGGATACAAAAATGTAAATATAGCTGACTTCTCCAGGAGCTGGCGAGATGGGCTTGCATTCAATGCAATCATCCATAGGTTCCGGCCGGATCTTGTTCCAAACTTCCACGACCTCCAGGCCTCTGAGAAGGCATACAATTTAAACCAGGCATTCAAAGTTGCAGAGAAGTTCCTCGGAATCAAGAGACTGCTTGATGTGGAAGATATAGTGGAAGTGTCTATTCCGGACGAAAAAAGCATCATGACATATGTTTCCGGGTATTACAAGAAGTTCAGAGAGTACGAGAAGGAAAAGTCTGCGCTCAGCAGGGTTAAGGGCGTTTTGGAGGCTGTTGACTGGTCAATACAAGCCAGGAACCTCTATGAGATCAAAGCAAGGAGCCTGCTGTCTTTGATAAAGGGCCTTGATGGACAGAGAAAAGAAGTATGCAAGTTGATAAGAAGCCTCAACAAGGCATTTGATCTGCTGCTTGAGATGAACTCCAGAGCCGTCCATGAATCCGCTGAGCTTCATTCTCTTTTTGGAAGTATAAATGCGGTACACAGCCTCTACAGAATAAAAAAGTATTCCCCTCCGGAGGATGTGTCTCTGGAGAAGTTTTTGTTTCCTCCCCTGCAGCCGCAGAAAATTGTCGAGAGCATCGGGATCAAGAAGTTATTTGACCCGTCGTTCCAGTCTGAATTCGAGGCACTGAACCGGACATTTGAGCTCTTCAAGCATATGCTTTCCAAGGGGGGAGACGTGAGAGAGCAGATGCAGGTCACATCCGAGCTTAGCAATAAGCTAATGGAAATGACCTTTACACACCCTCTAGCTAAGACCCAGAAGGAGGGATTTAAGGGCATTGCAATGAAAAAGCTTGAAACCTTAAAGAAGATCCAGGACAAAAAGACTAAGGAGGAAAAGGTTCTCGAAAGCGCTACAGCTCTATTCAACACGGTGTTAAAAAAGGACGAGTGCGGTATAAGCCCTACAGACCTGTGCTGGTGCTTGGGCCAGCTGGGCCTTTCAGTCGATGAGGGAATGGTTCCGTTTGGAAATCCAGACGGTAGAGTATCCTTGGAAGACTATCTTTTAATAGTTAAAGAGACGCACAGCACATTATGCGATTCTTCGGATCTCAAAAGGGCCTTCAAGATGTTCACCACGGACGACATCTTGGATCTCAGATCGCTTGGGATCGAAAGCAAGGACCTTCGAAGTGTCTATCATTTCAACGGGGAAAAGCCGTCTCTAGATGTGAACAAGTTTTTCGAAAGCTTTATCGAAGATTAAAGCGGCTTTACTTCACCTTGTGTATTTTACTCTTTATGGGCCTTCCAAGCCCAAATTCCTCGTAAAGAGCAGTCGGGTATTCTATGTCGACAAAATACATTATCCCGTTAAACCTCCGAAAGCATGCCGGCACCGATCCAAAGCACAGACCTATTTTCGTTTCCTTTTCCTCTATACAAAACCCAGGCGTGTCTAGATACAAAAACCCTTTTGCACTGTCCTTAGGCTGAACAGGTATCAGCGTCTTATTGCAGGCATAGATGTGTATACTTGGTTCTCCCCTAGGCCTGCTGGTAATGACGCCTCCAGAATTCAGGTAGGACTGCCTGTATCTTGCATTCTTGACAAGGCTTTCATTGCACACAATAGACGACATCTTTCCAGAATGTAGTAGCAGCCTCCCAAGAATAAATCCTATACCTGCAAAAACGTCATCTCCAGAAATAAATATCTCCACATCTGCACTTGAACTCTCAAAGTATGTAGAAAATATCCGGTATGCCTGGCGTGCAGCAATGGAACAGAATTCCTCCTCAAGAGGCCCAAAATGGCTAAACGCTCTTTCCATCATCCTGTAGTAGTTTTCTTCAGACGTCTCCGGAGTATGTTTGCTTTCCTTTCCATCAATCCTAGTCTTGTCGGAAGATAGGATGTTACCGTCATTTCTGTGGCCTGCTCCACTTCCATCAACCTGGCTGCTCTTGTGCCTTTCATCTACACTTCGATCAATGCCTGCCGCTTTTAAGCTCAAGCGGCTCATGGAATGCTGCCGTGGAATGCTCTTTCCCATAACGCTTTTGTCGTCTGAATCAGTAGATGGCATAGATTCTCCATGCTTCGTTCCTTCCTTGGCATTGCCATCCTTAATCCTGTGGTCTGCAGAGGGGTTTGGTGCAGGATCCTCCACAGCCTCCAATCTCTGAATGTCCTCAATAAGCACATCTTTCATGCCGCATCCGTCTTCTACAACTAGCTTCCCAGCACTCTCGTCAACAATCCTGAGCATCCCACTTATTATTCCTTTGGATGTCTCAAACAACAGTCTTGTTCCAATGTAATCCTCCATTCCAGGGCTTTAGCCCCGGGTCTTAATACAGTGCAGGCAAACTGCAAAAACACAAGTAAGAAAGCATTTACTATTAAAATGAATCGAGCCTTCTATAGAATGTCACGCATCGACTTGTAATGCTCCGCCAAATGTTTTCTAACATCATCTGGAATCACATTCCAAACATCGTTCAGGAGCATCTTGTAGTTTTCCAGTCTTTGCTGGAGATCACTTCTGGCATCCTCAAGCTTCTTGTTCAGCTCCATATTGTATTTCTCCAGAGCATCGATTCCCACATCAAACTCCTCCTTGCTTAACCTTTTCATAACCCTCTCAACCTCCTTGGCAGACAAAATCTCCACCTGGGCTCGGAATTTCTCGAGGCTCTCCCTGTCCATTCTTCCGGGTTGTTTTCGGATCCCCAGATCCGCTCCATTTATAAAAACTAAAGAGTATGGAGATAAACTCACAAAAGGGCCCTTCTATCGGAAATAATGCTGGATGGTGAAAACAGACTTGCTATACCGTCTGTCTCTTTCCAGCACATACAAAAAGTCCTTCATGGTTATTGTTCTGTTCACCACCTTCCTCTCCAGAGCCTTCTCGTCAAACGGTGAGTAGATTGAGTTGAAGGCTGTGCTTTCTTCGCTTACTCGAACATCCTCGGCACTCATCCATGACTTCTGTTGTATTCCAAGGGCTGCCAGCGCAACTGTATTGCTCAGCCTCTTCTTAATAACCAGATCCTCCCTCTCCTGAATTGTTTTCTTCACCTTCTTTCTTCCTTCTTCCTCTCCTCTTCTGATGGTGAACTTTTCAATCTCGGCCTTTTCTATCTGCTCAAGACACCATAGCTGTCTGCTGAGGTCATTCTTTATTCTTATTATAAACTCAGACAGGTTGTACTCAACCCTCCACTTACTCGATTCCTCCATCTTTTCCACAATGTCAAGCATCTTCCTCTTGGCCACCTGAAACAGAAGGAAAAACGATTCCTCGCTGATACCCACTCTCCTCGAGTTCCCAATCCTGGAGACAAACTCTCTGAACAATGGTACATTCATAAGACTTCCAATGTGGTTATTCACATCCTCTTCTTCGTATTCCCCGAAGTTGATATTCGTTTCAGTCTCTCTAACAATGTGCTCGGCCTCCTCCTTAAGGTCTACTCCGGAGTATTGTATAATGTCTTGAAGATGCTCCGTCTTCATCTCCTCTTGCTGCTCCCTGCCCGCCGTGCTGCTCGAAAACAAGCTCTCAAACTGGTCCTTGCTCAATGCCTCCTTGCAGACCCCGAAAAACTGGGATGCAGATATCTCCTTTCTCACAGCACTAAAATATGCCGTTTCTATGATCTTCTTCTTCTCCTGAGGAAGCCTTTCAAAAGCCTCTTTGTTCATCTTCTAAGGGTACAAAATTTCAATACTTCAGAGACATACCGAAACTTTATTCCACACTAGTATAATACCAGACCTTGTAGATGCTCCATATCAACATGCCCAATACTCTCTATCTGTGATCTGTACCACTTCCTGGCTCCCTCAGGATCAATCTGCTTGATAAACAGATAGGAGGCTATAGAGAGGTCCGAGGCATCACTCATAAACTCCTTGAGCTTGTCAAACACAACGTTCACACTCTCAACGTCTCCAAACACCCGCAGTGCATTAAACGCCACAACAAACATATAAACAGCATACAGGGGGTTGCGAGTCTCCTTTAGCCTTGGGTACAGAACAGACCTCACAAACTCGTTGTAAGTGTAGTCCCAGTCCATGTAGTGGCAAAGAACCCTAACAGAGTACATGTTTGGAAATATCGCGGAGTTGAAAGTCCTGTCCTCAAAAACCTTGAAGTTTCCAATCAAACTGGTGCATGCATCCTTCAGGGACCTTTCTCTGGGATGGAGCTCAAAGTTGTCAATTATCTTGTTATAGTAACCCACAAGGTGGGGATTGTTCTTATATATGTCTTTGTCAATCGTACACTGGTGCAGTAGAATCTCCTTTATGGTTCCTCCCAGCACGTCGTTGCGGATTCCCTGGTTGTTGAATAGAGCAGAAATGATAAACGGTGTCCTGGAAAAGTCATCAATAAAAAGAATGATGTCATGTGCAATCACAAGCTTGTGCTGATACTCAACATCCCCAGAGATCAAATTGAATGTCGAGCAGATCGTGTTGAGGTCGTAAGTGTTCAGGTTTGTCATCATGTGCCTTATAATCTTGTCGATTTGCTGCTTAACATTGGTGTGAAACGACTTTTTCATTTTCACATCTGCTCTACTGTTTAGCGAGAAGTTGTGAGCTTCCCCGGAGTAAGATAGGAGAGAATCAATTGTGAAGGCATCCTTGAACGACTTAGATACCTTGTCCCCTCGGAACAAGTCCTCAACTTCATCCTCAAGAGGCACACTGCTCCTTTTCTTTCTTCTACTATTCTCTTTGTTAAGCTCAAAACGGACCATATCCTGGCCATCTTCTGCATCAGCCCCGTTTCTATCCTGCTCCTTATGGCCTTTCCCTACCGCTGTGCTCCCATTATCCCTCGCCAACCTCTTTGTATGTGCCACAAGTGCATTGATTATTATCTGCTGGTCTTCTATCTTATCTTCCAATTCAGATATCCGAAGAAGCGCCTGTTCCAAGCTCTTGACCATTATTCCTGGGATATCCAAATCATTCCCCAAAAATTTAGAACATCCCAGCCCTAAGGGTTATGTGCCGGGCCCGAGAACAAAAAGGTCCAGTGATAGCCCAAGCATACAATCAAGCTCCCTATCCGCTTCGTCCTCAACATCATCGCTGGATCTCACATGCCTCCATCTCTGGTTTATCAAACTCCAGGACCTTTCCAGCATTTTCTTGATTTTTTCGCTGACAACCCGTGATGCACGATCAATATCTACCTCCCATTGAAGCACTGGTCTGGACTCTCCAGGTCCAGAATGCTTTAACACTACAAACCCATTCAAGTGAAGCATCATCAACGCTTTCTTGACAGTGTAGGAGGGAACCAACGATTTGGTTACAATGTCCTTATCCTCTAATGTCCTGTGCTCTAGGATCATACTAAAAATTCTCCGTGCCTCCTTGCTGCTTTCAGACAAAATCCGGCCTAGGGAGTCAACCACAAGCACCCTTCTCACATCGTCCCCGTCCTTGAAGTAGGTCTCCGTGCAGTCTAGGCTCTTTCTGAGCAATCCGCAGTTGCTGAAGTATTTGACATGTGAGGCAACATCTTCTCTGCTGATATTCGTCTCCCCCTCGAGGTTATCAGTTATGGTGTCGACTGTCACCAAGTTACATCTAAGAATCGATCTGTAGGTCATTTCTGCCTTTGATGAGTATCTTTTCCTGACAAGAGTCAGAAGCCTACTGTCTACCAGCTTAGCGTCTAGAGCACCAAAGTCAACAACATAGAACCTGGACTTTTCTGAGGTCCTTCTATTCTTTCTGCTCATGCCATCGATTTCTCTTTCCATCTTAGCCCTTGCCATATACTCGGCCAAACCTCCGGAGCTTGTAACCAAAACGCTTGCTTCTCTTTTGTCTACAGAGATCACCATGCCTGCATTAACAAGTTCCTCTCTTTCTTCCTCTGAGGAAACGTCTTCAGGCTTGGTAAAGCCGTTCGTCAGAATCTTCATAAACAGAGCAGCTGTATTCTCTCCAAACAAGCCCTCAATAAGCCTGCAGTAAATTGCGTAGTACGTCCTCCTGTAAACCATTTCTACATCTAACACATAGTAGACTTTCTTCTCATACTGAAAGTATTTCACAAGCCTACGCTGTATCATCAGAGAGAGGCCATGCACAACCTGGATACGTGTCAGAGATGTATTTTGAAGCATTTGGTCTACCGTGCTTCCATTTCTTTTCTTTAAGAAAAGGCTTATCTTCTGTGGAATTGTTCCATAGTCTGCCAGTATCTCGGTCACCAGTCCTGGCATTCCTCTGGATCCAGCAAAAATTTTCAATAAAGAAGCTGCACCCAGATTCAAGCCATCCCAACCAAATGGGAAATATGGATTTAGGCACAGATGCAAAGAGGACTTGCATATTTCGTGTAGAAGACAAGAGCGGTAAGATGCCAGAAAGACGCAGCGCAGTGGATGAGAAAATAAATGCTTCAATCAAGATAAGTGACAATCCATTCGATGTCCTATCGCAGTCGCTATACAGAAAGAGCGAAGCAAGCCGTGAAGAGCACCAGCCTAACCATAGCATGGTAGAGGACAACATCTTCGAAGAACTCCTTGTAAAGAGCAGGGCAGAGCCGGCAATAGAGGAGGAGAAGATCCCCTACGGAATATTCACCTCGATGATCCTCATGGCCGACATGGAAATACATGCCCAAGACCAGAGGATGTACAAGTTTCCGTTTGACCCGGAGACAAGAAATGATGGATCTCAGCTCTTTGAAAAAATGTACTCAGAATATCTGATAGCAATCAAGTCCGTATTCAGAGAGTACAAGAGGAGCAATATCAGATTCTACATGAAGTTCAAACACGAGTTTTTGGTGTTCGACTCCTGCCTGAAGGTTACCTCTGGAATGAGAAAAGAGCTGGCAAGAAACGAAATCGAGTTTGAGGATGAGGGGTCGCTCCTGATAATCCGAGGAGTAGAAGTAGCCCTGGCGTTTGATTACATAGTCAACGCTTCCTTATCGCCATCCTCTTGTATTCCCTTCATCCTTTCAGAGAGCCCGTTTGAGAATGGAATCCTGTTTTCTGTGAGGCTTCAGAGAAAGCACGCCATAAGGGAGGGGAAAAGAATACTCTACTCGTACGAGTTGCTTGGGCCATTCTGGGCAGATGACTACAAAGAGCTTGCTCGCTTCTGCATCAAGGTTGTTTAGACTTGCATGCCCAAGGTTTTCTGATGTAAGTTTCATCGTGTTCCTTCCTGTAGTATACCTTGTTCTAAAAATACAAATAAAATAAACCCTTTAGGATGAGCGAAATAAGACCGAACTATAGAATGATGCTGCTGGTTTTCTCACTTATGTTCACATACACAGCTCCTGTATCTGAAATAATCTTGCCTGCTAACTTTGTGTTCAAAAAAGCTTATGTTGTGGCCCTCGTGCTTTCAAGCATTTTTTCAATGGTTTACCTGGTGCTTTCCATAGTTTACAGGGGTCGCGTTAAATATGACTTGGAAACCATTGCCCTGGCAAGCCATCTCCAGACGAAGAAGTTCTGCAGAAGATGTAACAACTACAAGCCTGAAAGAGCTCACCATTGCTCATCATGTGGGTATTGTATAAAGAAGATGGACCACCACTGCTTCTGGATAAACAACTGTGTGAACTATGACAACCAAGGGCACTTTATACGATTCTTGTTTTTTACGGCGTCGGCTAACATACTCATATTTGTGTATGTGTCCATAGAGTCGGCTGCCATTCTGCTTTTCAACCATTCCCTTGAGCACAGAAGGGACTATTACATTCTGGTGTTGTCTGGAATGCTGTCCCTTGTGTTTCTCATAATGACAGCCTTTTTTCTTTATTTGCAGATGAGGCTCGCCCTATCAAACACAACCTTCATCGAGGAGCTGAAGCAGGAAAGCATGAGCAGGCTTCAGGGCTCATCGATTCTCAGGTCCCCCTACGACAGAGGGATCATGAGTAACCTTATAGACACGCTGGGGCCGCCTTATACTCTTTTTCTGCTGGGACCCTTTGGAGACGGCATCACATTCATCAAGACATATCCAGCCGAGTATTGGCCAGTTCCATATGATTACCATTGTATCGAGGATCTTATGGTCATTTGACTGCCAAGAAACACCGCGGTGTTCTTAGGCATATATATCGTATATTATATTAAAATCTGTTCTGTCATAGGAGGAGATTTCCATTTCCTGGCATTCTTTCAGATATCTTGAATATAGCTCCATCTTCGAAACTCTTTTGTTTCCGGAAATCAGTGAGCTGATAATGCTATGGTGCACATTGCTCGGCCTCTCCTCCGTGCTTTCTTTCTCAGGAAATACATCCTCTGGGCTTATTTCCACTGCGCCACCCTCCACGATCTTTTTTCCAACAATCTCCTGGACATATCTAAGCAGCTGCCTTAGGTCTCCAGAGGGTCCGACTCTTTTTGATATAATCTTTATAGCTGTCGGATTTAGAATGGGGGAAGAAGATTCCTCAGAGACTTTCTGAGTCAAGATTTTTTCCATGTCGGATGAAGAGTATGGTTTGAAAAACAGGACGTCGCCAGATATCGTTAGGTCATTCGATATGGTTATTAGCTTTTGCCTGGTCCTCAAGTAACACATGGCTTGTATGCACTCATTCCTTCTTTCGTTGTAGTACTTATCGAACTCATCGATGATTACTACAGAAGTGTTGCTGCTTTTTATTCTTCCGAAGATGTCGTTTTCGTTGTAGTAGTTCAGATAAAGAAAGGAGTTCCCTACAGTGTGGACAGTAACATGGGTCTTTCCTGTGCCTGGGCTTCCACAGATATGGAGAACAGGGCTCTTAGAGCCCAGGAACGACCTTATGGCAAGCGTCTCCTCTTCTCTAAGATACACAGAGGCACCTGAGCAAGAGAATGAGTCATAGAGTCTCTTCAAATCTTCTAAGCTTGCCATTTCCTTTGAATTAGGGCTGGACAGACCGATAAATGATCTGAGCAGGTGCCCAGCCCCGGAATGGAGAGTTTAAAGAGGGCAAAAAGAGTGGAGCCACGGAACAAGGCGTTTGAGATGTATGTAAAGCTTAAGGAGATACCTCAGGGGTCTTGTGTCGATGATGATGTCCTGGTGTACCTATCAAGGAACATGGAGCTTCGGAGAGAGATTCCAGCCACATTGCTTGGTATCATAGAGGTGCTAAGGATAAATGCGCCTAGATGCTTTCTAAGCAAAGAAGAGAGGATCAGGTTCTTTGGGCTGCTCATAGAAACGCTTCCAAAGGAAAAGATAAACCTGGAAACATTCATTACATACAGAATCCCTAGCCTACTAACGGAGAAGATCTTAATTGCTAAGTTGATCAGCCTGGTAGGAGTGGTTAAAGGAGCTGCAAAGCAGTATTTGAGAGAGATTATTATTGTGATGATAGAAGAGGGAGCAGGGGGCATGGTCCGGGAAATAGTCATGGATGTACTTCTTCGTATACCCAAGGACCCTACTCTCAACCATATAATCGAGGCTACAAAGGAGATATCGATGCCTATTGCCGCTGTAATCATGGAAAGTCTTGAAGATAAGGTGTATGCAGACATATATTCGAACTTCACTCTGAGGGAGCATTTGTGCATCAGAAATGTAAGGGGGCAAGGCAAGATGAGGTATCTGATGGCTGCAATGTCGGAGACGAACTTCGAAAAGTTGTGTGGCTTTTACATCGGAGACAAGGACAAGAAGGTGATTAAGATTCTGGCGGAGCATTGCCGCCCGAGTCATGACGAGATATTCCATAGGATCCTCAACGATTGCGATGAGGGCGTTCGTACAAAGTTGCTAGAAGGAATCACCTTTGAAGATGTTGTTGAGCATGAGCTGGAAGTCTACGAGAGAATTCTTGACACAAGCCACGGGGTTAGAGCAATTGTATTCAACATATTCAGGTCTGGAATGCTGCTCCACAGAGATTCTGTGATAGAGGTTAGAGAAGATTCAAAGGAGAACAAGAGGGACGGATCGGAGAGCAGTAACCGTGAGACGAAATGTCTGTTGAGGTTTATAGGAGCTATTCTTAAGGGGGTTTTCACCAAACAAAGAAAAGAATATGTCGATCTGCTGAATGAACTCAATCTACCATGGGAGTTCTACTTCCGTATCCGATCCTTCAAGGGGGTAACGGCCTTTCTGAGTCTAAGCTCCGAAACGATAAAGAAGGAGAGTGAAGATCTTCCCAAGTGCAGAGACAGAAGAAGGTTTTATCTTGAGCATTTTTTTTGCGGAGAGCTTTCTAAAGAGGAAATTGCTGGACTTATAGAAGTAGATGTTCCGTCTGCCTTGGCATATCTCCGAGGAAAGAGTCCAGATGAGTATGCGGATTTACTGATGAGCAGAGCACTGTCTAGTAACAACATCGAAGAAGTGCTAATGGTGATAGATACAATAAGGCCTTATTTGGCTGAAAAGATGCATCCATCATGCCCAAAGTGCAGTGCAGAGCTTTTGGTCTATGCACACTCGAGACATGCATCATGTTTTATTGGGCAGGTCCTGGACTTCGATGTTTCGTTTCCAATGCTGTACTTTCTGTCACATATGAAGATACCAGTGGATACACTCCTTCCCCTACTTTCAGGATATAGAGGCAGTGGCTCGGAGTATGTTGAAATCCAGCTGGCATACAACGACAAAAAGCTGCTCCAGGAATATGTGAACTATTTTATGGAGATAGACTTGGATGAAAGCTCAAAGAGGAAGCTTGTCGGAAGCAGGACGTTTGTTGGGTCAATGATATACTTTGTTAACACGGGGCAGGTGAATATAAGGAACATCAACTTCTTTATTTCCTCAATCCATGTGATATGCATGAGCTCGAGCAATGAGACTAAGATCAGGCAGATCTACGAAACGTACTCAATGAAGGTGGATCAAAGCACATTCAACAGATTCTACACAGTGTGCTCCAGGCTCAAGGCCATGTCACTGAACAAGGGACCGCACGAGATAAGCGATGGAAAGGTGGTGGTCAGAAGAAATGACAAAACACTGTTCTTTATATGTGAAACGGTTCTTGGAGTTCGAGAGGGAGAAGTGGTTGGCGAGCGATTCCACCTGCAGGGATTCCATCCGATTCCGGAGAACGTGCTAGACATGATTTCTCTGGGGCGCATGATGTAACCTACCGCAAGAATGCATTAAATCTTTATTTATATTCGCTTTTGTAACATCCGTAGGAACACAGCATTTTTTCAACGACAAAGGTGCTTCCATCTCCGACAGAACTGAGGTTGTACCCCAGGTGAGGCTGTGTGGTGAACAACCTGCTGCATGCATCGCAGCTCCTTACGTCGGGATATCTTTTTCTTATCCAACTTTCGCACTTGTACTGCATGTTTAAGCATTTGTTGTAGCACAGCTCTGTCAAGGCAGGATTGGGCGCCAGCTTGCTTTCATGATAGACGAACGGGTTTTCCCCGACTCTTATTACCGTCACATTTGAAAATGTCTTGAAGAACTTCAAGGGAATGCAGCTGAGAAGGTTGTCGCTCACATCGATTATTGATACGGACGATACTCGGCCCTTGAACGAGCTTGGATCTATCTTCGAGATCCTGTTTGACTTTAGATTCAGATACCTAAGTGTTTGGATGCCTATCACATGGCCGGGAAACTCAGTGATGTTATTGTCACTGAAGTCTAGCTTTTCAATGCTGCTGAGGCGAGATATGCTTTGGTTTACGCTTGTTAGTTGATTTTTGAAGACTGGAAGAATCCTCAGTTTCTTTAGGCTGCTCATATCCGGCAGTTCCGTAAGGCAGTTTGCTCCAAGGCCAAGCTCCTCTAGCTGCACCAAATTGTTGATTCCGTCTGGAAGCTTCTGTAGCTTGTTATTCGACAAGTTCAGCCAGTTCAGATTCTTCAGCTCGCAGAACTCGTCTGGAAGCGATGAGATTTCGTTGTTGGACAGGTCTATCTTGATCAGATTTATAAGAAACCTAATGTCCTTTGGGATGGCTCTGATCTTATTTGAGAAGAAGCCGAATTTCCGGAGATTTGTCATCTTGAATATACATCTGGGAATTTCAGAGAAGTTGTTTTCGCTTAGACCAAGCCCAGAAACCCTCTTCAGATTTGCCATTTCGTCTGGCAGAGACCTGAGCCTATTTCTGGTGAGGTCGATCCACGTGAGGCCCACAAGAGAGCCGATTCCTGGGTGGATTTCCTCGATCCTGTTGTCATTCAGTGCAAGCCTACTCAGGGCCTTGAGCTCCTTTATGCTTTCAGGCACCTCTCTTATTTTGTTATCGGAAAGTATAAGCCAGTTGATGGGTGTGGAATATGCCATCTTCGGTATTTCGTGGTATCCTTGTTTGGAATAGTCTGCACTGGTAACCTCTGTCATTATTTGCACTGTTTCAATCTCTTTTTATTTTTTCTACATCAACGATTGTTTCAAATTCACAAATAAATATTCTCTCTTCGCCCAGACGTGCATCGGATCTCCATGCCTTGGAGGAAGCGTATTTTGCTGCATTCTGAAGCCATGGGCCCAGTGAAACCTGTTTCCAAGCTGCAAGTTGCATTTGTGAACTAGAAACCCGTTGTGTCAGCGTTGTCAAACAACACAACGTTAAATTCGAAGGGCAGTTACGAGCCATGGGAAATACGAGCAGCAGCATAAACAAGGACCCAGTCATTGCCAAGTCGAATCCAAGCGCTCCAGGTGTTCTAAGACTGTATAACCTTGAGGACCATGTCTTTCCGTATAAAATCTCGAGGGCCCCAGAGACTTATCCAAGTGTTCATTTAGCAGCGTCTCTTGGTGGCTTTGAGAGGCAGGTCTCGAAACATCTCTCTATGTCGCCGAGGCTGGAGGAGATAACAGGGAAAGAAATGGATCTATACCACAATGTCGTCAATAAAGAAGAGACAGCTGAGGAAATACTGACAAGCGGGGAAAGAGTGAGTACCATACGGCACAACTCCAGGGAGGACCGCAATCAGATATACATGTGCAGACAGTTTATTGTGGAGATAACTGAAGGCATAGGAGAGGCCAAAGATCTGAAGATTCTACAGGCATGCTGCAATTACTTGACAAGGCTTCCACCGCAGATAGGCTACCTGGCAAATCTTAAGGTTTTAGTGCTTTCAAAAAACAGAATACAAAAGCTCCCTGACGAAATCGGCCTGCTCAAGAATCTCAGAGAGCTCAATCTGTCCCAAAATCTGCTATCCATGCTCCCAAGAGGGATTTCGGCCCTAAAGGCTCTCAACGCGCTCCACATAGATGGCAACTTATTTACTGTTCTTCCTCCGGTGATTGGAAGGCTTTATGGGCTGAAGTACCTAAATGTCTCCAACAACAAAATTCAAAACATCCCCTTGGAAATTCTGAAGCTCCCATTCCTCATAGAACTGACGGCCACATCTTGTGACTTTGCCCCCAAAGACACCGTTGAATGTATCGGACATGCTACACTTAAGGAAACATGCTCGAGACACCTGGTAAGGAACAACCTGAACGTGCGAAGGAGCATTGACAAGCCTCTTGCAAGGTATCTCCTGTCCGTACAAGAATGCTCGTTCTGCGGAGGGCCCCTTTTCGGGCACTACTATCTCCACAGGAGCATGCAGACATTCGACTCGGAAAGGTTTCCGGTCATCTATAAGCTATGTGTCAAGCATTACACTAGGCATGAGGACAGGATAGCAACACTGTTTCTAGGGCCTCTGAAAACCTATCCTCAGAGACTCATAAAGTCAAATATGCCGTTTGTGGGGGAGCTGTTCAACCATTTCGGATATAGTGACGAGCAGAAAAGAATACTTGATCAAGGATGGAACAATAGAGAGGCAGATATAATGCCCCTTATTTGTCTTTCAAAATATATCGACATGTACGCCGAAGAGAGCTAGAGGCGTTACCAGCTGTAGACCAAAGAAATGTACGATTGCCACGAGCCCTTGCTGGACTTTGTACAATAAATTCAATTTGTATTTATTTCTCTGCAATCCCTTTACTGTGATCACCACGGCTCGTCCCACCCGTCCACCAGGTCCTTGGATTCCCCATAGTCTTGGGCTGGCTTGCTTGGCGTCTTAACCGACTGGGTCTCTACTTCTTCGACACATACTATCCCTTGGTGTGTAGAGGACTTCGGCTTGAAGATGTTCTTGATACTTCCGATTCCCCATTCTTTGTCCACTATCTCTCCCTTATGCTCCTTAAGGTGGCTGAGGATTTTCTCTATGAGCGAAAACACTGCAGGCTGAACGCTTCTGTTTGACAGATACCCGCAGAGCAAGGGCAAAAGCTCCGTAGTCATCTTAAAATTGTCGAAGCTTTTATAGAAGATCTCCATTGTATCAAGAACTTGCGCCTTTGCCTTGGATTGTATCAAGTACTTGCAAAGAATCCTGTAAACAACATCGGTTTTCTTGAAGGCCGGTCTTACATCTCGTAAGAACCTGAGGACCAGCGCCATTCCCTGGTCGTCGGATACATAGCTATACATGGTTTCCAGTATCTCAGACTGCTGTCTTTTGGACACCATGCCTATGTTCTCCTTGATAAACACAACAGTCTCTTCCCTCAGCAGCTTGTCCTTACATTTGATGCCAAGCGACAGGCTTTTTACTACAGGATCTAGGGTGGTGATTCTGTCAATGTATTTTTCCGGGTTTCTGAGAAGATAAAGTCTTATGCCTGTATCCAATATGGAAAACAACGGAGGTAGGAACTCCTCCATGTCCGGGACATCGAAACTCAGGACAAAGTCGACGGCTAGTGTTTTGAAGTCCTTCGAAGTACTGGAGCTAATATCGGCAAGAACCATCCACGATACCCTTCTTTTGTGAATGTCTATGAGCTCGTTCTTGTTCTTTTTCATTCCAGAAATAAAGTCTAGCTTCTGATCGACTGTAAAGGATCTGTATCCAAAAAATGCAATATCCAGGTCGAAGAAAATGTCTGAGCAAAGCCCTCTGTTCTTGACGAAATCGGCCAACGATGCATCAATCCCCACCAACTCCTCCACGAGATTGCTGAACATTATGTTGTCTTCGTCGAATGCGCTGCTCTTCCTGCTTTTCTCAAATCCACCAAGAACTACCCTGCCTTCCTCGTTGAAGAACAGAGAGTCCTTCACAATGTTTCCATGCACCACGCCGCACTTGTCGTGGAGGAACACCAGCGCCTGAGCTATCTTGAAGGCTATGTACTTGTTGAACTCCTTGGTTTCTCTTTTGAATACAGAGCAGAAAGGAAGTAGTCTTCTTGTTATCAGGTATCCTTTTTCTACATTGAGTCTGTAAAGGCTAATTATTGTATCATGCTTTATCTTCTTCAAAAACGAGTATGCCTCGATGGTCTGCGTGAATACGAGCTTCGTGGCATTTTTGCTTTCGAATGTGGTGTTGTACATCGTATATGACTTTGTGGTGTGGACCAGTGCCTCGTTTTTCGTAGCCATCCAAAGAAGCTTTTTCAGAAACATTGGCAGGGTTGTAGATGGATCTTACAAGTGAGGCTTAGCAGGAGGAAATATAAATCCCCTCTTAGATTGCAAGGCACACGGGGCGGGCTCTCAAAACAAAGCAAATGGCCTTCTTGCATTTGTGCTTGTGTATAAAAATAAACAAAGGGGCAGGGATCCAAATGAGGTCGACCTATAAGATAGTGTTCCTGGGAAGTTCTAATGTCGGAAAGACAACGCTGATGTCACAGTATCTGCACCAGGAGGTTCAGAAGTCGTATGGACCTACAATCGGCCTCGACTTTGTCAGCACTACTATTGTGGTTAGTGGACACAGGGTTCGTCTTCAGCTATGGGACACGGCGGGGCAAGAGAGATTTAACTCGATTATACCGAACTACACAAGGAACTCTTTTCTGGCGATCATTGTCTTTGACATGAAGGACAAAGGATCTTTTGAAAGTATAGACCACTGGATCAACACACTTACAAAAGCCAACGACAGCTCTGGAAGAAGAGTCAGGATTCTGATAGTAGGGAACAAAAAAGACCTTAGCGATGAGGATACAAGAGGCTGGTACAGAGAGGCGGGAAATAGAAAGGCCAAGAAACATGGAGGTGAGTATGTCGAGACATGTGCCATGAAGCACGAGGGAATCGAGGATCTTGTAAAGGCTGTCGACAGACTTATTGAGGAAGACTTAGAGAGTCCCATGGAGGAAGAAAGCACGGTCAGGCCGGAATCGATAAGGTTTACAAAAAGAAGGGGATGCTGCTAGCAGAGGGCTTCTAAGTTATATCACTAACAACTTGTTTAAATGGTAGAATAAAGGTTTGTTTTGATAGCCAGGGCTGCTTTATTCCAAAGACACGGGCCTCTTAAAAATAGGGCCAAATTTTAGTCCATGAAAAACAATGAATCTTGCAGGGACGATGATGACTTTTGGAAGATCCTAAGCGAAAGTGATGATGAATACGAGGAGGAGATCGGGCTGATATTTAAGTCTAAGGCGGAGGACAGGGCTTCTGAATCCAAAGCCTCGGATGAGACTCCCAGGTTTGACGGTTTGGATGGAGATGCGGAGGAGGTGGACGATGGGAGCTTGGCGAAAACGCCATGTGAAAGGATGGATGCTCCTCGACAAAGTGATGTAGGGGAAGAGAAGAATGAGGCCATCGGAGAAGAACAGAAGCATATGGATTCACAGGAGACTTTCAGCGGGGGCGGGTTAGAAAGTGACAGGAAGGATATTGGGATAGAAGATGCTTTTAGTGAGGCTCGCAGGGCGAAGGAAGAAGCGGATGTGCATTCTCAATCTATAGCGGAGTCGGATCCTAAAATATCCTCTGTGGACGAAATGGATTTTCTTTGGGATGACGACGAGGAGTTTATAGTAGGAGAGATGGCTAGCATGGATTTGAAGGAGAAGGCACCTTCCCGCAGCTCGGAAGATCCTGAGGCTCCAGCGGACTTGGAAAAGATATCTTGCACGGCACTAGAAGATAGCTTAAGGAACGAGGGGAGTTCTAGAGTTGATATCGAATCCAAAGGATCTGGTTCCGAGGCTTCAGATCCTACGTCTTCATCGAAATTGCAGGATTCTAAGATAGATCTCATGAAGCCCAAGCCACTGTCAAGATTTATGTGCGGAAGCCTAGTTACTGTCTTTATGTCCCTACAGAAAAGATTCAACATACAGGGAGAGGCTATTCAGAATCACATGAACGTTGCACAATGGCACAGGCTCGATTATGTTATTCCCGAGATCAAGCCTTCTAATTTCCTTGCAAGCCTTGCAAATGATAGAGATGATAGGTATCAACATGTCTACGAGTTGGTTCGGCTAAAAGCTCCATGCATTGACAGTATTTCCCGCATTGTTTCTGAGGAAAGGCCCGTCTATTGCAGCAAAGATATCAACAGATCTGTTAGTGCTGAGTGTATGAATAGACTTATAGAGCTGTGCATCGAAGACCCCGATAAGGCCTTTGAGTATGCCATGGAAAATGAGATATGGGAGCTTGGGACTTTGTCTTCAAGATGGACAAAAGATGTTGGGAATAGGTTTTTGGAGAAGTTCTGCGACAGTTCCTATGCCAAACTGATATCTTCGATGCTTGGGCTTTCGACCAGCTCTTTTAGGTTTGACGGAGACTGGAAACGATATATTAGAGAGGTTTTAAGTACCAAAAGTGCAGATGTCAACAACGACTTTATACTACAGGTTTTTAGTAATAGCATTCCCGATGCATTGTTTGTGGTGGTGTCGTCTTATTTTCTTGAGATTATCGATATTAACAAATATCTGTGGATGTTTAGCAAGAATTTTGAAGCACTTAGAGTCCTGTGCTATGTGGAGTATATGGGCAGGAACATAAAGGATCTCGACATCCTCAAGTATGAGTTTGTTTCTGTTGGGGTGGAATTTGATAGGCCAAAGGCAGAGGAGTATTTCAAGACGAATAGAAAGTATTTTAGAAAGGAACTTGTGAGCAGGCTTGAGACTGTGCTTGACACGAAGTGGTCTTTTGGGCTTAAGAGCGTTTTTGATTTTGGAATTAAGAAGATTCTCAACGTGGATAGCCTCGAGGATGATCCTACTGAAGCTAGGCCTTCTGTTTCTGAAGATATTCCTGAGGAAATCACTACTAGAGGGTGCCCTCCCAGAAATGGCAGCATGCCGAATACTCCCAACTTTCGCCACAAGGAAAACATTGTGGTAGCGGGTGAAGAAGATGGCCCATCTGATATGGATACTAAGCCTGGAAAGAGCATCTCACTCTCGAGTAATAGCGAAGAGGGCAAGAGCCGATCGAAACAAGAGACTGTGGGGAAAAGTAGTATGTATAAGCTTTCCCAAGAGGAGGTTCTACTGAAGCATGACGAAAGAAAGCCGGAAGAGGAAAACAAGCAAATATCCGTTAGCAATGCATCCTGCGAAATTAAGGAGCGGAGCGATTTGCATATAGGGATGAAGCCGTCAAAGAGTTTTGCAGATTTTTTTGTAAGTGATAAGAGAGAGCCTGAGACTAAGAGTGAGGATGACACAAGCTTGTTTCTCTCCAGGTTTACTGATAACGAAGATCTTGAGCAGGAGAATAAGGAAAAGGCTCCGAAGAAGGGAGGATCGTTCTTTGGGTTCCTGAACGTGTTTAGAAAGGAGCCTGTTCATAAAGCAAAGATTGATGCTGATGACGACTTCCGGTATGATCCTGTGGAAAAGAAGTGGGTAGTCGGATCCTCCGCTGAAGACAAGAAGGGAGACAGCCCGGTGCTAAAGCCGCGAACAATACCAAAGCCGAAGGTTGGGGTGGGAAAGTCTGCCAAGGGAGAGCTGGATACAAGTGTTACATCCATGTATGCAAACAGGAAGAGTGTAGGAAACAGGAGCATTCCCGGGGTCTTAGGTAAAAAGGAATGAGAGATGGAGCATTCCGTTTGTTTTTAAATGATCAGGACATTAAATATGCATGCCTCTTTAGAATTACGATTTTCATGCCCAGGCTATGGGGTACAGCAGATCTCGAGAGATTAGGAGATGGGAGATGAGAAAGATGAAGGCGGCAGGCTTGAGTGTAGAGGAAGCATATTCTGATGAAGAGGGTGGCCTGGTTCCGGATCTGGTGTACAAAGAGAGCTCAAGTGAGTTTCTGGGAAATAAAGTGTTTGATCCTGTTTTGAGGAACAAAATAGAAATTGAGAAGCCGGGAACAGAGATAAGTGCTGTGGCAAAAAGAGGAAGTGTGTTCCTGAGTGTGCATCCCCGCAGCTACGTAGCGCCGTCTGCATCTGGAGAAGTTGATAGAGAGGTTTCCCAAAGGCTTCCGATTGAGAGCTTCAGAGATGATCTAATGGAGTTTGTAGGAAAGCACCGGGTGATAGTTCTAGTGGGAGAAACAGGGTCTGGAAAGAGTACGCAGGTGCCTAAATATTTGTATCAGGAGGGGTATGGAGACAAGGGGATTATAGGATGCACGCAGCCCAGAAGAGCTGCAGCAATCAGCTTAGCATCCACATTGAAGAGAGAAATGGGATGTGCGGTAGGATATTCCATTCGGTTTGATAGCACAACAACACAGGATACAAAGATAAGGTATATGACGGAGGGGATTCTTCTCCAAGAGCTGCTGGCAGACAAGATGCTTAGAAGGTATTCGGTAGTGATACTGGATGAGGCGCATGAAAGAACCACAAACTTAGACATATCCATGGGATTGCTGAAGCTTGCTTTGAAGGAAAGAGATGATCTGAGGATTATAATAATGAGCGCCACAATAGAAGCACAGAAGCTTTGTAACTACTTCGGATGTCCAGCTTTCAATATCGAAGGCAGAAGCTATCCAGTGGAGACTAGATATCTGAGTGTGAATGTAGACGACTATGTGGAATGGACGGTTAAGAAGATACTTTATATACACGAGAATTGTGGGGAAGGAGATATTCTAGTCTTTGTGACGGGAAGAGACGACGTCGAAGGGGTTGTGGGGATAGTGAACCATTGCATCAGAAACAAGTGCTTTGGTGAAGGAAGTGAGGGAGGCAGAGGTCTTAAGGTTCTTCCATTTTATAGCCAGCTTCCTGAGGAAATGCAGAATAGGGTGTTCCAAGCGGAGAAGGATGTAAGGAAATGCATTGTTTCCACAAATGTAGCAGAGACGTCCCTAACTATCCCAAATATTGGATATGTCATTGACACAGGGCTCCAGAAGATAAGTGTTTATAGTTACGACACAGGGGAATCACTAGTTACAGTACCTATAAGTAGGGCAAATGCCGACCAAAGAACAGGGCGTGCAGGAAGAACCAGGCCAGGGGTGTGTTACAGAATGTATACAGCGGACACCTACGAGAATGACATGCTTCCATCTCCAGTGCCAGAAATCCAAAGGACGAACATACACAATGTTGTTCTACTGCTCTTAAAGCATGGGGTCCATGATATACTTGGGTTTGACTTTGTCGACAGGCCCTCGGAAGAGTTGATTCAAGGTGCCCTGCTTGGGCTCCATCGTCTTGGTGCAGTATGCTCTAGAGGCCTCCTCACCAAAGTTGGAAAGGAAATGAGTGAGTTGAGGCTGGATCCTCCATTAGCAAGGATGGTTCTAGGTGCCGCAGGCTATGGGGCTGTTAACGAGATAGCAAGCATAGCCAGTATGCTTAGTGTCCACGAGGTTTTTCATAGAGACTTTGACAAATCATCTCCGCTGTGCCACCAGGGCTGTGATTTCCTGACTCTTCTGAACATCTTCAATGCATTTATCAGACAGAAAAACAGAAGTGAATGGTGTAACAAGATGAAAGTTAGCGAACATGCATTAAAAAGGGCAACCGAAACAAAAAGGGCTGTGCTAATGTCTTTGAGGGAAATGGGCGTGCCAATATCCAGCACAAGATCACTGGATAAAATTCAAAGGTGTATCATATCCTCGGTGCATTACAACGTGGCTAGAAGGAGGGGCAAAGGGTATGTCTGCCTAAGCAACTTCCGTGCATGCATGGTTCATCCCTCAAGTGTGCTCGCAGATAGTTATAGCCAATATATCATATTTTATAAGCACCTTAGTACAAGGGCCGAATATATGTATTGCTGTTCGAACATAAGCCCACAGGTGATTCTTGAGGAGGCTGGATGCTATTACAGGGATAGAAATGGTGTATTCAACATTCAGAAGCATCCTGTCATTGAGGATGGTCTGGATCGTGAGCACAATCCTTTTGGCTCCGCGTGTTCGCTAACCGGAGCCAGGATGCCTGGAAAGATTGCTTTGGATGAGAACCTCTATGATCGATTTGAAAAATGGAACGAATCTGAGGAAAGCGACGAGGAGCCGCCCAAAAAGATTAGAAGGACAAGAATATAAACATTGCTACATTGTCATGGGCCAACCTACTTTAATAATCTCTCCAAGTCACCTCTACAGAATCTGTCCTGTATCTTTGTGTAACAAAACACTCGCCCAGTTTGAAGGCAGCACCGCTCTTAGCCATCAGCATTCCTACATACGCAATCATCACCCCATTGTCTATGCAAAACCTCTCGTCTGTTGCATAGCAGACCCCACCACGCTCTCTAGCCATTATACCCATCATCTCCTGAAGTCTCAGGTTACATCCAACACCACCAACAATCAGAACCTCCTTAGAGCTGCTAAATGCCATCGCTCTTTCTGTAACTTCAACTAGTGCAGAAAAAACCGTTTCCTGGAGGGAGTAGCACAAGTCGCGCTTTACCTGCTCATCTTCCGCTATTTTTCTCTTTATGTTCGATAAAATCCCGGAGAACGAGACATCCATCCCCTTTACAACATAGGGGAGCTCTATGTAGTTCTTACCCAGTTTTGCATATCTCTCTACACTAAGCCCGGGTGCAGGAAAGTTCGGCAGCTTAAGGGCTCTAGCAAATCTGTCTATGCAGTTTCCAACAGCTATGTCCAGGGTCTCCCCGAAAATTTTGTATCTTCTGTTGTGGTATGCTATGATTTGGGTGTTTCCACCACTAGCATACAGGATGACGGGATTGCTTGCTTTAGTTATGAACCTTCCCATTTCTATGTGAGCTATACAATGGTTTACGGGAACAAGGGGCTTGTTACAGTAAAGGCTTAGTGTGCGAGCAACGGTGGCAACCACAGACAAAGGCAGCCCCATTCCGGGACCTTTTGTGTAGCAGAATATGTCAACATCGTCAAGATCTACTCCAGCCTTCTCTAGGGACACGGCAACGAGGCCCAGAATTCTGGAGCGGTGGTGCTCTGCAGTTTTCACCGGAATGAATCCCTCACCAGGTGGAGGTGCATATGTGAGTCTTTCGTTTGCCAGTATCTCATCATCGCGCATTATCCCCACACCTAGTTTGTTGGCACTTCCTTCCAGTCCCATTGCTATCATCTCGAAGGTTAAAGGTAAATTTTTATTGCTTTAAAAAGTTTACCAGAGCCATGGAATAACTTTATTCGATAAAACCTATTTCGCTGTTTTTCTGCATTGATTCCTTGGCAAACATCTCCAGATACTGACTTACAATAGAGGTGGCCAAGAAGATATTTGTCCCGCTCCCAATGGTATCGAAAAGATTGGACATTATAACAACCATAGATGTGAGCATCCCACCAAGAAATGCAGCAGTAGGGATATATCTGGAAAGTACATTGGCTGTATTTGCTTCTCTCACTCCCTTCAGCCTCATTCTCGATTCCTTGAGCTTCTGTGCAGCTTTTTCAGGGGACAGTTCGTTCAGCTCAAGCCATGACGTACTAAGAATGGCAGATGTTAGGAACATGATGGCCAAATAGATGACAAATCGCAGTGGGTCCCGGAAGCCCTCGAAAATGGATTCCGGCGACGTGATGTAATAGCTGACTCCGCTTACTGGCATATATCTTCCTCCCTTGGATGTATTCCAGACACCGAGAATTCTGACAACAAGGTACTGCGGCCATCTCTTGTAAAGAAATGAGGAGATCGATGAAATGTGCCCGACTATGTAGCTCTGGGCAATGATCGGCATAGTAGACGTGTACAGCAGTTTTATGGGGAACTTACCCACATGCCCCCTGACCTGTGACGACTCTGTTGGGAGCTCGACTCTCATTCCCTGGAGATATATGACAAACACAAACAGAAGGATGGTTGAGAGCAGTGAAAAGAGATTTGGGAGATTTTGCCTGAAAAAGGCCTCGTATATTGCTGCAAATTTGTTCTTTCTTACCACAAGAAGATGGAATAATGCAATTACAGATCCTTCGAATTCTATGCCACGCCCGGTGAAAAGTACCTTTGGACTAAAGGCCTTCCAGATGATGCTCTCGCAGACATTGGCCGCAATAAACAGATTGACGCCGTTCCCAAGACCATATCCCTTCTGAAGAAGCTCATCCAGAAGAATTATAATAATTCCCGAGAAGATAAGCTGGACAACAAGAAGAAGGCAGTAGATCGTTCCAAGGCTCTTTGGACTGCCATAGAACCCTGTGTACACCTGGACAAGCGCCTGCCCAACCGTCATAATCAGTGATATAAGCCTTTGCGTTGCATTGTGGAGGTTTTTGTCTTCTTTGATGGACCAGTCGACCTTCAGTATTTCGGACATCGTCAGGAATTGCATTATCAGGCTAGAGGTGACCACAGGGCTTGTTCCAAGATCCATGAGTGTTCCTCTATTAGAGGCCATCATTGCTCTCATCCATTGCAAGGGATCTGCAGCATCGTTTGAGATTATCCCAAACAGAGGGACCTGAGACGAAATGAGGTATATCAGAATTGCAAGCGTTGTCCAGATGAATCTTTCGTGAAAGGTGATTGTTCTCGCTGGAGACTGGACATCGGGGATGTATGGCACCAAAGGCTTCACGACATGCAGGAGATTGTCTAAAATTAGTTTCAATGTTTATCTTCACTTACATGACATTGGGGGTGCGGCATTTTTGTTTTTAATACTCAGGCGGGTTCATCAAGTATCTGGGGCCTTTTTGCAGATCTTTTAGGATGGATATCAAGAAGGTAGGACACGTGGCCTTTCTGGGTATAAATAAACCTTGTACCGGAGATAAGGTGAGCGATTTGAATCCCAACAAAATGAGCAGCTATTTAAGAGAAGTGCAAAAGATAGTAGATGAGTTTGAAAGTGAGGACAGAAAGAAGCTTGTGAAGTACTATGTTCAGACAGCAAAAAGTGTTCTTCTCGACGAAAGAGAGGTCAAGAGATCTAAGTTTGACCTTCTGAACGACTTGCACACCATAAATGCAGATGGAATCAATGATGTGATTGACGATGTTTTAGGGCACAAGATACTTCAGGTGAGGGCCTTGATACTCGATCTGGTAGATGATGACTACACAGGCGATCGTAAAGCTGTTGGGAAACCTGAAAAGTGGATTAGGCAAATAGTAAAGGATGCAGAGGAGACATTTGATCTTGATTCTGAGTTTGGAAAGCAACTGTTTTCTATCTACAATGCAAAATTGCTCGAAGAGTTTTGTAAAATCTTCACCTCAAAGAATCGCAGATTTGGGGCAGGCGGGAACCAACTACTACTCAACTTCTATTATTACGAAAGATTTGTGACAAGCAAGATCGAGTTTGATTTCCAAAGATTCTATGACAGGATGGTCTCTTTTTTCAAGGATCATTGCCACAGACCTAGAAAGGAGTTGGAGAAGATCCTCGATGGAAAGTAAATGTTTTGTTTTAAGCTTTCAAGGCCTGCAAGCGAACAATGGTGGAAGACATGCATTGCCAAATACCTATTTTTAATTAAGTCCAAACCCCTTGATCCAATCAAAAGAGAAATGGTTTTATCTTTTCCATCAGGAGATGCAAAGAGCCTACAAAGCAGCCTTAGGAGGCAGATAGAACGAAAGGAAAGATATGCAAAGGTGTGCAAAATTTTTGTAAAGAGGATGTGTGATCTGGAGGACGAGCTGGACCTTGCCTCTGCCGAGAGTCAAAGGAGCACAGTAGAAGGTACCAAAAGAAGGAGAAGGTCTACAACATTGGATGTGGACGAAATACTGTACACTGCAGCAGACGAGGCTGCTAAAGATCTTCAAAAGATCTCAGAAGAAAAGGGCCTTGACGCTTTTATTGAAAACAATACACTCAATGTAAAGGGCCATGTATTTTCAAAAGGAGATAAAATCAAGGCCATGGTGAACAGAGATGAGTTTGCCGGGATCATTATTTCAGTGGGAGAAGAGGACATTGTACTAAAAACAAAAGACTACAAAAGGCTCAAAATCCTGTTGGAGGATATAAGATCCACGAGATCGTCGATTATGGCGCTTAACGAAAGCAAGCGTTGACTCCGCTTTGGAAATATAAGGCTGTAAAATGAAACCAGTGAATAAAATTAAGAAACTCTTTGCCTGTTTCGATAAAATATGCTTTATAAAAACATCCACGAGTCTTTCCTGAAATATGGGTTTGCTTCTTTGGTCCACAAGCCGCCAGGGTAAGAAGCATCTCAGACATCCGCCTTTGGTAGAATCTTCAAAGCAGCAAGCCTGTGGAATAAAGAGTCTATGAAGAGCGACACTATCTCTACAAGAAAATCTTCCTTACGTCGCAGGGTGCAAAAGACTCGTTGCAGGAAGGGCACCTCCTGTCTCTCATTCTAATTCTGGAGTTCACACATTCTTCACAGAAGCAATGCATGCATTTGATTATCGCAGTATCCTTGAAGCGTGTGTCACAGAGAGAACAGCGGAGAAGGCCCCTATACCTTTCCAGCTGTACAGCAAGATCCGGATCGCCTTCGGAGTCCCCATTTTGAATGGCCCTTAGAATTCCATTTAGCCTCTTGTTCTCTGCCTCAATTTGAGAATTTACCTTTGTAAGTTTTGACACTTCGTCTCTTGCTTCTCTACTCTGCCTTTTAATACGCTCCAGTATCTTCTCATTTTCCTCCTTCTCTATGAACAGGAAATGCAGCCTTTTCTTGTAATCTAAAGCCAACTTACTAGACTCGGCAATAGAATCTTCCAACTTCTTGATCTTCAGTGAATCTCCAGAGCTTCTACATGTATTCCCCCTTCCTTCCATTCTGAGCTGCTTTGCATCCAACTCAAGCTTGGTATTCTTAGAGCCAAGATCTGCGTTAGTCATTCTCAAGGCAATCATTTCATTTTCAAGCTCTCTATTCTTCTTGTGCATGTTCTCAAGCTTCGCAATCAATGCCTTGTTCTCCCCCAGACTTTTATCTAAGCTTTCAACAAGATTGATTATTTCCTCCTCCAGAGACCCTTCCTCATAAGCTCCCCCTGCGCTCGTGTTTCTCACTCTCTCACACCTCTTGTAGTTTTCTACAATTCTGGAAAGCTCTTCTTTCTCAACAGCCAGTTGTTCTGCCCTTTTCATCCAAAGATCCAAGCCGGACATGACGCTTTGTATGTCCTTGTCCACTTTCTCCAGCTTTTGGAGGCACTGATCCATTTCCCTCCTAAGACCCATTTCTTTTTCACCAAGCCCACAGAGTATTTCTCTTCGTTTCTCATTCTCTGCCTTCAGGGCATCAAACATCTTGCTCACTTCCTGTGCATTGAATGTAATCTCACATAACTCTCTGGTGAGCCCAGCTATTTTCTGGTCCTTTTCGCACAGCTCTTCTTCATGCTTACTTTCCAGTCCAGCCATTTTTGCTCGGAGATCCCCATACTCGTCAATAATCTTCTTATAGACTTCGCTGGTGACCATGGAATCATCAGCTATGCTATGTTTCTTCTCGGCAGAATCCCCATCCGAGGGCATGTCCTTAGATTCCCTAAACATCCCGACTCTGGCCAGCCTTTTTTCCATCTCATGAATCACAGAGTTCAGTCTTCTTATCTCGTAGTTCAGTGAGGAGATTCTTGAGCCGATATCAAACTTTAATGCCTCATCAGAGCACCCAGAGTTATTTAGATTTTCCTTTTGCGTTCCAAGAATGGATACCAGAGTCGCGTTCTCTTCAATCAGCTCGGTGTTTCTTCTTGTAAGTTCCTCATTCATCTTCCTGTATTCCATCATCTCAAAAAAGATAGAGGATTTTTGATACGAAGCAATATCCTCTCTGTCAATCATATCCCACAACTGAGCAACCACCTTTGGGCTAGCGGAGTTTCCGCTTTCGGTCTTTACCTTCTTCATTGTTGAATGCGATCGGGGGGTCCTGATGCCGGTATTTCAAGTTGTTTAACAAAAATTTGCCCTGAAAATGAAGGTGATCCAACAGAGGAATGTATACTTTGTCGACCTAAGCAAGTGCATATACAGAGGATTTTCCGAGACAACGATTCAGAGGCTGCCTGGAGAAAGCGTGGCTGTGTACCGATCAAAAGACCTGGCCATTTTGAGTGTCGATGTCATGGCCTCTGGCGGTTCAAGAGGCGTGGATTACACGGTTAGGGATGCAACAGATGCAATCCGTGGATACGAAAAGTCTTTTCACAGAGACATGTGGAAAAATATAAGCACAGACGGTACGCTTGAGATCCGTATTCCTGAAGATGTCGGGGAGGATACATTTACAGTGAGGATTCTCTATGAGGCAGAAGAAAATAACGATTCCATAGAGTTCTATAGACCTGTTTCTCCGGAAGATAAGCACATGGAGGTGGTGGCCACCAACAGAATGTTCGATTCATCCTCTATATTTCCATCACTTTCGACATCCTACAAGAATAGGTGGGAGTTGGTTTATGTTTTGCCTAATAATGATGAAACGAAGATCACATCTCCTGGGATTCTTAAGAGCATACGAGAAGAGGAAAATGTTATCCTGTATTCGTACATAGTAGATATGGCCCACAGCGGGGCATTGAACTTTTGCGTTGGGACATTCGATAGTTACGAGGTTTCCACTGGAGACGACAGAAAGGCCGTATGCATTCCAAAAGGATTTGATGGGTACAAGGACTGTGTCCGGGAGTTCTGCTGCGACATTGAGAACCTGATTAGATACTCCGAGTACTTTCTTCAGAGGGAGTATCCATTCAAGGCCCTTTCGACTGTATTTGTGTTTGGAGATGCAGACAGGGTATATGGACAGAACACCGCCTTTCTAGCTGTATCAAACCTCACATCCTCAAACGACATCGAGCCGATGTTTCTTCTGAAAAGGATAGTATGCGATATATTGAGCTCCCAGATGTTCTACTTCTACTTTTCTGTGGTGGACAGGGCAGACTTTTGGATTTCCGAGGGGATGAAAGGATATTTCCAGGACTATTGCGTTAGACACTTCTTGGGAAACAACGAGTTTCTGTACGGACTCAAAAAAGACAGAGATTATGTGTTAGACAGAGATGTCATGGAGTATGCCCTGTATGACACCCGAAGAACATTCCTTTCAATGAGAGGAAAGTTCTTTAAAACCAAGTCCAAGGTCTTCTTTCATCTTCTCGAGGGGAATCTTAGTAGAGCCTTCATGGAAAAGATTCTGAATTACACCATGAAGAGAAGGAATGATGTCAAGGAGGACTACAGTTTTGAATTTGTCAGACTTGTGAAGGATGTCACCGGAAAAGATCTTCGATCTCTTTTTGAAACCTATGTGTTTAAGCCAGGAGTGGTGAGGGTAAAGCTAGGGTTTACGATAAACAAGAAGAGCAATAGAGTGGACTTCACTGCCATGCAGGCACCGACTAGTATTTTTTCAAATGGCAACAGGACAGTGTGTGGTCCCGTAACTATCTGTAGCTATGAAATGGAGGGGGTATTTGAGCATGTGTTTATGCTGGATCGGGACAACCACTTCTACTACCATCCTAAAACCAAAAAGAAGAAGAAGTCTGAAGAGGAGGAAGAGGTGATGCCCTTGCTGTGGGTAAGGGCGGATCCAAAGGGAGAGCATCTGGCAAAGATAATTGTGGAACAGCCGGACTACATGTTCATAGAGCAGCTTCTCGACAAAAATGTTGTCGGGCAGATGGAGGCGCTTGAAAGCCTCTCGACAAAGCCATCAACTCAGGTTTGTGAGATACTTGAAAGGGTTCTTGAAAACACCCACATCTTTTATAAGATAAGGATTCACATACTGTATATCCTTTCCAGGACAACGGTCGGGAACTACTACGGATTTCAAAGGCTCATCCAATTTTTTGTAAAGAAATACTGCGTTCAGACGTCCACGGTGGTCAAGCCGAATGATTTTTCATTCATTCCATACTTCATACAGAAACATCTTGTAAGGGCGCTGTCAATTGCGGATCCCTTTGTTTTTCGAAGCTACTCTGGAAGAGAGGTAGGATCTGCAAACATCATTTCTGCATTTATCATCAACATACTCAAGTTTAACGACAATTCATTCAACTCATACAGCGATGGGTGGTACATATCCTCTGTGATTGAAAGCATAAGCCTTCCTCTTTCTTCGATGAGCTTTCCTGAGTTTTATTCCAGCAAGCACACGAAATCCAGATGCAAAAGAGACACCTTCCGCAACCAAGAAAAAGCAAATGACGATATAAACGACCTGTTCAAAATAGAGAAGTTGGGCAGCAAAAGCGTTAAGGGCATCATTTCATCAATGGACGGATCTCCTGCGCCGGAGGACAAAAGAAGTGTAGATGTGGCTAGTCTAGACGAGGACTATGAAAACAGGGCATCGCTCTTCAGCCATAGGGACAACGGGATGTCGAAAGAGGGAAGCAATGGGTCTTTGGGTGGTTGTAAAGGCTTGCCTCACAACAAGGCCGAGTCCTTGGAAAGCCCCGACTACCTCCAGCTTTCTATTTCCGAGATCGAAAGGTTTCGGATTTTGGATATGGTTTTCCCATCTCACAGAAACCTGGTGACTAAGTCCTGCATCTATGCCCTGGGACGACTCTCCTTGTTTGGAATGACGAATTTGAAGAAGGATGCTTTAATTCAACTTTCGAAATATCCTAATTTTTGCAGTGTCAGGATCGCAGCACTTGAGGTTTTACTTGTTCTGTTTTATGAGGATGAAGAGGCCATTGAGGTAGCTTTCGAAGTGTTCTCGGGAGGGTCATTTACCATCAAGCGAACGGCTTTGGATGTCATGATGACTCTTGGGCTGTCTCCAAAATTCAACTTTAAAAAGGTTTTGAAAGGAAAGAGAAAGGAGCTGTTCGAATTGTTAAGGTCTAACCAGGGAAACATTGTTATCAAAGAAAAGATTGCTGACCTAATATATCTTGTAGAGGATATGGAGCTAACACACGATGATTATCGTAAGGTGGTTGTCGGGGTTTATGAGGGAACGCTGCCTGCAGACTCACGTAAAACAATCAACCGTTTGGGTAGAGAGTTTATAGGAGACAGGCACGTGGCTTTGAGACTGAGCAACATGGATGTGCTCAAAAGGAAGCTTCTGGAGATAGAATACCTTGTCAGGGTTCCTGTTCCAGAAAAGAAGAAGATTTCTTACGACGAATTTACAGAACAGGAAGAGAAAAGATCTCCACATCCGGATGTGGAGCCTGACTTGCCCAAAAGAAGCGCTTACGGGAAGCACCTTGATAGAAAAGGAAAAGACGGCTTAGGAGACGTAAAGAGATGCAATAGACAGGATCGTTCTCAAGCAAAAGCTGACACCCTAAGTGTTGGTACCATGGTTAGGATTCCAGCATCTTTCAAAATCAGACTTAGGCATCCTGGAAGGTAAACTCCGTCTGCGGAACAGCACTAAAGCAGCGCAAAGTGAGAACGGCTTGTAATTTTACCATATCTACATGAATCGATCTAGGAGGAGAGTGATTAAAAATGTCATTATTTACAATGGTGCGCATATAGCTTTGCACTTTTTGCAACATTCTGAAGGTAGCTTACAACTACCCCGCATCTGGTGCTTGAATCGCGCGATAAATAAGGATGGCTCCTTTTTAGCTCTGAAATCACGCTCTGTGTTTTTTCAGGTTCTATGCTCCTTGCCAGCTTAAACAGGATTCTGTTCATTCTTCCTGAAGAGACATGGGATAGACATTCAATTACCAAGTCATTTCTTCCCATCTCAATTATCTTCTGAAGCAGCACTGCAGCCTTTTCTATGGAAATTATGTTCATTCTGGATCTGTATCTACTAACAACATGAACGAGATACTTTGTGTCTCCAGTTATGTAATAAAACGCTAGAGCTGATTTCTTGGTAAGAAAAGGAATGGTCTTGGTAATTAGGTCTTTGTTCATCTTCCTTCTCTTTGTAGAGAGGTTTAAAGCAGAAGTTCTGGTTTTGAAACAACAGGGACGATTGGTTCATGCCTTTGTTCAGTAAGAAGATAATAGTGTATCTGATGTCTATGAAGAAATAATTTCTTAAGGAAGAGAAGATGAACATTTGCTATGGGTAAAAAGAACAGAAGAGATGACGACTATCTGAACACACTGCTTGGATCCGCAGACAAAGGGAACAAGGAAAGGCGCAAGGACCCGGAGGACTCAGAAGAGATAGGGAAGTCTGTGAGTAAGATGAGCGTAGGTGAGGCCCAAAAAAGCTCTAAGCATAATGAGAGGGAAACAGGAACAAGGTTGAACAATCGAGAGAAGCCTTCTGAGTTTAAAAGCCCGATATGTTGTATTTTGGGGCATGTTGATACAGGCAAAACCAAGCTCCTTGATAAGCTAAGGGAATCGAATGTCCAGGAGGAAGAAGCTGGGGGAATAACGCAGCAAATTGGAGCTACATTTTTTCCGGTGTCGGAACTGTTCAGGAAATGTGGAAAGCGAGAGTCTAAGCTTCCGGGAATTCTGGTTATTGACACGCCTGGGCACGAGTCTTTTGCCAATCTAAGGACACGTGGCTCTTCGCTTTGTAACCTTGCAATACTAGTGGTGGACATAGTCCATGGGATCGAGGCTCAAACACTGGAAAGCATAGAGCTTCTCAGGAAACGTAGAACGCCCTTTGTGGTTGCTCTCAACAAGATAGATAGGCTTTACGGATGGAAATCCACTCCGTTTGGAGGAATCAAAGAAATACTTAAAAAGCAGTCGAAGGCAACCATCAATGACTTCAAGAAGAGACTTGATAACACAGTTGTGGCATTTGCAGAGATGGGGCTGAATGCAAAGCTGTTTTATGAAAATACGGACCAGAAAAGATTTGTCTCGCTGGTTCCCACATCTGCAATCTCTGGTGAGGGAATTCCTGATTTAATATCTCTGATACTGGAGCTGTCTGAAAAGTATATGGGATCGAAGATGAAGATCAAGAACGAGGTTGAGTGCACTATTCTAGAAGTCAAGAATGCCGAGGGCTTTGGCGTAACCATAGATGCCATTCTAAGCAATGGGATGCTGAAGGAAGGTGACAGAATTGGCGTTTGCGGATTCAACGGACCCATAGTCACAACAATCAAGGCCTTACTTATGCCACAGCCCTTGAAGGAGCTGAGAGTAAAGAGCCAGTACATTATGGTGAAAGAGGTGAGGGCCAGCCTGGGAATTAAGATTGCAGCCGGTGGCCTTGAGAAGGCAATAGCAGGAAGCCGCGTGCTGATTGTAGAGGACAACGAAGAGGAGGTAAAGAGGGCGCTTGAGACGGATCTGGAGTCGGTTTTCTCGTCCATAGAGCTTAGCCAGGAGGGAGTGCACGTTGTCTCAAGCACACTTGGGTCACTGGAGGCCTTAATTTCCTTTCTGAAGACTTCAAAAATTCCAATTTTGGGAGCAAGCATCGGAACAGTAAAGAAAAAGGACATGATCATTGTGGCGTCTATGGCGAAAAAGCACAAGGAGTATGCAGCAATTCTCTGCTTTGATGTGGTGTTGGAGAAAGAGATAAGGGACATGGCGTCTTCTATGAAAGTAAGGGTGTTTGAGGCAAAAACCATCTACCATCTCCTCGACTCATATCTAAAGTTCGTTGACGAAGAAAAAGAAAAAGACAAGAAGATGTACATGGACCAGGCAGTGTTCCCGGTAGAGCTGTCCATTGTTCCAAAGTGTATCTTCAATTCCAGAAGCCCGTTGGTGGTTGGTGTTCACGTGCAGGAGGGTATCCTAAAGATAGGAACGCCTTTGTGTGTGTTTAAAGAAGGGGAAACTACTAGACTTGGAGTAGTGACCTCCATTGAAAACAACAAGGAGGCGGCCAAGGAGGCTGTTAAGGGCCAAAAGGTGGCTATTAAGATCGAAGCAAAGCCTAATCTACCTCCAAGGATGTTTGGAAGACATTTTGGGCAAGATGACATTCTATATTCATTGGTTACAAGGGAGTCTATCAGCGTTCTGAAGAAGCATTTTTCCAGTGAGCTAACCGAGGACCTTATAAGGTTACTGAATAAGCTAGAAAATAAATTTGGTGTTTTCTATTTGCTTTAGGGTACTTGCATTGGCATCAGAATTGGTTTATTTGTATGGAATCCTAACCCCATAATGACAAATAGTACCCTTAGCGAAATCGAACTCTTTGCAGCCACAAGCATAACGCATCTATCCATACTGGTATATCACCTGATGCTTCCAAAATCCACGCTTCTTGAGTTTATGTTCTCTGCAGTTCCGCTATATTCAGTAATTGTCTTTCTCAAATATTCAGGTTTGGTTTATGCCCTATTCCTTGTTGTGCTTGGTGTATATTTTTTATTTGTACGACTGAAAAAGTGGAGGAGATTGAGGGAGCCTGTGTGGCCAGGCAACCCATCTAGTTACCCGAAGCAGTCTGTCGATGCGCCCCAAGATGATGAGCCATACACATCAATGGCAATAGACAGAACTCGCTTTCTTATCATTGGATGTGTTGTCATTGCCATATTTGCATCAGACTTTCCCTTTTACAAGGAAAATGCCAAGCTGGGAAAAAGCATGGGATACGGACTCAAGCTTATGGACATAGGCGTAGGTTCTTTTGTATATAATGCAGGCTTCTTTTCCACAAGGGCGGATCCGCAGAGAAAAATGAAGAATGCACTATCATCCTTCTTTTTTGGAATGCTGAGATATCTTTCCAAAGAATTACTCAAGCTGGACGTCGATGATCGTGAGTTCGGTGTCCATCTGAACTTCTTTTTGATGCTTGGTGTTCTGAATCTAGCCTCCCTTGTCATAAACACGCGGGCAAACTTCCTACTAGGATTCGGTATGTGCTTGACTCATGAGCTTTTCCTAAAGTTCTTTGGCCTAGAAAAGCTGATATACAGCTCCGCTAGGTCGAGCATAATAACCTCAAACATAGAGGGAATTACATTCCTTCTCCCGCAGATGGGAATGTTCCTCATGGCAGCTGATATATCAAAAGTCGTATTCAAAAAAAAGAACCTGAGCATTATCATATTATACAACGCCTTTTTCGTTGCTGTATTGTCGATAGCCCGTGTCTACTCCACATCTTGCCGGAGAATACACAATCTCTACTTCTGTATGGTGATAATGCTTCTTCACACTACGCATGGAATCGTCTTCGAGGTATTCAGTAGAACCTTCAAAATTCGAAATCTTGAGATGCATCGCTTCATTAGCAAGTATTTATTATTCATCCTAGTCTGGTCTAATATGCTTGTGACGCTAAATAAGCTACTAAGTGCTTCAAAAGATATGTCCAGGTGTTCGAGCCATGCTTTGTGCATCACATACCTTGTACTTGTGTTTTATGTTCCGTGTGCTATAAATAGTAAGGTGGCAGGAAAATTACAGGTAAGCTAGCTTCCATTCCTCTCCTTTAAGTTTTGAGGTTAATAGGGGCATACTACTCTCTGCATACTTGGCTAACATCTTAGAGTGCCTGTATAAAATGGAGTTGAAGCTAGTAAATCTTTTAATTACCTTATATTCATAGCCTTGTCGATAAGTGTGACGACAGCCGCTAACTTTTCAAGGAACTTAACTTTGTCATTAACCACCTTTGCACCAAGCACGGAGGCGGTGAACCAAGCAACAATGGCAGTCATTACATAAGCTGTGGCACCCTTGTTTTCTACGGATACACTATCATTTTTAGAATCAAGCAGAAGAATGATTGCAATTGCAAGGGCAAGGCACACCATTACAGACAATAGCTGCTCTCTATCAATCCCCTCGGATAAAAGGAAATAAGTGGTAGATGCCACTACCATTAGGCATCCGCAAGTGAAATACTTCCGTTTGATGGCTCGTTTGGATTGTAACATCTTTGCCATCTGGACTAGAATGAAGATCGAGGCAAAAACAACAGCATATCCTCCAAGTACTAGCCTCACTCCATCTTGGGAGTAGAAGATTTTTGCTTTGTCATTGCGCATATCCGTCATAGAGCAAATTGCCTGAATCGCTGCGATAACTGATGTAACCCCTAGTGAAACTATACCCAGAGCCCCTAATATACTGCCTTCAGGAAGCTCTATTGTTTTTATTAGACACAACATATAGGCAACGAAGAATATGACAACGGCTAAGTTGAAAAGATGGAAGAGCACTCCTTCAGCCTCTATCTTATTGAGTCCCAGGTGAATCAAAACAAATCCAATCAGGATAAGTGCTTCAATCCGCTCGTTATTCAGAAGAAAGTCGAATATCGCTAATTCCGTAGAGGCACTCTTCTCAGTAAAATCTTCCATTAATCTTATAGGGGGTACGAGCGCTTATGTAATTTTTATTTCATCCTATTTATGGTGTTCGAAAGAAGCATTGCGGCGTTCTGCCCACTCTTGTTATTTTCTAAATATGGACAAATTAAATCCCGAGAACTTCCAGTCGGACTCCGTTTTTCGTTAATTAAACATCTATGCTTTAATTTATTGTCCCGATTGCCTAATTAGTAAGTTGGGCACTAATAAGCTTTATGGAGGTAGGGGTGTCATGAATGTCGGGAAAAATAAAATGAGCATATATGCAAATGCTCTCGGACTGGCCTCTATGTTGGTGCCCACAATGATTTATCTATCGGACATATCTACAGAAACAAATGGTCCGGGTAGGCTTGTGGCTGCAGTGTCTAGCTCACTCTTCAGCATATTCATGCTGGTTTACTGGATAGTAAGAAACTGGTGTGTGAACCTTTCTTCCTGCGGATCCAAGCAATATTTTTTCTATCTTACACTCATCGTACTGTGTACAGCAGGGTTAGCTACATGTGTCGGAGAAACGTTTTTATATGGCCTCCATGACGATGGTGTAGATGTTCTGAAGATGTTTGCAACCTTCTCCTCGATTAGCTATTTGCGATTTAAGTGCTTAGGACTCCTCCCCCGCCCTGTTTATAGAAGCAGTGGCGTTGGGAATGCCGTTTCAATTGCTTCTATTATCATGGTAGTCTGCGCAATTGCCATCAATGCAAAAACTAACGATATGCTTGTGGTGTCATGGAGCTTTGTATTAAGTGGTGTTGTGCTAGCATCAATCTCGCTAGCTGAAGAAATACTCTTGTCTCGTGAGAGGGATATATGGGATGTGTCCAAGAACCAGCTTCGGTCATTTGATATTGTCCAGTTGATCTTATTCTCACTTGCATACTATTGGCCCGACAGGTCAAGATTTTAAAATACCCTCTAGACACCTGTCATTCGGCGGGGTCTTGGTATTAGAGCAGCGGGTGAGGAAGTAAGTTAATATTAAATTCGGATTGATATTTGACATATATTTGTTGTCTTCAATATATAAGGTTGAAATCCCCCTGAGGAAATGAGGTTAGGTGCAAGAATAATGACTGTTATCTGCACAGTGAGCGGTATTTTCAGTTTGAAGCAAAAAGGGAGATGTGTCTCTTTGAATTTTTCAGGCAGGAAAGAAGGGAGCGTACCTCGTGAAGTATTCGAGAGTATGATGAGAGGGGAGCAGATTGTAGAGCTCGATATTAGTAAAAATAATATAGATAGACTGCCTCCCTATTTCGAAAATCTTTCGTGTGTGAGGACGCTTGACGTCAGTGACAATCAGCTGAAATATCTATCTAATTCGATATCAGGCCTATCATCACTAGTAAGGTTGAACCTCAATAACAACAACCTCCTCTCTCTTCCTGAAGAAATAACATTCCTGGAGCACTTAGAGGAACTGAGCGTCAGAAACAACCAGCTGCGGCAGCTGCCCGAAAACATAGATAACATGAACAGTTTGGTTAGGCTGGATTTTGGAAACAATGAGCTAATGGCATTGCCTTTTGGAATAGGAGCTCTTGAGAATTTGAAAAGGCTCGACCTTGGGGGAAATCTGTTCAATACATTGCCTCCAATACTTGGATATCTGGAAAATTTGGAGGAAATCATCTTCACCAAAAACAAAAGGCTTCGGAAAATTCCAAGAAAGCTAGTTCAAATGCTTGCAGATAGGAAGAATCTAGTCTTGCTGGACTTGCGAGGCAACAACCGCCTGAGAAAGGAAAGCAGTGATGGAAATGTCGGGTGGAAGGAGTTAAGGGAAATTTTCGGGAGCAGGATAAGGCTTTCGCAGGATGAGAAGGAATAATTAAATGCCCTTACCAGTTTCGTTTTTCTATTTTTTAGTAATCCTTGTACTTCCTAAAGACGGTAACAGAGAATCACCAGGTTTTGGAAGCTCTAGTAATTCGGGTAAAGCAAATGTTACGTAGGTTGTTTGGGTCTGGAATTCATTTAGTAGTAATGTTATTATGAACAGTGCGAAACAGCCAGCAAGGATAGTCTTCATCGTATAGTGTAGGGATTGAATGGGAATTAGTTGTTTATTCATTCCCCAGTTGAGAAGGCGGTTTGTTGAATGAACAGAGGTATTGATAAAGGATCTCTACAGATCCATATGCTAGGAATGCGTATACGAATACGCCAAGGATGAGCATGAAGACAAAGACCATTGTTCTCCATGGCGCAACAGACAGAGAACTTTTCCCAGATACAAAGTACCTTTCCTTCAGTGACCTTACTGGGATAAGAATAGCGGGAACAATAAAGAAGTAGAAGTGGTATCTGGATTTTTCGATTAGAAGTATTGTGCCTATTATGGGAATTAGCAGTATCAACAAATCAATAGGAACATTAGTGCTCATGCCAATTGATAAGACCGACTTTGCCGAAAAATCACAAGAGATAGATAGTAAGTAGGCAAACGACACGAAAAAAGAGGGGATAGCCATAGTGAAGGTAGCAGGATCATCGTTATCGTTCCACTTACTAGCAGTGAATGCAATGGTCGAAATAATAGTAACGAAAGAAAACATAAAAAGGATGGTGTTAAGGAGAAGATAAAGCACGCCATGTAATGAAAGCAACACTCTATGGTCCGACCTCCAACTGTCGAATAATAGAAGAAAATATTCCATCGATGAATATAAGGAAGGAAAAAGTACGCCTACAAATCTAAGAAAAGGAGTTCCATTGAAATCATTTTTGCTGAAGATAAGGTACATGAGCATAGAAAATATGATGGATGTGAATGGGCCGAAGTTGTTAAAGAATGTTCTCCAATGTAGCTTGGTTGCTTCATTCTTGTTCTTGAACTGTTTATTAGTTTCATGCAGTCTTGAAGTATTAATGAGATCCATAAGGGATAAATAAAAACAGTGGATATTAGTTAGATGTAGCTAGGGGTAATTCAATGTTACTAAATGGTTAATCGTATATTTGTTATGGAAAGGCGGAAAATGAAAAGAAGAGTAGCTATTTTCCGTGGCGTAATAGATGGAGAGCTACTTTTTGATGGAAAGCGCTTCCATCTTAATGATCTTGTCAGAAAATAGGGGGAGAGTGATCCGCCATATGATGTTCAGATTCACGGATTCTAAAAGGACTAGTGGGAGCTCATTGTTTGGGAAATCTTATAGCGTGAATGGAATAGAAGAAGAAGAAAGCTCCTTAGCATGGACAATCTGAAGCAGTGAATGGCGGAGATGAGTTCATAATAGCATGGAGGGGGGGGGGAGACTTCGAAAACACCAGTGGGGTTGTTTGGAGTCTTACTGTTCTGTAGATTCGTGAGATACGATGATGTGAATAAATAGATGAAGGTTTATTATTTGGATATCTGTAGATTAGTATAGTTACAGGGGTATACGGCTCTGATAGATGATACATTCAGAGGTGGCTATATCGGACATTGGATTTAGACGGCCGATTAATACACATTTTACGAGCAATGGTGCAATATGGCTTGTGAGAAATGACTGGAGAGCTTGATTTTATCACTTTTATCATAAGAAAGGGATCCAGAGGTTGTTTGATAGTGACGAAGAAAACAATCTGAACTCCTGCATTACGGACTGAAGAAGGAAAGATAATGTGAAAGGGCTGTATTGTATAGAAAAGGGAAGTTGAATATGCAAGATAGCGGGCAACTTCTCTTCGAAGGGAATGATAATATCGCAGGAAAGGGAGGAGACGATAGATTAAGTAAGGAGAAAGATCTACTCTATGGGGTGGAAGTGTGCTCCATAGATATTAATTACTGTGCTTGACGTAATACACTGCTCTGAAGGATTAGAACGCGCTGTCTCTTTTATAGTAGGCCTAGATGGTCAAGTAATGGTGTTCTCGTTCGTCTTTAGAGGGAATAACATCATTGTGTTACCAACAACGAAGTATAACGACTTGAAGAGAAATGTCAAGAATCCAAAAGATATTATTACATCTTTTTTAAAAAAACGATATTTCTTATGTACTATGGGATTTTGTGGTAGGTGAGATAGTATACGAGAATGATAATCGGCTTGAGAGGTTGTTTGATGAAAGAATGAGAAGATATTTAGAGAATGCATCTGCAGGTGTATCAAAGGTGTATACAAGATGGGATAAGACCTTTAGTGAGCTGTTGGAGGCAGTGCGTGAAAGGATATTCCAGTGCGATGGGAGTGGAGGTGGACATATAGTAAAGCACAGAGAAGACGCCATGAATGCATTTGACGACATAATAGAAAACTCACCTGCTGGAATATCAGAGGAAGAAAGAAAGATGTACCAAGAGCATTGGAGCAGTGTTAAGGAACATGGAGAGTCCCTTCGTAATGTAGGAAGATGGAAACAGATAGTTGAAGTAGAGAAGATGGTTTGTAATGCATTCAAAGAGATTTGCTTTGGCCTGGAAGAAGAGGCGCTGATGAGATTATTTGCCGAGGGAGGATGAGAAAATCTTTGAAGAGAAAGGTTGATGAAGATGGGATTGACCACTGTCTGTACTTAGAATATACTGTTGTTAACACTAATCTGTTATTAGATGCACACAGAGAATATGGAGGAGAGGTTATGAAGGAGTTGATCAAGCGAATGCTGCTGGGGAAGGAGGGAAAGGAGATAAACAGGAGGTATATCAATAAAGTCGCGAATGTAGTCAAGGAAAGGCAGAGAGCAAGAGAAAGGGAGTCTCTGAGGCCAAGGAAGAGGGGAGCGAGACAGAGGAGGCGGAGGCGAGTGAGGAAGCGGAAACGCCGTCCGTGGAGGTTGGAGGAGCACGCAGGAAGACAGGCAAGAAAAGTTCGGATGGTTGGAAGCGCTTCGAGATCCATAGAAGGGTTCTTCGGTGGAGAAAGAGCTCAGAGAAGATCAAGAAAAAGTTGGACAGGAGAAGAGAGGCGGAAGGGAAGGTTTCTTGAAGAGATCAAGAAGCAGAAGATGCTGCATGACATAGTGGATGTCGTTTCGCTCCCAAAGAGCCCAGATGCGAACAAGTTCTTCATGGATGCAGGAGAGCACACCAAGGGCGGGAGTTCTCGGGGTCGTCTGGTGGCGATTGGAGTTCTTGAAGATGGAAGAAAGAGAATGATTGGAGTGGTGGAGGATGGATCTGTCATGGACCGAACTGGGGGCCTCAATCTCAATAACTGGATGATTT